TTTTAAATTTATCAGAACATACAAGAGAATGTCCATCACATTCTCCTAAAGTCCAAGTTGACAGGTCGCTTGTTTTTTTTCCCCAATCAGCTGTCGAAAACCCAAAGGTGTAGTGTTCAATATTTATTATTATTATTATTATTATTATTATTAAGTATTTGACAGTTAATTTTCTCTAGCCTAACTAATCAATTAATCTCAATAATTTCCACTAAAGGATTATGAAAGTGGAAAAAGCAGAAGCAGGGTTGGTGGTTGGCAGTTAAAGCACATGAAAAAAAAGGAGAAAGACTAAAAGCCCAAAGGCCAAATGACCTAAGTGACCTGAAACCAACGTAACTGTCAAGGAAATGTTGATCTTTCAGGGCTGGAGAACTTTGAGTACCAGGAAAAAGATCTTATCAATTCATCACACTGACTGGAAGACAACTAAAATGTTTAAGAGGAGTATTATGTCATTGCCAGGACAGGTTGCATCCTTGGAAGAAAAAAAAAAAAACTGCACTGCAGTATATTTTGCTGTTCCATTTGTGTAAAACAGGAGAAAACATCCGTCCAATCCCACAAAGTATGACAGTTGAACCAAGAACCTCTCTGACAAACAAACAAGTTTTTACACATATTTACAGAAGGCATACTGTACTGCCTACACGGTTAAAATTAGACGTATTCCTCACATATGAAACAATAACTATTACTACCCTACCCTAAATACCACTAATTAATGAGTCTATAAATTGGCATGTACTCGATAAACCAATTACACCCAGCAAAGTTTAGTGTTGCCACAGGCGCAGGCATGCCTGTGCTCGGCGGAATGCCACAGGTCCTGCTACACCTGTCTAACCAGTACCCTCTCAGCTCAGTTGAGCGCTTAGCTGCTGCTGTGAGCTGACAGGTGAAACGCTGAGAGCTGGAGAAATTAAGCAGCTCCTGTAGCTCTCCGAACCACGAAGCCGCGCAGAAACAGTTTCAGTTGTAACTCCGCTCGAAGGTTAGGCTACGTGTTGTTTCCTTTATAAAAAAAAAAAAAAACCGGTGGGAGTTAGTTACCTGCCGGCTATGGAGCTTCGAGGTGAGATGACCGATGTGCCCTGTGTTGACCCCTGGTTTAAAGCAAGATGCTCCGGGTAACCGACAAAACTCATAATCCAGCAGTCAGGGGTCGACGTACCGCGACATAGCTGAAACTATTTTCTTCCACGCTCACCTGCCCTGCTCCACCTGCCACTACCAATGCAAATGAGTCTGATCACGTGTTCCATCTGCACCAATGAAGAGCAGCTGCTTATCAATCGCTCTTCCTCTCTCTGTCTCTCTCTAGACACTACAATGATACAATAATACAATTTAATTTTTCTGTATTAACACAAGTCACAGAGCCCACTACTGAGAGTATTTGGATTGATTGTATTTGCTGTGACAAACGCAAAAAAGTCAGTTAGGTTTAATAATTAGAGAGAAGAAGCCTTGCGCAAGTTTAGAGAGCTGTTGTTTGACATCCCTGGACAAACGGCTTTCTGGCCTGGCCTACTTTCGTTATTACCAATCAAACAAACTTTGTTCAGATGAAACAGTAGGGCTGCTTCCCCAGGACAACGACAAACTGACAGCTGTAGATTGAATAGGGTTTTAGAGAAAAGACATAATCTACATTTGATGAGTTAGACAGATCTTTTTGTAGATCCTTTCTTGTCATAGGTGGGAGGAGTATTATACTCCTTGAGCAGAATGACTGCACTGTTACTTCTCTGAAATAGTAAGAAATCAGAAATCAAATATATACCCTAAACGGACAACTGGGAAATTACCAGTTAAAAGTGCAGAGCAAACAGCAAAATGTAACCCCAGGTTACCTTTTTGAACTTTGAAGGTCGAGTTCTCAAGATCTACATATATGGTTACACAACAGTTAGCTCCGATCAAGACATTTGATTGGACGAGAGGTATTCCAAGAGTGCTGACAGAGTATAAATGCACTGGGACTTTTACTACATGTATCACTCCGCTTCACAGGTGTTCCATTAACCGGCCTTACATTTATGGTCGTTATCTATCTTAGATTGTAACAAACCTATATATATCCTGGAACATATTTTCAAAAAATAACATCTGAATTAAATTATGTATGGTAGTCAGAAGAGCATGAAGGGAAGAAGCCTGGATACTTCCGCGCACACCTGAGGCAACGTGTAGACAAAGTAGCAAGCTAGTGTGCACCGTGACCGACTCACAGCCGTGCTGATATTCAGTACATTATTCCCTCGTGTTATATCCAATGGAAAAAAAATCAATATTGTTTATTAACTACACACACGTAATTATGCATCGTAATGCATACATACTTGCCTGTAAGTCTAAATCTATTTCCCATATTCATGCCTGGATATTGTTCGACGATTTCAAACACTCCTAGTGGACCATACAATTTACAAACCTTGACGTTAGCTGCAGGTTACCTACCATGGTACCTACCTCACTCCTACTACTGGCTGCCATCCTCAAGGCTACTTACAAAACAGTAGGTAAATGTAAGTAGCAGTAGCTAACTATCTTTCTTGTTTAATACAATGTACTTTCTTACTTTTTGAGTTTCCGAATTAGGCTATGTCAAGGATGCATGCTAATGTCAAGGACGCATGCTAATGTTAGCTAGTTTCTAACCTTAGCCTGAAGTTACAGCTAAGCTATCTAACTTTAGTCAGCTGGTAACGCGCCCTTTTGTTGTAGAGGTTTTGACATGCTTTGTTATCCTTGTTGATATTAGCTTTTATAACAGACACCTCCTGTCTTTCCTCTGAGGAATTCAGGAGTTTTACCTGTTGGGTAAATGAAAAGTTTTAAACTGCATGTGTGCTGAAGGCTAAGTAATTGTATTAGCAGTTGTGGAAAGTAATTAAGTACATTTACTCATAGTACTGTACTTAAGTATAATTTTGAGGTACTTGGACTTAATTTGGCAATTTATATTTTATGTTACTTTATACTTAAAATCCACTACATTTCAGAAGGAAATATTGTTTTGTACATAATGTTCTGTCCATTACATTTATTTGACAGCTTTAGTTAAACAAGCAAGGTACTTTAAGGACTGTGACACTCGCCACTAAAGCATCTGCCCTTGTATATATGTTTTAAACGTAATAATGGTATCAAACTTATTATCTCATGACTAGGAAGAAACCGGAAAAACTCATGTCCGAAATGTCAAACTATTCCTTTAAGAAACAACATATTAATAGAAAATATTTTCACTTCCAATTTTCTTGTAAATATATATTTTTCTGCAATTACTGATGTACAGTAGATGGACAACATGTCTAAAATTCACTTTCACAGTAAATGCAATTTTATGTTGCCCTTTTCTATTCATAGTGCCTTTTCTGTAACATTATACAGTAGCTGTTTAGGGATAAAACACCAGTGAGATGTTTGTTTTTGGCTAATCCAGCAAATTAAATACCAATCATTTACCAAATTTCTGGTGGTTGACAATTTGTAGGCTAATTTCTCATCGTATTTATCACTATATTTCAGAAGCTTGTAGAGAAGATGTAATCAAAATGTTTACAGCTTAAATATACTTTTTTATTTTAATTGAAATAGTCTTTGCCCTTAAAGCACAAAACTTACTTAGTAAAGTTGGATCAGTCAAAACACTTTGTTTGTATTTGTTTACTGTATAATATTAATATAAAAGATTTTGCACTGAAGGATTCAGTATAATGTAAATTGATAATTTACCAGTCATCAAACAATACTTCAATGTAATTGTTGGTAACAAAGGGGTAAAGGTGCCAACCGTGAACTGCAGTGTCATTGGTTCACAGCAAGATTACGTGAAAATTTAAAAGATCAAACAGTGGCATCCATCTTTCAGTAAATGTATTCATTCGAAAATATCTGAATAGATTTTCATTGGCTATTCAAATCATTAAATCTCTGAGCCATAGAATGATATGAAATCTTTAAAAAGAAATATGGAATTATATAAATTAAATGAAAAAAAATTATAAATCATATAATGTAAATGATATATATAATTATGTTGAAGACATAAATATAAACCATCAAAAAAAAACATCAAATCACAGACTCCCAATCACTCCCTGCTGTTGAAACCTTTACCCAGTAATTACTCAACACAAATTTAACCCCACTATCTGTGAGTTTGTGCTTGTCCAGTATGTTTGAGTAGTGTGAGTGTACTGAATCAGCAAGTTCAGAATAACTATAAGCTACTTAAATTTGCCAAACAACAAAATGACAGAGAGAACAATCATGCCATGCTAAATTTATATTTTATTTTATTTTATATGATTTTCGTAATATGCACACAAAGTGCCCAACCTCCCAGGGTTTACAATACACCAAAAGTACAGTTGCAGTGGTCAAACATTTCATTTCATTACAAAATTACAGTACATTTTATAACTCAGCCTTAAACAAAATATTCTGCCTTCTCTCCCAAGCTTGGCAGATAAAATCTGATGCAAAGAAGTTCCCTCAGGTTCATAATCACCCAGCCAGAAGAAATTAGTATAAATAAAGGACATTTTAAAAGTATATCACTTATGTCCTCAGCAAAACAAAAAATGAACGTCATTCTCAGTTTCACCTAGCTCACACAACAAGCAAAGTCTGTCCTCATCTGGAGTGGCATTAAACCTGCCGTCTATCAGAAACAGAACAGTGTTTTTTTTTTTTTTTGCAATGAACTGTTTATTCATCCGTGAGTTTAGAAATCAAAACATGTGAACCCTCATTGATTTTCTAATGTTTATTTTTTACCTCAGAGCAGAGATAACTTTTATCAGAAATTGATTGGTTTCTCAACTGCTGCTGGGAAGTCATGAGGCATTTATTTGTTAAGTGTGTTTGTGCTTTCCTGTGTACAGAAACTTTTGGGTAGGGGAAGCATGAGACCATAGCAAAGTGAGGTTGAGGTGCAGGAGGAGGGAGGTGAAAGGATAAAAGGAGGGAGCTACAGAGCAGTAAACTACATTGACAGCAGAACGGGATCAGGAGGATGATGAGTAGGACTCAGCTGTGGCTGCTGGCCTCTCTGGCCTTTGCCTCTCAGACTTTTCAGGCTGATGGATCTCCATTGTGAGTAGATCTGCCTTACCTTTATACACTGTGTGCACAATTATTAGGCAAGTGAGTATTTTGACCATATCATCATTTTATGAATATCTTCCAACTGCAAGCTGTATAAACTTGAATGCTTATTGGATTTAAGCATATCAGGTGATGTGTATTTGTGTAATGAGGGAGGGTCTGGCCTAAAGATATCAAGGTGTGCATAATTATTAGGCAAGTTCTTTCCCTCAGACAAAACGGGCCGAAAAAGAGATTAAACTGACTCTGAAAGGTCAAAAATTGTAAAAAAAAAACAAAAAAAAAAAAAACAAAAAAGAGGGATGCAGCACTCATGAAATTGCTAAGATATTGGGGCCTGATCACCGAACCATTAAATGCTTTGTTGCAAATAGTCAATCAGGTCGCAAGAAACGTGTTGAGAAAAAAAGATGCAAATTAACTGCTAAAGATTTGAGAAGAATCAAACGTGAAGCTACCAGGAACCCATTATCCTCCAGTGCCATCATATTCCAGAACTGCAACCTACCTGGAGTGTCCAGAAGTACAAGGTGTTCAGTGCTCAGAGACATGGCCAAGGTAAGGAAGGCTGAAATCCGACCACCATTAAACAAGACACATAAGTTGAAACGTCAAGACTGGGCCAAGAAAAATCTGAAGACAGATTTTTCAAAGGTTTTATGGACTGATTAGATGAGAGTGACTCTTGACGGACCAGATGAATGGGCCCGTGGCTGGATCAGTAACAGGCACAGAGTTCCACTTCGAATCAGACGCCAGCAAGGTGGAGGTGGGGTACTGGTATGGGCTGGTATTATTAAGGATGAGAGATGAGAGTGACTCTTGACGGACCAGATGAATGGGCCCGTGGCTGGATCAGTAACAGGCACAGAGTTCCACTTCGAATCAGACGCCAGCAAGGTGGAGGTGGGGTACTGGTATGGGCTGGTATTATTAAGGATGAGCTAGTTGGACCTTTTCGGGTTGAAGATGGACTTAAAATCTACTCCCAAACCTATTGCCAGTGTTTAGAAGACACTTTCTTCAAGCAGTGGTACAGGAAAAAGGAAAAGAAGGCCATGATTTTTATGCAGGACAGTGCTCCATTGCATAAAGATGAAAGAATAATGACATGGCCCCCTTCCTCACCTGACCTAAACCCTATTGAGAACTTGTGGGCCCCTCTTAAACGGGAGATTTACAGTGAGGGAAGACAATACACCTCTCTGAACAGCGTCTGGGAGGCTGTGGTTGCTGCTGCACAAAACATTGTGCATAAATAGATATTCTCCTAAGAAAGCCAAAAACTCACTTTTACTGTCTTAAATATTCAGATTTGAGGTTTATTAACATTTTGGATTGACCGAGAGCACTGTATTTGTTCAACAATAAAATGAATCCTCAAAAATACAACATGCCTAATAATTGTGCATGCAGTGTATACTCTCACTGCGTTTTAATTAATGCACTCTAAACAGATATAAAATATACAGTCAACAGTATCAGGGGCTCCGTCCGATTTAAGTCTATGGAAATACGTATTATTAGTTTAATTCGGTTGCATTTCACTTGTGTCTTACATAATAAGCAACTTTAGTCCAATTTGCAGTTTGTGTTCACATTAGTCAAGGTAATGTGCTCTTTTAAATGATGCAAATAAGTAGTAAGCCTAAATTTCTGCAAACAGAGCCCAGAGCCATGATGAAATATTGTATTGATTCAGTGCTGGATCTTTATCAAGATAATTAATAGATCATTCATTGTGTTTAAAGTCCATGCTAGAGCAGATGACCCTGAAAATGTTTTTTTCTTGGAAATTGGATGAATTGAAACATTTACACAAAGACTCTGTGACGAAATGCTTAAAGGGATAAGAAACACTTATTTGGAACAAATTTATGTTTTTTTTGCTGTTTTTGTTGTGAGATAAGGATTGATGAGGATGAGGATTTCACATTGAAGCCATAACCTGTGAGGAAGCACAAATTACCTCATTATGAGCGATAACAAGCCAAAAACATCAGAAACAACTTCTCTGAGAAATTTACACATACAACCTTTGTACAGACAAAAAAACAAACAAATAATTCTATAAATAATGTGTCTAAACAGTGACCATATGTGGTCTATAGTGCCTAAATGCATACAATAAAAAAGGTACTTGTGCTTGTCATTAAGTCAGTAGTACAGTACATCCCTAACAGTACTAGGGCTGTCACTATTTATTCGAAATTCAAACATTCGTTCGAACTTGGGTGAAAAGTTCATATTCAAACTATAATAATGACCTGTTCGAAAGCTACAGTCTTTACAAGCCATCAGGCTATTTGAAGTAGTTTGCCTTGTGATCCAACAGAGGGCGCTCTATCGGCTTGAATTATTGAACTATCAGTAAACTAAGGAACTAAGCATGATAATGCCGTGTTGTTTTGTTATGAAAATGGACAATAGCAAGCAAAGTCGTCCTTAGCAGACAACCACGACACCAAAACATCCTAGAAGTCACGAATAAAGATAAAGCTGTTTGTTGACTTTGTAAAGAGCAGCTGCCTTACTCTTCAACAACAACAAATCTGCAGACTCATCTGTTGGCTTACCATCCCACTGAGCCAGCAGAGGCAGCACAGACAGCCAGAGCAACGCCAAGTGTACAGCCTCGTCAATCGATCTTGATTTTTTTGGAAAAAGTGACAGCCCTAAACAATACGTGGTGCACAGTGACAACAGTGTATTCTCTATCTTCTTCTTTTCCCACTGCTCTGCAGGAAGGTGATGTCTGCCCCCAACTTGTTGCGTGTAGGAACAGCAGAAAACATCTTTGTGGAGTGTCAAGACTGCACCGGAGGAGACATAAAGGTCGATATCAGCGTGATGAACTATCCATCCAAGGAAAAAAGGCTGGTAACCACATCTGTGACCCTTACCAGTGGAGAACACTTCCAGGGATTTGGACAAATAACGGTAGATGAAATACTGTTTCTCCTACTTGGCTTCATGTTCTGTCATGACCTCAATGTAGAATTCAGAAATTCTCATCATATAAACCCGTCCTGCTGCTCACACGCCACATCTCTCTTCAAACTGGCCTCAGATTCCTGCAGGAGACTTCAACAGGGATCCAACCTTGAAGCAGCGTGTCTACCTGCAAGCTCAATTCCCTGACCGCCTGCTTGAGAAAGTCGTCTTAGTGTCCTTCCAGTCCGGCTACATCTTCATCCAGACTGACAAGACCCTCTACACCCCAAACAGTATAGGTGAGTCCAGTACTACATCAGTGCTGAGAAACACTCCCATCTCTGTCAGAGTGTCTCTACATAACAATGTACATTAGAAAATACATAACAGTATGATTTTATTTAGATTAGTTGGACTAATGCATTTTTCATGTTTGTAAATGAATGACTGTACTTTAAACTACAGAAACATGAACCTCTTTCTCTTTCTGTCAGTTCATTTCAGGATGTTTGCAGTAACACCACGCATGGAGCCTGTGGAGAGGGACACCGTAACCCAAGCTGATACTACCATAGCCATCGAGATTGTGGTATTGTATTTTCACTTAAGCACAGAATCAAAAGTAATATTATAATTAGGGCTGGGTGATATGGCCTAAGAGTAATATTGCAGTATTTTTAGGCTGTATCGCAATACACAACATATAGTGATTTTTTTAAAATCTACTCAATAGAACTTCGTAAATACAAGATTTAACCCTTTGTTGCATAAAGAGACACTCTCATGCTTCGCTGCTGTTTTGTGTGATGTGGAAATTCAGCATCTCACCAGCCAAAATAGACAGGGAAACAATTGTTGATAGTCATACTAATATCATACCAGCAACGTTATATATAATTGACACCTTTAACTAGCCTACAGCTTAAATGTCTCGACTTTATATGAATATGACACAGACATGAAAAAAATATAACTTTATAAATATGAATATATATAAAGTTTTATCTATATATATATGTGTGTGTGTGTGTGTGTGTGTGTGTGTGTGTGTGTGTGTGTGTGTGTGTGTATTATATAACTTATTTCTAACCATTTTAGCAACTGCGTGGAGAGAAAGAGGAGACCACATGTAGGCTAGTAGATGGTCATAGCAGAAACCCAATGTTAGTAAAATTATGTTGATAATTTAACAGGTGAAGGGCAGTATTTTACAGGTGCTCTCTCTCTCTTTCTCTGTGGTGTCTTGCTCTGAACAAGGGTAAACAAAAGTCAAGGCAAACTGTATGTAGAATTACAGAGCTGCAACAGTACAGCTGCCACGAACACGCGTGGTTTCTAAACTTGGATAAACTTGCTTTGCCATTTCACTTTTTTCCCTTTTCAGTTCCCTCCGCTCCAGATACAAACACACCTCCTCACCTACATCACACATGCAGAGAGTTTTCTGGATGTGTGGGGTAGTATGTCAGTGAGAGGGAGAGAGCAAGAGGAGCGAAATGCCAAAGAGAATTTAATGCTGGCGTCTTAAAACAATTATGTGACAATTTATACTTGATGTTCGCGATATTGTCATTACAAAAAAACAGCAAAAAGATATATAGAGTATATTCAAGATATTGCCCACCCCTAATGATAATCATCTGTCACTGTTGAACAACAGGTCATTTCCCTACTTTCACCTTCTTCTTGCAAAATTGCCACTGTGAAACTTAATATCCTAAACGAAGACAGAAATTTTAGTGTCAGTCAAGACGCTGATCAGACTCATGGATGATAGACAAAAGATTTGTTGAAAAGTCTTTGTTGCAGTATGGTTGTACTACATGCATTTGTTAAGTGGCTAGGCTCACTGTTAATGGTTGCTCAATGTTGTTTGTGTTTAGACTCCTGAAGACATCATTTTCCCTCTTGACAGTGTCTCTCTGAAATCGGGAATCCACTCTGGAAGTTATCAACTTGGTGAAATTGTCAGGTGAGTATTTAATTTAATTAAATTTACATTTCTTTACATTCTGTTTACATTTCAACAGTAACAGGTGAATTCAATTCAATTAAATGACAAGTATCTTGTATATTTCAAGTGTATTTTAACATGTTTATAGTAAGTACAGTACAGCCCAGTACAGGTAATGTTGTACAGGTAATGTTGCCTATTCAGTGTTTTGACAACTAATAAAAAAATGATCAAGTCATACAAGGTGAACAAGATGAGGAGACACTTTGAATCCTTCGTACAAACACATAAATGAATGAATAATTCTTAGTTAAACTAAATAGGAGAGGAGACATAAACTGGAGTTGAGTGAGGTGTAACTTTGTTTAACAAATATGAAAAGTCTTAAATTCCTGGGCTCTGCAATCCTAAAACCCTGTTTGTGTGTGTGTGTGTGTGTGTGTGTGTGTGTGTGTGTGTGTGTGTGTGTGTGTGTGTGTGTGTGTGTGTGTGTGTGTGTGTGTGTGTGTGTTTGTGTAGTCTCGGGCTTTGGAAAGTGGTGGCCAGGTTTCACAGCAACCCACAGCAAAGCTACTCTGCAGAATTTGAGGTCAAAGAATACGGTGAGTCCCTTTTCACCCGAACTGTTATTTACTGTAAAACCTATAAAGCATTCACCTATTTTGACCTGATGTTGGACACAAAATAAAATGTATTTAATTTATCAGTGCTGCCCAGTTTTGAGGTGAAAGTGATACCTACGAGCTCCTTCTTCTACGTGGACAGTCCACAGCTCACCATGGACATTAAAGCTACGTATGTGAAAGTTTTACTTTGTGGCTTTGGACAACAAGTTTTAGTAGACGTATTGGAGGAGAAAATAAATAATGTTTTTAAGAGGTTGGAACTCTTGCTGTTGTAGTTTGTTAAAATAAAATGTCCTTCTCTTGTGGCTTTAGGTATCTGTTTGGTGAAGAGGTGGATGGGACAGCCTTCGTGGTATTTGGTGTTGTGCATGAGGGTCAAAAGAAGAGTTTTCCCGACTCCATTCAGAAAGTGCAGGTGAGCACACGGGGGTGACTGCAGATGGTTGCAACACTTTTTGCATTTCTCTCAATTAGTCAAGAGACTTTTTGTTCTAGACCAACGAAACATTTGCATATTAAACTTTCATCGTTTTGCTAATTTCCCATACACCCATACACTAAAATGATTACATATGACACATCATTACCCAATATTTATTTGAATGGAAGAATTCAGATGATGCAACTGATCCCAACCCAGGGGACAGTTGAAACACAGGTCAGGGATGGTTGCAACATATTGAAAATACATTGAATTTCACCAATTATCTCTTGCTTTTGGTCTCAATAAGAGCAGTATTCTGTAAATATGCACTGTTTTACAATATTATTATTATAATATTCATTTATCAAGTGATATTTATCAAAGAACATATATTGAGCTTTGTTTGCATAGAAGAGAGGCCTACCTTGTGTCAAAATAGGCACAATTTATCAATTTTATTGCTTATGATGAACAGAACAGGCAAATATACTATAAGACCATAAGAGGCTAACAAAATAATTCACAAAATAAGTTGTTTGTATTCTTTTATATGTATGTACAGTATGAATAAAATACAGTTCATGAAAAAATTACTTTCATACCTCCAAAACAAGTTTTTACATTAATACATGCAGCAGCAGAAGTTGAATGTGTGTCAGTTTGTTGGTCATTCTGTCTCATACAGTATGTGTTTTACAGCTTGGCTTTTACCAGACCTACAAAATATGCAAGACTATAAAGACTTGAAAATGTTTAGGATTTCCTATTTTTCAGATGACTGCTTTTATTTCAGTTACATTGTTACAGCCCTATCTGTAGAGATTAAGTATTTATGATGTTCAGAATGTATGTATTTTGTACCTATACCTGTTTGCTGGCTGTGTTACTGTGCCACTATCCTCTATTTCAAGGTGTATTTTTGTGTTATGTCAGATCCAGGACGGTGAAGGAGTGATCGTACTGAAGAGGGAGCACATCACACAGACCTTTGACATCAACGTCCTGGTGGGGAGTTCCATTTTTGTATCTGTCAGTGTGCTGACGGAGAACGGTAAGAAACAGACTGTGTGTTAGTGACTGTTCAGTATATTTGATCATTTGTTATTCATAATAATTCAGCAGCTCAAAGGGTTTATTCAGTATTACTGATGTCTAAATGCTTCATAGACTTCATATCAGGAAACGTACGTCAGAGATGGAATGGACATGTTTTTATTAATCAGTTTATCAAGTGAATGAACAAATGAAAAACACACTCCTGTCATCAGCGTGTGTGTGCATGTGTTTGCGTTTCTGCATCAACTCACAGGTGGTGAAATGGTGGAGGCAGAGTTGAGAGGTATCCAGATTGTCACATCACCTTATACTATCCACTTCAGGAGAACGCCCAAATATTTCAAACCAGGAATGTCCTTCGATGTTGCGGTAAAGTACTTAGATTTACATTTATGTAAAATGGCAGCAACAATATGGCTGTATTTCTACTTTATTAAAAGTCTTTTCTAAAAACATCCTAAAAAAATTTCATACCATATTTTTAGAATTTATTTACTTTTCAAACGCCACATGCAATTTAATGCTCTCTTAGTAACTAAAAATAATTAGTGCAGTGTTTCGATCTGTTATGGATCTTCATTATGATGCAAAAATATTCCAGGGGAAAAGTAGAAGTATTGGATCACTGTATTTTATCTAAGTCATAATACTTAATGCACAGCTAGTGCAGTTTGTAGACAAAATTATTTAATTGCCTTTACTAAGACGAGATTAATTGAATGACTTTATAAGACAGTAAGATGTTTTCTGATTGGTCAGATGTTTGTTTCTTTGATGGCAGGTTGAAGTTATGAATCCAGATGAAACTCCAGCAAAAGGTATTGCGGTGGTGCTGGAGCCAGGCGCTGTGAAGGGTTTCACTGCAGCCAACGGCATGGCAAAGGTTACCATCAATACAGTGGCAGGACTCTCAAGTCTGCTTATCACTGTAAGTCTCCAATTTTTCTTTTTCTTTTTTTTTTTTTTGAGGGTGGTGGTGGTGGGGTGGGGTTTGCAAGAACCTACAATTGTATCATCAGAACGTTTACAAAAAGTACAAAGGTATATAGTATCTTAATAAAGACATTATGAAAAAGATGACAGTGACATAGTGCGACAGGCACTGAGTTCAAAGGTAGGCCTTTAAAACTTGGCCGGGTACACCTCAGCTGAATTCAGATTCTGTCAATTAAGCCCAGAAGCTTCTAAAGCCCTGGCAGCGCTGTAATTTTCCAAGCAGTTTCAATGCATCATCAACTTAGTCTATGTAAATGTCTGACCAACTGGAATTGTGATATAGTGAATTAAAAACTAAACAGTTTGTCAGTAAACAATTGTTTGGAAAAATTACTTGTGTCGTGCACAAAATCCATAGATGCCCTCACAGACTTGGGAAAACTTAAGTTTGATAACATGAACTCTGTGGAGTGGTTAAAAAAATAGCTTTGATGACTTTGACTTAAGTGTATCTAAACCTCTGACTTGTGTGTATGCTTACTTGTGTGTGTCTCTAATTGCAGGCAAAGACCAATGATCCTGATATTTCACGTGAAAGACAAGCATCAGCCACCATGACAGCTCTCCCATATAAAACTAAGAGCAACAACTACATCCACATAGGTAAAGAAAGTCTTGAAATAACATCAGATGAAAAAACAAGGTGGTGACAGCAAAGTATGCACCATGTACAAGATCTTTTCAGCGTTGAACACTCACTACAAAATGTCATTTTTGCAGGTGTGGATACAGCAGAGCTGGAATTAGGAGACAATCTGAAAATCAACCTCAACCTCAACAGGCAGTTAAATAATCAACAAACTGATATCACATACCTGGTGAGAGATATTTTGAACATATGGACATATACACAGCTATTTTTGTTGCATGTTATGACCTACTTAGTGGGTAAGTGCTGATGTGTAGATCTGTGTCCGTAGATCCTGAGCAGAGGTCAGCTGGTGAAACATGGCCATTACAGGAATAGAGGCCAAGTACTGATTTCCCTGATAGTTCCCATCACCAAAGACATGCTGCCATCGTTCCGCATCATAGCCTACTACCATACAAATGACAATGAAGTGGTTTCAGACTCTGTTTGGGTGGATGTCAAGGACTCCTGCATGGGCTCGGTGAGACACACAACACTTGATTTAACAACATTAAACTAATTAAGTGAACAAACAACAGACACACAAAGTAAAAATGATTGTTTTCTATATTTAACATATTTCAAGTAATTGCTTTAACAAGTACAAAACAGCATTCTCATTCATTGCCTTTCCCTTCACATTTAGCTGACGTTGGAATCATCAAGACCTGCTGTGTCCTATGAGCCTCGCAGGATGTTTGGTCTGAAAGTCACTGGAGATCCAGAGGCCACAGTGGGACTGGTGGCAGTTGACAAAGGCGTCTATGTCCTGAATAACAAGCACCGCCTCACCCAGAAAAAGGCAATTTCTTTATTTCATCTTTAACTGTGAAAATATTTGAAATTGTTGTTTGTATTTTTGTGTGTAAATGATTTCCACCCTGCTTAGATCTGGGACATTGTAGAGAAGTCCGACACAGGCTGCACCCCAGGTGGAGGGAAGGACAATATGGGTGTGTTCTTCGATGCTGGGCTGTTGTTTGAGTCGAGCACTGCTTCTGGGACTCCCTACAGACAAGGTGACACTACTTTACTCTACAGTCTGACTGTTTTCCCCTCTCCTTCTAGACTCATTTCATCCTCCCCTTTTGTGGTATCTTGCCATGCAGATAGACTCAGAAACACTGTTTCCTAAATTACTTGTTGCTGTTCAGTTTTCCTAAATGCCATTTTTCAGTGCTGTGAGCAAGGCCTTTATTTTTAAGACCTTTGTTTTCAGGCACAGAAAACCAAGATTATCTGCCATATACCACTAAGGCCCTGTTCAGATCTGGCATTAACATGCATCTTAAGTGATCCGATCACAAGTAGTCAGCTCTTAAGTGCGTGAACACCTGGCTTTAAGATGCATCTTGAGTGACCACCTGTGATTGGATCTCAATTCCTCGCTCTCTATGCAAATAAACCTGTATGCATTGTTGTTTTAGCCAATCCAATGGTCAGATCTGTTGTCAATGCACTGATCAGATCTCAAATGTGTCCTCAATGCATCTTGTGTGCGTTCACACCTGTACTTAGAGCTGACCACTTGTGATCAGATCAACCGAAACGAATGTTAATACCAGGTCTGAACAGGGTCTAGGAGTAAGTGAGATGTGAAATAGATAACAGAGAAACACAACTTTGAGGCATTTCTATGTTGACTTCAACAGTCAGCCATGGTCATTTCCAGTTGAGCAGATTATGATCTTGCGTGTGTTGTTAGGGGACTAAAGCCGAGGTCCAACCTTGTTGGATTATGTTAAAGATCTAGTCTATGTTGTGTTTCCAGAATTGAAGTGTCCCACAGTGGCCAACAGGAGGAAACGAGCCAATACTCTAATGAACGTCACAACCAGCTTATGTAAGTACATAACACAGCTCTAAACTACCCAATAACCACACACACAGACAAATTATGTATATGTATTAGTGGAGGAGGAAGGATGCAAATAAGATGGATCCCTTTTTACTTTATGTATTTTTTTAGTTGTGACTTATTCAAAGGGTAAAGTTGTGATTTTGGGTGATGTAGATAAAACTGGCTTGACCAGTTAATTTTTCTCTATTTTTAATTTGACATACCTTAAATCTTTTATTTACAACTTTCCAGTTCACCCCTCGTCTTGTCTACATACCCTCACACCTCTGTCTCCCCTTCACAACCCTCTTTCTCTCCAGTGAGTCGGTATACAAATGAACTACAACGTGACTGTTGTTTGGATGGCATGAGGGATACACTTCTTTCATACAACTGTGAGAGGCGGAGTGAGTACATCTTGGATGGTGCAACCTGTATCGAGGCCTTCCTGCACTGCTGCAAGACGATGCAAAGTCAGCGAGCTGAAAAGAATGAGGAAGAACTCCAACTGGCTCGCAGTAAGAGATAGGGACAAAAGACAGGACAAAAGCCCAGGGCAGTTATTCATGGTCATACTGGTAGTTATAAAACGATCAAAATAGTAACCTTTTTAATGTCACTTCAGGTGAAGATGATGACAGTTACATGGACAGCAATGACATTGTTTCTCGCACCAAGTTCCCTGAAAGTTGGCTGTGGACCGACGTCAAACTGCCTGCTTGCCCTCAACAAACACCCAACTGGTGAGGCAACTGAAACATACACGCAACAAATACACTGATAACTTCATGTATGACAAAAGTTGAACACTTCTCTTTGCCTCTTCAAGCCTTATCACTTTTTTTGTTTCAGTGAGTCCACATCACTTGTGAAAAATGTTCCTTTGCAAGACTCAATCACAACCTGGCAGTTCACTGGCATTAGTCTGTCAAAAACTCATGGTGAGAAATCAGTGACACTAAGCTGTCTTGTGTTTTAGGTGTACCTGTCTAAACTTTTCTCATCAATTACACCTTTTGTTTCTCTTTCCCTGTTTCATCACTTTTTTTTATCCCTCTCATCTTTAGGTATCTGTGTTGGTGATTCATTAGAAGTAATTGTCCGCAAGGACTTCTTTATTGACCTCAGACTGCCCTATTCTGCTGTCCGTGGAGAGCAGCTGGAAATTAAGGCAATCCTTCACAATTACAGCCCTGACCTTGTCACTGTAAGTCTGTGGTACTCTGCTCTGTTGTTTCAGGCCAGAGTCAATGAGACCACATTTTTCGCCACATTGTTTGGACAGTAAATATTGGAATGATTATTTCTCCAGTCTTTGATAAGTGTAATCGCTGCTCATATGATACAACCTGGGGTCCATGAAACCTTACAAATTACAACATTTAATGTGAACCTTCTCGTTCTCAAGATCAAATTGATCCTCTGGGAAACAATTAAATCTAAGTTAAAACTGATGATAACGATCCTTATTAGTTAGTTAGTTCCTATTTAAGATAGGACTAATATTGTTGTTTTTATTTTTTATAAATAATGACAAAGACTACCTGAAATTGTTAAAAGTGGATATTATCAGTAAATGCTGAGAAGAATCAAAATATGTCATTAGCATCTGGTCCACTTTGTGTCAGGTCTTCATCTTTGATCAACTACACATATCTCACTCTCTTTAAGGTGCGTGTGGATCTTCTTGAGGAGGAGCATGTGTGCAGTGCAGCTTCAAAACGTGCAAGGTATCGTCAGGAGGTCAGAGTCGGGCCTGAAACCACACGATCTGTACCCTTCATCGTTATTCCCATGAGGGAAGGACAATTCCGCATTGAGGTCAAAGCAGCTGTTAAAGACTCGTCGCTCAGTGATGGAATCATGAAGATGCTGCGGGTGGTGGTAAGAGAAAAGACTCTAGTGGGTTTTTTTAATTTTTTTACCTATTAAAACTGTTCTGTTGTAGGAAAATGTTCAATCTGCAAAGAAAGGTAGTCAATATAAACTTTACATTACATCTCAGTTCTGTAACTTTGTGTGAGTACTTTCAGCCAGTTGCTGTTTGGACTGACTGGAATTGAGATGTAAGATGTAGCCTCTTTCTTGAGAGTCAAATCAAGTCATATTCAGCAACTCATCCAGATTAAATGGCCAATATATTGTTTATCCATGTTCTCTAGGACGACAGACAGAGGCGTTTTCTAATCAAAAGCCATTGCAGTTACAAATCACTGTTGATATATTAGATGTTGAAAAAAGCATTGTAGTTTTGGGGTGTCCCAGTAGCTCACCTGGTGGAGCGAGTACCACAAAGGCTTAGTCCTAACCTCAGCAGCCCGGGCTCGGGTCTGGCCAGTGTCCCTTTGCTGCATGTCATCCCATCTCTCTATCCCTGCCTATCCTGTCTCTCTCACTGTAGCTATCTGAATACAGGCCAAAAAAAAGTATTGTGTGTAAAGGTGTTCACCCTTTGCTATTTTGCTTGAATGTCCGAATTCTGAGCATATAACTGTATACACTATCTGTGTACAATATTCTCTGCTACCAGTCCTACAATGCTCATTTCCATTTAATGAATGCTAAAATTTACCATGTCTACAATTGTCAGTGATGACGCAAAATAATGGTGATAAGTAAGTGTTCAAAATCTCTTCTGCTCACTGCTGAGTGTTTATTTCCCATTTCTGAAATCACGTACTACCCCCCCCCCCATATAACAAACAGCGATCTCCTGTGACAAAGTCAAATCAGGCATCTCTTGCACATAACTTTGATGCAAATCATACAATATCTGCAAGTATTGTGCACAGCACAGCACAGTACTGCACAGTATTTTCTTATCAGTGTATAAACTTTTAAAGTAGTTGTGATTTCCAATATCTGTCTTGTCTTGTTTTTCCAGCCTGAAGGTGTACTGGTTAAAAGTCCAAAAATTATAACTCTAGACCCCACCAATAAAGGTGTAGGTGAGTTTACCAACTACATAGCTACATTGTACAGTAATTCAGTAATATTGTTTTCATTCCTTGAATCAATCCCCCAACTTGCACACTATTTCTCCTTTTAGCTGGTAAACAAGAAGAAATTGTGAACAGTGGAATTCAAAATAAAGATTTGGTGCCCAACACACCTACAAGCACACAGATCTCTGTGACAGGTGAGATTTGATGTTGTATTTGGTCATGTTATGTGGCACAGTGCCTGTACATGAATTCTGCATTGGTGTAGATTAATATTGTTCTTATTTGGAAATTATCACCTCACTGGTTGTGGGGAACCTTTGCATGTCTGTTTAGTTGTTTCTTCCTGTTGATTTATAATTTTTTGGTTTTTCTGTTTGTGTGTATGCATGCAGGGAGGGAACAAGTAGGTGCACTGGTGGAGGAAGCCATCAATGGGAAATCAATGGCTAGTATGATCTACCAGCCATCAGGCTGTGGAGAGCAGAACATGTTCCACATGACCATGCCTGTCATTGCAACCATATATTTGGACAAAACCAATCAGTGGGAAACTGTGGGCATTGCGAAACGGAACGAAGCCCTCGAACACATCAAGACCGGTGGGCCCACCCAGATGTATATTTGCAGATACCTGAAGTTTTACTGATGCCCCTCTGTGTGGGATTTTTAAATTTCTGAATTGGCTGAATTCGTATCATAACAGACAGTGAGGTAGACAACACGCTACCCCTGCCCCACAGATCCAAGCTACAGCAGGGACACTGAGATTGATTGAACTGAATGCAGCACATAGACACATAGACTACCGGGGCCGCACTCAAACAATAATTCAGGCCAGGAATTTGAGGCCACTTACAAATCATCGGACTGGTAATTCTGCAGGCTAAAACTATTTGTTGATTTAAGGGTTATCAGACTAGTTAGGAATTTGGACACTATGTTCATCTGGTTGGAAAGTTAGATTACAAAATACAAAAATGTGTGACTGACCAATAAATATGAGAAAATGTTCTATTATTACACAGCTCTCACCTGCTTGTTAAATTATCGCCGGTTAAGTTGACTGTTCACGGTACAGGCCAAAACGACCCTCAGGCCACCGGGAAATGTCCCGGTTCTCCCAACGGGCTGTCCACCACTGTGGACTACAGAGGTTTTCGCTAGGATTATCTTTTTTTATAAACGAAAACACATGCCATCAGAATGATTTTCAATAATAAAAGAAAAAAAATACACACAAGGGCACAGCTTCTTTAAACAAGGAGTCCAGTTTAAAAAGATTTCTCAAACTACCATCCAATGGATGAGATTAATGTCAGTCAGTAAAAAGGTTGTTTTGTTTGTGTACAGGCTACCGGAACGAGCTTGCCTACCGTAAAAAAGATGGATCTTTTTCTGCATTTCCCCATCGCCAAAGTAGCACCTGGTGAGGCATACAAACATCCATGAACCATGACTATGTGAGGATGGGTGTGTTTCATATGCAAATAAACAAAACTCAACAATTGCACCCTCTCCTTTCTTAGGCTGACGGCCTATGTGGCCAAGGTGTTTGCCATGGCCAACAGTCTGGTTGCAGTGGAAAGGAGCGTGATCTGTGATGCTGTCAAGTATGTGATTCTCAATGCCCAGCAACCTGACGGCTTGTTTCGAGAAATCGGGGGTTTGATTCACGGAGAGATGATGGTGTGTGCCCTGATTTCATGATTTCATCACACTTAAACTTCATGTTAAAAAAAAATAGCGCAGATTAAAACAAGTACATTCCATTGGCTACCTTATACGAAAAAAAAACATGTTTTTTTATGTGTGTGTGTGTGTGTAGGGTAATGTGCGTGGCAAAGATTCAGATGCCTCCATGACAGCCTTCTGCCTCATCGCCATGCAGGAGTCACGCACACTGTGTGCTGCCACTGTTAATGTGAGTATCTCACCTGCAGTGTTTTCTCTTACCTCCTTTTATTTCTTCATTTACTCACTCCACACTAGTGATGGGTGAAACAAAGCTTTTGTGGCACTGAACCAATATGAAGCAACTGACCATTGGCTATGCCCCATCCCCCTTACTTACCATTTCTACTCCTGTTTTGTTTACGTTCTTGCATGGAACACAGTTTACAATGATGATTGTGGCAGATATACCGCTCAAAAGAATGATAACAAAAGCAGGCTTGTATTTCTAGCCACCAGTCACAGTTAGGTTTTGTCAAATGTAGTTAGCTAACTAATTAAGCTAACGTTAGCTCTGTGAGTTGGTTGAAAAATGAAGTGCATTGCAATTATATTGTATTATTATTGTTTTATGTATTAGTGCGGTGAGGAAAAATGTTAAAGCAGACATTTCATTCTAACTGGGCTACTTAGTATATTTCTTAATAAACAATCACTGTTTGGGCGAAGGGTTTAGGAAACAGTCAGTTGTGCTGACATTGTTTGGAAGCATTTCACACATTCAAATTGGCGATATTTACTGGGCAACTTGTCTGGAAGGATTAAATCCAAGAGCATGATGACACAGTGAGTCAGAGCAGAAATTGGGTATTTTCTGTCATTTAGTGGTATTTTGCTAAATAAAGGTTATATTGTAAAAATATACTTTTCTAGAGTCTATGGTGTGGCTTTGAAATACTGAAGCAAATTGAAAAGTACATCTAGTATTCAAAACCAAAGATACCTCTCTGGTACAATAGGCCATGGTGGTGTTGTGATCGTTGGTGTTTTGAAGAGAGGCACCAAAATATCTTGCTATTGCTTTGGAAGATCAATTGTGTTGAGTGGTCTGCCTCACAAGTAATGTAACTACCCCACACCCCACTAATAACTGCAGCTAATGAGGCCCTGTTATCTCACCCATTTACAACCTTTCATGTTTCATGCACTGAAATCCCTGCTGTCTATCTTTTCTCCTGTTACACTGATTCTTAATTTACACTGATTTTTTTCTCCTGCTGTCCAGAGTCTGCCAGGCAGTGTAGACAAAGCAGTGGCCTACCTGGAGAAGCGTTTGCCTTCCCTCACCAATCCATATGCTGTTGCCATGACATCGTATGCCCTGGCCAATGAAAACAAACTGAACCTAGGCATCCTGTACCAGTTTGTTTCTCCAGGTACCGTCACACAACAATATTTATATAGATGCAAAAATAATACACATCCACATTATGGTCGATATTATGGGAAGATTTTAGCCAAAGATATAAAGATGATATATTTTGACTATCAAGTGTCCTTTTTTTTTTTTTTTACAAATGTTTCTTTAAGTAAGGTGTCTATGTTAAAAAACAAATATCATATTTCTTTAAATTGTCAAATTTCAATATCTGTATTGGCCTTAAAAATTCTTTATCAGCCGGGCTCTCATGTCTACAAGCCTGTATGTGAGTTTCTGCTCACATTTTACTTCCCTGTTTTTAACTTTATTTTAAGCATAATTAAATATTATAAGTTACTGAAGTTTGTCACAGGTTCTGCTTTGTTATAAAATGTATTTGTCTGTGTTTTCTATAGATTTCTCCCACTGGCCTGTACCAGGAGGACATGTTTACACAATGGAGGCCACAGCTTACGCTCTTCTTGCTCTGGTCAAAGAGAAGGTGAGTATGTCCCACTTATGTGTGTTTCACCAGCATGTTCACCTACAGAAACATGCAATCAATTCATTGTCTCTGCTACCTCACTAGATGGGCAAAGGGTTCATGAGGAGGAACCAAAAATCAGTAAAATGTGTTATATACTTCTAAGGGTCCATATTTTTCAAAATGTTTGGCTCATTCACTAATCATCATTAACTCTTTACATTTCTGCAGACCCCTTTTCAGAGCACCTCATAGTTATATATAGATATCTGAAGCATTTTCTGCCCCTCCATTAACATTTATTTTATTTTGGAATGAAAATCCAACTACAGAGACTTAAATATTAACCAAGAACAGTGTAAATGATTTCCATCTTACATTGCATGCGTCTCTCCACAACAGTCCTGAGTGAGTCCAGACTCCTGCCAAGCACAAACCCAGCCTTTTTTTACCATTACTCAAGACACAAAATTTCACACAAATGGTTAATGTTTTATGTTACTCTGGTTAAACAGAGATGTAACCTGAAACTAGTCAGAGTGGCGGAGGCAGACAACTGCAAGGCAGTAATTCTAGTTTCGGCTATATTGTAAAATGATCACCCAGTGGGAAAGTTAGAAGCAACTGAATATCTTTCTTATTTTGTCTCTCACGAAGCACACAACCTCCGTCTGGGTAAAAAACTGCTGGACAGAGTAGACACAGCGAGGTGTGCCTCTCGCTTGCAGGGCATTACTGGTGATTGTCTTTCATGGAAAGTAGCTTAAGTTTGTCCAAAAAGTCACTAGAGTTGTCGCTATGTGTAAATGTAAATCTGTTGACAAATGCATTAAGTTGGCAAGCAACAGCCAATGTGGAAACTCAAACACTCCGCCAGCCGACCTTCATGACACAGGCAGGTGGCATAACTTGATCACTCACTCACTTGCTCAGTCAGCCAGTCAGTCTGTCACATACATTCATTTTTTCATGGCTGGCTCCGCTGTTGCGGTCCACCTCCAATATACAGTTAACCACAAAGAGTTCAACCCATTTCTTGCCTTCTCTTAATAAAGGCCTTTGAAAAAGCCAGACCTATTGTGAGATGGTTCAACCAAAACCAGAAGGTGGGCAGAGGCTTTGGATCAACTCAGGTAATACAGGACTCTATCCATCTTGACCTCTAGCTGTTTTTATTTGTACTTTTTTTTTATGTGGGATTATAAGCTTTTTTTTCCTTTTTTTTTCTCACTCGTTTTCTCTCCAGGCTACTATAATAGTGTACCAGGCTATAGCAGAGTACTGGTCCAGTGCCAAAGAACCAGATTATGATCTGAATGTGGACATCTTGTTGCCAGGCAGGTCAAAGCCTGACAAATACAACTTCAACAGGGATAACCATTATGCCACAAGAACATCTAAAGTGAGAACACAAGCACACAAACTCACACACACACACACACACACACACACTTACTCACAGTGGCATGTTAATATCATCATTCCTGTTAGTTTCATTGTGCTTGTTTCTTCTGCTGATCCCTGTGTGTGTTTGTGTGCATATTTTAAATCCCCACAGATCAACGATATAAACCAGGATGTGAAAGTGACTGCCACGGGCACAGGAGAAGCAACAGTGACAGTAAATGAAATCTGTTGTTGGTGCTGTTGTGTATTGATGTGTCCTTTTTGAGACCAAAGATATTTTATTTTCTAACGTTGTGTGGACAATACTATTGAGATGGGAGCCCTATTTTCTTATCACAGTGCATGCAATATTAAAGTGCACTTTTCTCTGTGTGACAGATGGTGTCGCTGTATTACGCTCTGCCTAAAGAGAAGGAGAGCGACTGCCAGAAGTTTAACCTGTCAGTGGAGCTCATCCCAGGTAATCTGGTGCCCCCTCTCTCTTCCTGTTTATTGTCTATATTTGCTTTCATTTTATATTTGTCTACTTGTTTTTGTCAATTTTGTTTGCTTATCTACAAACATTGTGTTCTCCCTGGTGTCTATTGATCATTCTGACAAGTGTTTTTCTTTAATGAGAAAAGAATTTATGCTCATCTGATGTTTTGCTCCTCCAGTGAAAATGAATGAGGAGGAGAAGATATACAAGCTGAGAATACAGTTTTTGTAAGTACAATCAAGACCATAATACTGACAAGTGTTGCAATAACATGGCTTCATGAAGAACATTTTCTAACCAGCTGCGGCCCCTCCATTACTTCACTTCTTAGTCACTCTGTTTCTGTCATTCTTATTGTTTTAATTGTCCAATTAATGTCAACATTGCCCATTTTCTGCACAGATATAAGGACAAGGATCGTGATGCAGCTATGTCAATCTTGGATATTGGCTTGCTAACTGGCTTCACTGTGAACACAAATGATCTGAACTTAGTAAGCACTCTTAAAGATACACACATACCCACATAGAGTGCAATAGTCAAAACAAAGTGTTTTATGCTTTTGAATGTTGCCTGACAATGTGTGTTTGAATGTTTGTGTGTAGTTGTCCAAAGGCCGTGCCCGCACCATTGCAAGGTATGAGATGAACAAAGCCCTGTCAGAGAGAGGCTCGCTCATTATTTACCTGGACAAGGTAAGACATCAGTCTTTCTTCTCTCTTCCCCTTTTTCTCTCTGACTGGTTGTTTCTCTGTTTATCTGTGTCTCACCTTTGCTTTACATCTCTCCACAGGTTTCTCACACACAAACAGAAGAGATCGCTTTTAGAATCCACCAGACGCTGAAAGTGGGCGTCTTACAACCAGCAGCTGTGTCTATCTATGAATATTATGACCGTATGTCTCAAAGACACTATATGCTGCCTCAGTGTGCTTCAATATTTTTTCTTTGCTTCAGATACAGTAGATGTCAGAGTAGATAGATAGATCAACAGGCATTATTACATCTTGTTAAGTATTTAATGTACATTTACTCTGATGCACTGAAGTTAGCACAAAATGTTTTTAAATATCTTTCTTTCTTTTTGCAGAAACACATTGTATGAAATTCTACCATCCAGAGAGGAGAGGTGGAGAGCTACTGAGACTCTGTAGAAATGATGAATGCACATGTGCTGAAGGTAAACAGGCTGCCCACTTATAAACACTTGAATACTTGTAGGAACTCCAAAAAATAACATTGTGCTTCATGAAGCATTGGATCATTTGTCATCTTACATTGTCGATTCACTTCAGCAATTAAGTATTGCACCACAATAAATCTGGGCGTCTTGAGACCAAGAGAGTATTAAAAAGGATTGAAGGAGATGGTCGTGGAATTTGCCTTACAGTAAATCACCAGGTCATGACATAATCATCAGAACTTTGTTAGAGGCAACAAGCACCTGCAGGATCATGTTGGATCAGAGCAGCAGTCAGAACTAAAAAAAAAAAAAAAATTCACCAACATACTTAATACAGCTTCACTTACTCATCAACCCATCCACACACATGCACATGTGCTCATTTAACCGGGTCATCAGTTGTGTATTTATTTTGTGCCTGTTGTGTATTTTCAGAGAACTGCAGTATGCAGAAGAAAGGCAAAATCAGTAATGACCTGCGCATAGCAAAATCTTGTGAGAGTACTCCGACCAGCAAAATAGATTTTGGTAAGATGCAGTGTATATTATGTAAAGCATTCATCGTAATTAACTTGTGTGTTTGTGTAAAGAGATTGGAAGAATGTGAGGTAACAGTCTGCAACTTGTCTGTCCTTAGTGTACAAACTGAGACTGGAAGAATATAGAGATGGTGTGTCCACTGACATTTACACAATGCGGGTACTGGAAGTCATCAAAGAAGGTGGGTATTTATCACCTTTAAAACATCAAAACTGTTTGAACTGCCCGAAATCCCCTGATGCTTTAATGTGTTTCTAAGGTGGCATAGGATTTTTGTTTGTTTTTTTTGTTTTTGTTTTTGTTTTTTTGCACCTTCTTTTGCATCTTCTCAGCGGTGTTTCTACACAAACAGCAGTTCATGGCCATTTAAAGAAAACATTACACATTTTGGGAAGTACATTTATTTGTATTTGTGCAGAGAGGCAGATGAAAGATTGATGCCTGTATACTAAGTATCAAGCTACTCCTAGCAGCAGGCTAATTTGGCTCTTGTTGCCAGGCAACAAGTAGAGACTCTAGTTAACTAGTGGTCCTTACCAAAAAATAGTAACATTAACTCCTGCAAGATGGTGAATTATTTTACGATTCATTTTTTGTGCAGGTTAAACAAATGAGATACACTATGTTAATGAGTGAGCTGGTGCTGGTAGACAGATTCTGTCTTTTGAGCAGAACCCTAAGTTAGCCACTGTGGCTAGCTTCATGTTTACTGTACAAACATAAAGGTGTTCAGCTACAAAGAAAATAGGCCTAATTCCCAAAATATGTGACTATTCCTTTAAGCATGGTTCAACTGGTATTATGTGAGAATATAACATCAATGTTTTATACCCTACTGTACCTTTAGCTATGCATTTCATCCTTAAATATATTCTCTCTCCTCTGCTGTATGTTAATTACAGGAGGTTTTGATGTGGGTCCTCAGGATAAATTGCGTACATTCCTCAGTTATCCGCACTGCAGGGAGGCTTTAGGTCTGAGAAAAGGCAAAACCTACCTTATCATGGGCGAGTCCAAAGATATTCACAGAGACGACCAAGATCAATCGTAAGTTCTTTGTGTGTAGATATGTTTGTTTAGTGTGTGCAGCTCCATCATAATATTGTCTCCATGAAAAACATTTTATCTGTTTCATTGCTTTCTATTACTAAATCAAGTTTGACTATCTTGTACTCTCATCAATGTGTTACTGTATCTATTGATAGACTCATTGAATGTACAATTTTTGTGGGAAGGAGGAAGTTGTGCTTTTTCATGTTATGCATTCAACATGTGTGTTTCACTTTGCTCTCCTTAGGTATCAGTATGTGCTTGGTGAGAAAACCTGGATCGAGTACTGGCCCATAGAGGCAGAGTGTCAAACTGGGGAATACAGACTTACTTGTTTGGGCTTGGATGAGATGGTCCAGCAGTACGCACTTTTTGGATGCAATCAGTGATGAAGCTCAAGGAAATAAAATGTAGTTTTTAAATCTTTTTTTTCCATTATCCTTGTGTAAAACTTTCACAGCTCTGAGACGGATTAAAAAGTAACAGTGTTACACTCTTGATTAAAATGTAATGGTCTTAATCTCATTGATTGTGTCTTACATAAAGGTTCATTTTTGGTTAATGTAGAAAATTATTAGTAGTGGCTACCATTTGGCTGCTGTATAACAATCTTCAAACTATAAGTAGATGTTTGATGAAGTTGAGCTTAATGGAGTGATCCTACATTCCATAGGAAGGTCAGAATAATAATTTTATTGTTGGAAACTGTTGAACAAAGATTAAGGTAAATGTTGGTCTCAAGCGATATCGGTATAGTTCCAAGATCTTTGTCAGAGGTGATATAGTTTTGATATATGAAGAAGCGTATCTGCATATAGCAAAAGCTTATGTCCTCTATTACCGGATACTATTCTATCATAGTCGTCATCGTTAGGCCTGGCCATCGGGGGCTGAAGCCCCAAATATTTTACAAATAGCCCCGGATCTCAAAGATGTATTTTATAAATATATAAGAAGAAAAAAATAGCCCTGAATCTATTCCTTAGTCATTAAAATCATGCATTAAAGCCCTTGAAAATAAAATGAGGAAAAAAGGATGAAGGAGGCAACGAGGTGCAGGCAAGGCTATAGGAGGTGGAGGAACAACAGGACATCAGTGATAGTGACTTACCTACAGGCCCAGGTTGGTGAAGGAGAGGGCTCTTTAGCTTGGTAATCTAGCTCAGTGGTTCTCAGATGTTTTGTCTAAAGTCACACCTTACATTTTATGTGATGGCACAGTTCGAAAACTACTTGTCCTATTAATCTGCACTCACTGATACTAATGTGGAACATGGGCTGAGCATAGACAGTGGGAGGACCCCTTAACTTAATCACTATATCCAAAATTACCATATCAATAATCAAAGTTTAAGGATTGAAGTTCTACTGAGTAGAAGTTGGCAATATTCACCTGATTTGCCTTTTCAGGACTTCTAGTCATCCTTATCCTAAACCCTAACCATTAACAAATAAACATAGAAATAACAATTCCTGGCAACCAGAGGTATCACTCACCTGGTGGACAAACCACCTCACACAACCTCAGTATGTAGACAGGATGGATTCAATGAGTGAGTCATTGAGAGACATTCACTCCTCTAGGTCATTCCCACACACTACAGGGTCCAGGAATATACTAACTTTGTAAAGAGAACATACACTGGCTCAGAGCTAAGAGCCGGGGGCTTAGAGCCATGTGTGCATTGATCACGACTGTTTTATCCCCTGGGGGCTGCCGTACGTCTCAGGGGCGCCATCTGTCTTCTCCTGTGTTTCAACTTGAGTGATTTAAGAGAGTAATTTTCCATGGAACTTATGAATAGTTTAATTCTAGAGTTTACCTATAAACTCGCACATCCGTCTTCCACCATGACCATAAAACATTAAATGAAATAACAGACAGGAATAATATAAGTGACTCTTATCTAGAGAGAGACAGAGGAAGGGAGGTTGGTGTTTGTGTGTGTGTGTGTGTGTTTATGTATTCATGCATGGCACAGAAAGGCCGGGAGATAATCAGTCCTTTTGGTGCTACTTTTCCTATATAAGAAACAATCAAATATCAATAGACAGAGTCTTATTGTTACATGCTGGAGATTTTGCTTGGTGTCCATTCATTGATCTTCTGGAGCTGACCCTTTGACCCCTGATCTGGTTCAGCGTCTCTCTTCTAAAAGCATGTTTGTGAGAGAAGGGTCCTTTGTCTCTGTTTCCTATGAATTTGATAGGTTGATGGTGGGAAGTGTAACAGAGTGTCAATTTTGGGTCCATAACTGCATGTCCTTACAATGAACTTCTTTAACGGCTTGTGACTGATGCCAGGCCAGGTATGTCTGCTACATACTATAGATGGCCATAAGTTTCCCTGACTGTAAATGTCTATACAGGGGCTCTTCGCTACAGCCTAAATATAATTGCAGTCTGATGACAATGGAAATAGCTGCCCCAGCCTGAGAAATTGGAGGTGTGGCGTGTGAAAAGGGTACCACCAGTCTCATGCTCAATGCATGAGAGTTGGCAGCTCTGCACATATGTGTGTTTGTCTGTGGGGACAAAAACAAAGGCAAGATGACCGATTCAAAATGGTCACTGTGACCACATGGCCTAAACATGAAAGACCAGGGCTGCAGTCGAAAAGTCAAAATAATTTCCTTTCCAAACCCATTTTCCTTGACCTCGATGAAAAACACCACGAGATCAAGGAAAGATGTGAAGGAGAATTCATAAGGACTCAGCAAAAGACAATTTCAGCGTGGAGAGAATCCGACCACTTAAACTAAGCTTTTTTTTAAACTAACTTTATTTATAACACATGGAAGATAAATCCTCCTTTCCTAACCACAAAAACGGAGCAAACAGGATCGAAATGTTGAAATAAGATGAAATGAAAGGAATATACAAATAAAGAAAGCTGAGCCAGTAAAATAATAGTTGCAAGAAATGAGCAAGAAATATGAAGAAATTATATTCAGACATAAGTATATAGTTTCTTGACATATACACTTGTGATATTTCTATACAATTCTAACAGATTTGAAAGAGAATAAATATATATTTATGGATTTGGGCTTCAGTCGATCAGACAAAATTTTTCATCAGTTCTGGATCGTGTCAAACATAAAACAGCTGCTCTGTTGTTTCTACATTTATGTGGGTCTGCCGAGGTGACACTACAATGGCGCGTCTCTTTACATGTTGTGGCGGCAAGGAATTATGGGACGGCATTTTCTCCTTTACTTTCATAAAAGAAGGTCCAGTGTTTCCTATGCTAAATGAGATAGGTTGGGAGCACTAAAGCTCCTTTCCTCATCATTTAGAGAATTTGACCAGCTCCTATCATGGCTGCTGCTGAGACACTTCTGGGTCATTTCACTCAGTAAGGAACCTTCCTATGAGCAAAAAAGACTGATAGATAGATCTGACTCGTACCGGATTCGATGGTACGAGTCTCTACAACACCCGGAAGTGGGTTTTCTGAGTATGATGTTTCATAATGTGTCTAGGAATAGGGGAAGCAACAACTGCCGATGTGGTGTAAAGGTGTAAACCTCACTGTAAAGTCACTGAACAATGCCAGATTTATGTACCAGATATCACAGATGTTATAGCAGTCACAAAAAGATGGAACGTTGTGCTAAAAGCACTAAATTTCAAAGACTAGAGGGTTCATAATAACATCAGATGAACTTTTAAATATATTTTTGCACAGAACAAAGACTGCGGATTTTATATTGCAAAGTGCTAAATTGTATAAACCGTCGTAGTGTTCATATGGGCACCTGGTTGTTGTTTTAAGACAGACCTCAAATACTGCAAACCTGTCCTTTAACCTGGATGAGTCAATAATGAGGAGAATTAAGGTACAGCAGGATGGACTTCATTAGATAAAAAGGAGAGTGTTGCAGAGAGGGAGTCTAGTCTAGTCTGATAGCAGATGCTGGATCAGGTAGGACAATGAATTGGACTCAGCTGTGGCTGCTGGCCTTTCTGGCCATCTCCTCTCTGACTTATCTGGCTGTTGGATCTCCATTGTAAGTAGAACTATTTTACTTTTATACCCTGAATGTCTGTTCAAAATTGCTTTGAGGTCAAAACAGCTGACATGTTTTCCCCCCTGCTTTATGATAACCTTTAAAACTTAAATGAAATGTTGTAAATTTTCTTGTCCATTTTTTCCACATCCATATATGTTTCTTTTTGCTCTCACACAGAATTTAAATGTATACTACATACTACAATATAATTCAGATGTTATCTCTGGAAATATATTAATTTTTGCAAAGTGTGTTGTCGACCGTTAATGTAATGTGTATTAACGGTTAATAGAACACCTGTGAAGGGGAGTGATACATGTCGTTAAAAGTCCCAGAGCTGTCGTACTCTATAGCAACACTCATGGAATGCCTCTCGTCCAATCAAATTACATGGTTGGAACTAACTGTTGTATAATGTACTGTATCAATTTATCTAAGAATTGCAACACTATATTAGAAAATGTACTTTAGTAGTAGGGGAGTGGTATATTGTGGGCAACAATAAAGCCAGAGATTATCTGCATTTGTTATTTGCAGTAAAGGATACAGGATAATAAATGAGACTATTATTATCATTATTATTATTGGGAGTATTAGTTTAACTGTGATCCATTTCATTTGTGTTTGTGTCACATAAGGGCAAACTTTTATCTTTCAAATGCCAGTAAATTGCACAAACATTTGTCCTGAGCTTGCATAAGAACAGACTCAGCAAACAGAGGCCAAAACAATTATGAAATGTTTTACTCTAACAATGGATTCTAACTAGATCCAACTGGATCTTGGTCAAGAGAATAAATATATTACTCATTAAGTGTAAAGTCCATGCTGGATCTGACTGTCCTCATCTTATCCTTACACTTTCTACATTTCCACCACACATCATTTAAGTTCTTTGTTTTCCTTAAGAAGTTACTTATTCTAAATAATAAATTGACATGCTCCAAAAGCAAACAAATAGAATAATAATTCATGTGTGTTCTGGATTGCAATGCTGGTTTGTCAACACTCTGGACTGAAATACTTCAACAACTACTGGATGGATTTCTGTGGAAGTTCGTATACACATTCATGCCTCATCAGTCCTAATAACGTTGTGATCATTGGACATTGTACCATTATCAGGTGAAAATATCATTTTGTCCAGTACTTTGGTTTATGACCAAATACCTGCATTACCAGCCCAAGCTGTACTTAGCCTTTAGCTCAAAGCACCACTGTGGTAGCGTTTAGCCTCGGAGGTCTTGGTAGAATGTATGTGGTGTTTACTTTCAAACATGAAAATGCATATAAAATTAAACGTCAAATTCTCTCTGTGAAAGCAGTACCACATTCTCTATATCTGTCTCCACTTTCAGCCCTAAACAATACGTGGTGCACAGTGACAACAGTGTATTCTCTATCTTCTTCTTTTCCCACTGCTCTGCAGGAAGGTGATGTCTGCCCCCAACTTGTTGCGTGTAGGAACAGCAGAAAACATCTTTGTGGAGTGTCAAGACTGCACCGGAGGAGACATAAACGTCGATATCAGCGTGATGAACTATCCATCCAAGGAAAAAAGGCTGGTAACCACATCTGTGACCCTTACCAGTGGAGAACACTTCCAGGGATTTGGACAAATAACGGTAGATGAAATACTGTTTCTCCTACTTGGCTTCATGTTCTGTCATGACCTCAATGTAGAATTCAGAAATTCTCATCATATAAACCCGTCCTGCTGCTCACACGCCACATCTCTCTTCAAACTGGCCTCAGATTCCTGCAGGAGACTTCAACAGGGATCCAACCTTGAAGCAGCGTGTCTACCTGCAAGCTCAATTCCCTGACCGCCTGCTTGAGAAAGTCGTCTTAGTGTCCTTCCAGTCCGGCTACATCTTCATCCAGACTGACAAGACCCTCTACACCCCAAACAGTATAGGTGAGTCCAGTACTACATCAGTGCTGAGAAACACTCCCATCTCTGTCAGAGTGTCTCTACATAACAATGTACATTAGAAAATACATAACAGTATGATTTTATTTAGATTAGTTGGACTAATGCATTTTTCATGTTTGTAAATGAATGACTGTACTTTAAACTACAGAAACATGAACCTCTTTCTCTTTCTGTCAGTTCATTTCAGGATGTTTGCAGTAACACCACGCATGGAGCCTGTGGAGAGGGACACCGTAACCCAAGCTGATACTACCATAGCCATCGAGATCGTGGTATTGTATTTCAACTTAAGCACAGAATGAAAAGTAATATTATAATCATCTGTAACAACAGATTGTTTCCCTACTTTCATTTTCGTCTCCTCCATTCATCTAAAATTACAACAACAAATTCAGTGAACCATGTTCCTACAGTAGTATGTTAGGTTTCATGTGGATCTCAAGTAACAGGTGTCCCACCACTCACTGTGAAACTGAATATCCTCTAGGGACTGATTTCCGCATTTGAAGGCAGCATCTCTCTCTAAACCAAGACAGAAATTTTTACAATAGCCAAGTGTCAGTCAAGACGCTGATCAGACTCATGGATGATAGACAAAAGATTTGTTGAAAAGTCTTTGTTGCAGTATGGTTGTACTACATGCATTTGTTAAGTGGCTAGGCTCACTGTTAATGGTTGCTCAATGTTGTTTGTGTTTAGACTCCTGAAGACATCATTTTCCCTCTTGACAGTGTCTCTCTGAAATCGGGAATCCACTCTGGAAGTTATCAACTTGGTGAAATTGTCAGGTGAGTATTTAATTTAATTAAATTTACATTTCTTTACATTCTGTTTACATTTCAACAGTAACAGGTGAATTCAATTCAATTAAATGACAAGTATCTTGTATATTTCAAGTGTATTTTAACATGTTTATAGTAAGTACAGTACAGCCCAGTACAGGTAATGTTGTACAGGTAATGTTGCCTATTCAGTGTTTTGACAACTAATAAAAAAATGATCAAGTCATACAAGGTGAACAAGATGAGGAGACACTTTGAATCCTTCGTACAAACACATAAATGAATGAATAATTCTTAGTTAAACTAAATAGGAGAGGAGACATAAACTGGAGTTGAGTGAGTGTAACTTTGTTTAACAAATATGAAAAGTCTTAAATTCCTGGGCTCTGCAATCCTAAACCCTGTGTGTGTGTGTGTGTGTGTGTGATTGAATATTATATTGTTAGCACCTGTATGTGTGCTGAGCTTGTGCAAACCCCTTGTGTCGTGTGTGGTGTGTGTGTTGTGTTGTGTGTAGTGTGTGTGTTGTGTGTCGTGGTGTGTGTGTGTGTGTGCTGGTTGATGTTGTGTTAGTCCTCGGGCTTTGGAAAGTGGTGTGGCCAGGTTTTCACAGCAACACCACAGCAAAGCTACTCTGCAGAATTTGAGGTCAAAGAGAATAGGTGAGTCCCTTTTCACACCGAACTGTTATTACTGTAAAACCTATAAAGCATTCACTGCTATTTTGACCTGATGTTGGACACCAAAATAAAATGTATTTAATTTATCAGTGCCTGCCCAGTTTTGAGGGTGAAAGTGATACCTACGAGCTCCTTCTTCTACGCGTGGACAGTCCACAGCTCACCCATGGAACATTAAAGCTACGTATGTGAAAAGTGTTTACTTTGTGGCTTCTTGACAACAAGTTTTAGTAGACGTATTGGAGGAAAATCATAATAATGGTTTAGAGGTTGAGAATCTTCTGCTTGGTAGTTTGGTTTTAAATATTAAATGGTACTTCCTTCTTCTATGTGGACTTTTTAGGTATCCTGTTGTTTCGGTGATAAGGTGGGATTGGGACAGCCGTTCGTTAGGATCTTTTGTGTTTCGTGCTCATTGAAGGGTCAATAAAGAAGACTTATTCCCCCCCGTACTCCATGTCAGAAATGGTGCAGGGTGAGCATCACGGGGCTTGACTGCAAGATGGTTTGCCAACACTTTTTTGCATTACTCTCAATTAAGTCAGAGTACTTTTTGTTCTAGGACCATACGAAACATATATTTACGCCATTGGGTATATTTACAACTTTCATGTTTTGCTAATTGTCACCCATAACCCCATACACTAAAATTGATATTACGATCATATTCTAAATGTTACTCATCATTTACAAGTATTTAATGGAAGAATTTCAGATGCATGACAACCTGATCCCAAACCCCAATGGGACAGTTGAACACAGGTCAAAGGGAATTGGGTTGACACACCATGATTGAAAAAATACATTGAATTTCACCAATTTATCCTTCTTGGCTTTTGGTTCTCATAAGACATATAGTATTCCTGGTAAATATGCACTACCTCTATGTACTCAACTATTATTATAATATATAATATTCATTATATAAAGTAGTATATGCTATATCATAATGCAACAGATATATTTGATCAGACTTATTTGTGTAGCATTTAGCAGTATTCGCTAGGTTACCTCATGGTGTCTCAAATAGGTGCACAATTTATCAATTATTATTGCTTTATGATGAACAGAAACAGGCAAATATACTATAGACATAAGAGCTAACAATAAAATTCACAAAATAAGGTTAGTTTGATATTCTTTTGTGACTTATACGTGCTATGATGTACATATGCAATAACAAATACAGTTCTTATGAAAAAATTTACTATATCATACCTACCATAAACACATTTAATAATTAATATTAATACATGACAAGCAGCAGAAGTTGTAATGTTGTGTCAGTTTGGTTGTCATTCTGTCTCCATACGAGTATGGTTTTACAGCTTGGCTTATTTACCCAGGACCTACCAAAATATGAGCACGACTATAACGGAACTTGAAAATGTTTAGGATTGTCCTATCTTTTCAGATGACTGCTTTAGTTTCAGTAGTACATTTGTTTACAGCCCTATCTGTAGAGATGAAGCTATTTTATGATGTTCAGATTATTGTATTTTGTACCTATACCTGTTTGCTGGCGTGTGTTACGTGTGCACTATCCTCTATTTCAGTGTATTGTTGTGTTATCGTCAGATCGAGGACGGTGACGAGTGATCAGTACTTGAGAGGGAGCACATACAACAGACCTTTTCGACATTCACGTCCTGGTGACGGGATTACATTTTTGTATCTGTCTCAGTGTGCTGACGGAGAAACCGGTAGAAACAGGACTGTGTGTAGTGCTGTTCAGTATATTTGTATCGATTGTTATTCATAGATAATCTCAGAGCGGGTCAAAGGGTTTAATTTCACGTCATTACTATGGTCTAAATGCTTCATCCAGATGACTTCAGTATCAAGGCAAACGTACGTCGAGAGACGTATGCACATGTTTCTATTTATCAGTTTATTAATGAGTATGAACAAACTGAAAAACAGCTACTCCTTCTAGTCATTCTGCGTGTGTGGTGCATGTGTTTATCGCGTTTCTGCATCAACTCACATAGGTGGTGAAAAATGGTGGAAGGCAAGAGTTTGAGAGGTATCCAGCATTGTCCACATTCACCTTAACACACACTAACTCATCCACTTCAGGAGATCACGCCCCAAATATTTCAAACACCAGGAACTTCCTTCGAATTTCACGTAACCAGTACTTAGATCTCTTACGACTTTAGTGTAAAATTGGCCAAGCAACATGTGGCTGTATTTGTCTACTTTATTAAAAGTCCTTTTTCTAAAACATCCCTAAAAAAATTTCATACCATATTTTTAGAATTTATTTACTTTTCAAACGCCACATGCAATTTAATGCTCTCTTAGTAACTAAAAATAATTAGTGCAGTGTTTCGATCTGTTATGGATCTTCATTATGATGCAAAAATATTCCAGGGGAAAAGTAGAAGTATTGGATCACTGTATTTTATCTAAGTCATAATACTTAATGCACAGCTAGTGCAGTTTGTAGACAAAATTATTTAATTGCCTTTACTAAGACGAGATTAATTGAATGACTTTATAAGACAGTAAGATGTTTTCTGATTGGTCAGATGTTTGTTTCTTTGATGGCAGGTTGAAGTTATGAATCCAGATGAAACTCCAGCAAAAGGTATTGCGGTGGTGCTGGAGCCAGGCGCTGTGAAGGGTTTCACTGCAGCCAACGGCATGGCAAAGGTTACCATCAATACAGTGGCAGGACTCTCAAGTCTGCTTATCACTGTAAGTCTCCAATTTTTCTTTTTCTTTTTTTTTTTTTTGAGGGTGGTGGTGGTGGGGTGGGGTTTGCAAGAACCTACAATTGTATCATCAGAACGTTTACAAAAAGTACAAAGGTATATAGTATCTTAATAAAGACATTATGAAAAAGATGACAGTGACATAGTGCGACAGGCACTGAGTTCAAAGGTAGGCCTTTAAAACTTGGCCGGGTACACCTCAGCTGAATTCAGATTCTGTCAATTAAGCCCAGAAGCTTCTAAAGCCCTGGCAGCGCTGTAATTTTCCAAGCAGTTTCAATGCATCATCAACTTAGTCTATGTAAATGTCTGACCAACTGGAATTGTGATATAGTGAATTAAAAACTAAACAGTTTGTCAGTAAACAATTGTTTGGAAAAATTACTTGTGTCGTGCACAAAATCCATAGATGCCCTCACAGACTTGGGAAAACTTAAGTTTGATAACATGAACTCTGTGGAGTGGTTAAAAAAATAGCTTTGATGACTTTGACTTAAGTGTATCTAAACCTCTGACTTGTGTGTATGCTTACTTGTGTGTGTCTCTAATTGCAGGCAAAGACCAATGATCCTGATATTTCACGTGAAAGACAAGCATCAGCCACCATGACAGCTCTCCCATATAAAACTAAGAGCAACAACTACATCCACATAGGTAAAGAAAGCCTTGAAATAACATCAGATGAAAAAACAAGGTGGTGACAGCAAAGTATGCACCATGTACAAGATCTTTTCAGCGTTGAACACTCACTACAAAATGTCATTTTTGCAGGTGTGGATACAGCAGAGCTGGAATTAGGAGACAATCTGAGAATCAGTCTCATCTCTAACAGGCAGTTAAATAATCAACAAACTGATATCACATACCTGGTGAGAGATATTTTGAACATATGGACATATACACAGCTATTTTTGTTGCATGTTATGACCTACTTAGTGGGTAAGTGCTGATGTGTAGATCTGTGTCCGTAGATCCTGAGCAGAGGTCAGCTGGTGAAACATGGCCATTACAGGAATAGAGGCCAAGTACTGATTTCCCTGATAGTTCCCATCACCAAAGACATGCTGCCATCGTTCCGCATCATAGCCTACTACCATACAAATGACAATGAAGTGGTTTCAGACTCTGTTTGGGTGGATGTCAAGGACTCCTGCATGGGCTCGGTGAGACACACAACACTTGATTTAACAACATTAAACTAATTAAGTGAACAAACAACAGACACACAAAGTAAAAATGATTGTTTTCTATATTTAACATATTTCAAGTAATTGCTTTAACAAGTACAAAACAGCATTCTCATTCATTGCCTTTCCCTTCACATTTAGCTGACGTTGGAATCATCAAGACCTGCTGTGTCCTATGAGCCTCGCAGGATGTTTGGTCTGAAAGTCACTGGAGATCCAGAGGCCACAGTGGGACTGGTGGCAGTTGACAAAGGCGTCTATGTCCTGAATAACAAGCACCGCCTCACCCAGAAAAAGGCAATGTCCTCATCCTTTATTTCCCCTAAGATTTTTTTAAGAAGTTTAATTTAAGACCACAGTGTGTCGACTGAGTTGACACTGTGGTTTGAGCCTGCTGGCTGGAGAGGGGCTCTTTTGTGTGGGGTTTGTATGTTCTCCCTTTATCTGTGTGGGAAAGGCTCCAGCCTTCTACACCCTTTCAATGACAAGCGAGTATTGATAATGGAAATGTGTAGAATTCGAAAATTTGTTGGTGATATTAGCAGCATGAATGTTGTCTCACCTCTACCCTTTTTTCTTCTATTAAGGGGCTGAAATAAAAACGTATTATAACTACTACTTGATTGCTGATTTTTAAAATAGACAAACAGAAAAACAACTTTGTTACATTAATAAGAGTATATGTGATTCATAACGTTCCCTTCTGTTGATTTGGACTTTATCTTGTATAAGTAAGCCTTGTCTGGTTGTATGTCAGTGTGTAAATGATTTCCACCCTGCTCAGATCTGGGACACTGTAGAGAAGTCCGACACAGGCTGCACCCCAGGTGGAGGCACAGACAGTATGGGTGTGTTCTTCGATGCCGGGCTGTTGTTTGAGTCGAGCGCTGCTTCTGGGACTCCCTACAGACAAGGTGACAGTACTTTACTCTGCAGTCTGACTCTTTTCCTCCTTACTAGTCTCATTCTATACAGGTACGTCTGAGTTCACTGCTCATTATTATCTCGAAGTATCCCTAAACCAGTGGTTCCCAATTCTGAGGGCCGCGAAGGTATTTCAAGCGGGCCGACAAATTATTTGCAAAACAGTGCAACTTTGGTGAAAAAATGTAAGATTAAAATATTAAGATATAAATAAGGTGTTTACATATCTTAAAACAAAATGATCTTTAACAGCATTAAAAAAAATTCCTTTCATTGTTTGTTTGTTGGAAAAGGTTGGGAACCACTGATCTAAGCAATGTAAAGGCAAGCTAGTGGCAAACACACTACTGAATATGCTTTATGCCAGCCAAACACCAAACCACTTTTGAAGCAATTTCACTGTCACAGACTAATTTCCCTTGGAATAAAATCACGAAAGTTTTGCTAGAGCGTGCTCCCGTCATCTCGATCATTTGGTGTAAAATGTTCGTCCAAGCTGTTTTACAGATCGCTTCATATGTGTGCTGTATACTTCTCTACACAACACTTTGGACCATGAACTAGCAGTGACTTGGAAGCAACACAGCAGTAAAGCTACCTCTGTAAAAATTTGCAATTGTAAATTACTGTATTAATGTACGTGTTCAGAAACATGAACATTGCTGTGTCTGCTGTGTCAAATGACCTCTCCCTTGTTTTAACAGTTTCACAAGATACCTTTCAGAGTGGGTTTATATTTGCTGGGTTCTTTTTTAGAGCTAGTTTGTTTTGCCTTTCCAGATTTGAGGTGTCCATCCCCCACAAGGAGGAAACGAGCCAGCAGGACACTGGACGTCACAACCAACTGGGGTAAGACCCAACAACTACTGAACTGCTGCATGACAGTTCAGGCTTTTTAGGATATCTGACTTTCAAAATGTGTGTCTCTCTAATGCTATATGGCAGTGAGTGATTTTAATTTTATACAGTAATTTCACCTCTATGTATTATTCGTCTAAATGGCAAGTTAGAATTGAAAGAGTTGCCACTTGCTCACCTCTTGGTAGGTGTACAAAGAGCACTGCAGGTAACTTATTCTAAGTGACAAAGAATATTTTTTAATGCAATGTTGTTTAAGCCAGCAGTCAAGACAAAATAAATCTTTCAGGTGTACTCCCTGACACACTGTACATATTTTGACTTGAATCTGGTGGGTGCAGCAACTGGTTTAACTGTTCTCAGTCTTACTGAGAGTCTGAGTCTTACTTACCCTTTACTTCAACCACAGTTATGGCCAGCAGTGTTTTTCTGCACACTGGTTCCTAAACTATTTTGTTGAACCCCTTAACTTTTGCAGATAAAGCCATTTTTAGCACTAATCAAGTCACATGATGGATTTAAAACACTAACCAATAAAATAAATGGGGCATTGAATAAAATGAATAATAATTCAGCCCAAAACATGATCATGAGTACTATAATACAAAAACAGTTAAATTTCCCTGGTGTCACTCAAAAAATTTGGTGGTGCAGCCTGTATCATTGGCTTCCTGATCTGTTGAAAGAAGATGGAAAGCCAGCGAGCTGAGAGGAAGGAGGAAAACCTCTAACTGGGCAAAAGCTGGAGTGGTTACATTCATTGTCATACTTGTAATCAGAAAACAATCACTGCCTGCCAGTGAAAAATAGTAACCATTTTAATGACACTTTAGAAGAAGAAGATTTGGAAGACAGAAGCAATGGAATTGTTTCTCGCACCAGATTCACTGAAAGTTGGCTGTGGTCCGACGTCAAACTGCCTGCTTGCCCTGGTAAAGCACCCAACTGGTGAGGAAACAGAAATAGACGCACAATAAAGCCATACCACTACTAATGTTTCCTGGATGATATTTGCTCAGCTGAATCTGACAACACTTTTTTTTTTTTGTTTCAGTGTGTCCACATCATTTATGAAAACATTTCCTTTATCTGACTCAATCACAACCTGGCAGATCATCGGTATTAGTCTGTCAAGAACTGGTGGTGAGGACTCTTCTTTTGTCTTTCTGCAGGATTTGACGTTTTCTTTCTTTTTCTTTACATTGTTTGTGATTATAAGGCTTTTTTTGGGCAGATTACAGAAACATTTCTGGTTTGATTCTGTCCCAGTCCTTTGATGTCACCCTCTCTGTCACCACATTCCCATCTGTCTCAACTGTCAGCTGTCAAATAATGGCACATAGCCAAGGCTTGCCTAAAATGTTCCCATATTTGCTTGCTACATATATATTTGAATCTCTTTTTAGTTTATTTGATTTATCTTTCATTCCTCCATTTCTACTTTTTAAAAATATGTACACATACACATAGAGACATGAGGAAATATGATTAAGTGTTAGATATTGGATTATGACAAGAATAACCATGTCTTCTGGTACAGGATAAGATTATGGCTCCCTTCATCTCATTGGTTTAATGAGTCACGGGTTGTGTGGTCCATAGGCAGTTTTTCACAGTTCAGGCGGGCGTCACGCAGACTGACACTTAGTGGTCAAGACTTTCAGTAGGTTGCATCAGCAAGATATGATAGAATTATAACTCTGAAGGAGGATTCTGGTCTTTGGGGATTAAGTCACACATTTAGATTTTAAACAAATTTTTAAAATTATAAGGTTTCTCCATGTCACTGATGCCCTCGCCATTCTCTCCTCCTCTTTCTTTTCCTATTCTTTTATTTAATGTTTATTTTTTCTCTTGTCTTTAAGTAATCTGTGTGTCCAATCCATTGGAGGCAGTTGTTTGGAAGCAATTCTTCATTGATCTCAAACTGCCGTACTCTGCTGTAAAAGGGGAGCAGCTGGAAATTAAGGCAGTCCTCCACAACTACTTCCCTGAGCCTGCTATCGTAAGTCTGGGCTATTTAGCTTGTGTGTTTCAGGACAGATGGCAAGGTTTTCTACAAAAATGTACAGTGCAACTTTCATTGAATTTATGCATGATTCACTGACATTCAGTGGTATACATACTCATCCTCTGTTAGCCTGTCACCACATTTCATACTCATGATCTTCCCTTGAACGAATAGTTCAGCATTTTGGAAAATGTGCTTATTCTTTTAATATCATATCAGTGAGCTAGCTCTTTAGCCTAGCTTAGCAAAAGTACTGGAAGCAGTGGGATACAGCTAGCCTGGCTCTGTTCAACATAAAAAAAAAAAAAAAACACATCACCTATCTGCTTAATCTAATTTCATGCATGTATGCCATTTGTAGTTTTAGAGGGAGCTCTGTGTTGTAACTATTTCTTGGCAAACAACAGCCAGGTGCAGCGGCTGTGCGCAGCATCACAGTTTTGAGTTTTGTCATCAGAGACAGATTTAATACCATTGTTCCTGCACAGACACTTATTGCTGTTGTCGAGACAACAATCTGTCTCTTTGAAAAAACAAAAGACCTGCTACACACACAGTGGCATCAGGTTCCTTTGGGAACATGTTACACAGGACCTCACCTGGGCACTGCTGAAATGTCGACATATTGCTTTAATGGTAGATATGGTTATTCTTGTCACTGTCCTAAACTGGGTATGCTCTCCTACCCCAACTGATCATTTTGATCCTTATCCTAGAACTGTGTCCGTGTGTTGTGGTGATGGTGATGCCAAAATATCCAACAGGTGTTAAATTAGGTTGAGACTGAGTGCCAGAGCATTTAATTTACATCATTTTCATACTCGCTGAACCATTTGATGACTCCACATGCCCTGAAAACATTTGCATTCAATAATTTTTCTCCCTTCATTTACTCAGTTTTCTTCGATTTGTCACCATCAGAAATCTCTCTCAGTCTTCATTCTCCACCTCTCCCTCTTTACCTTTTTCAAGGTGCTTGTGGAACTGGTTGAGGCGGAGCATGTGTGCAGTGTAGCTTCAAATCGTGCAAGGTATCGTCAGGAGGTCGTGGTTCAGCCTCAAACCACCCGATCTGTACCCTTCATCATTATTCCCATGAGGGAAGGACAACTCGGCATTGAGGTCAAAGCATCTGTTAAAAACTCGTCGCTCAGTGATGGAATCAGGAAGATGCTGAAGGTGGTGGTAAGAGAAACCAACCCCTAACTGTCTAGCCACTACCTTGATGATCAAAATTGTTGTAGATCTTTGACACTTGTCTTATTTTTTATTTTATATTGTGTGTGTGTGTGTGTGTGTGTGTGTGTGTGTGTGTGTGTGTGTGTGTGTGTGTGTATCAGGCTTTTGATATTAATGTGGAAATAGTTAGAAACACATGGTAAAACAATGAGAAGTATTGTAACATGTACGCTTTTGTCTAGTGGTCAACGGTTTGTTTAAAAAATAGTCGTTATTCCTGTTGTGTTTATTAACTGCTGTTTTTCCAGCCTGAAGGTGTGCTAACAAAATCTGAAAGTATTATAACACTAAACCCTGCTGAGAAAGGTGTAGGTAAGTTTTGTGTTGAAGTAGCTTCAATGAGCAAAAATATTGCAACATCTGCTTTTTTATTTGCTAATCTTCTAACTCGTCCTTTAGACGGTAACCAAGAAGAAATAATCAGAAGTGACATTTCTCATAAACATATGGTTCCAAACACAACTGTGAGCACAACGATCTATCTGACAGGTGAGCTCAAGTGACTTATCTTCATGGAACTAAAGACGCTCATCAGTCTCATCATGTGGCTAATTATACTGAATTGCAGTTTGAAATAGCAATTTCACATGAATAATATGAGATGTTTAGCAAACTAATAGAGGAAGAAAATGCAAGTGGCAAAACTTATCATACATGTGAGGTGTAACCAGTAACCTACTGGATAAGTTTAACTGACTTTGCTGGTCAATAGCCACGCTCGGCTTACCTCTAGCATTCCTAGGCTAACCACTAGCATACCTAAGATAACTGAAAAACAGACGAGGAAACGTGGCTCGTGATTTTCACAGTAAAAGCTCTGTTGCATCTGCTCTCACTGAACACTAATAGTGTTCGCACGATTCTCTCATTGTCACAGTTAATAAATACAGAGCCTATTTCAATGGCATGTTGTTACAGCAACATGATGGTGCAGTGCCTTGGTTACAGGTTTAGGGCAGAGCAGCATTTTCTTTGATATCGGAGGATCTTTATGATAACATATATATATATATATATATAACATATAACATAGATCAGTAGCTGGCTTTAGCAAAGATATACAGTAACTTCTTGGGAGTCTTAATTTTGTCCCTTACCCTGCACCATAGCAGGAACACTCTTGCAAAGTACATTGTTCCCTCTCATTTGCAAATAACTACCTCACTGGCTATGGGGTTCTCTGTGTGTCCACACAGGAAAATGGCAGCATAGTGGGCTGGTGGAGGACATCATTGGTGGGAAATCAATGGGTAGTCTGATCTATCAGCCGGCAGGGAGTGGAGAGAGCAACATGATACACATGACCATGCCTGCCATTGCTACCATGTATTTAGACAAAACCAACCAGTGGGAAACTGTGGGCGTTGAGAAACGTAATGAAGCCCTCGAACACATCAAGACTGGTAAGCTCACACACACAGATGCATTTGTTAGTACAGGTACCACAAATTTTATTAAAATGAGGAGCCCAATTAAACAGGACTCCAATGGACAAGATTCAGTAGAAACCTGAATGTCAGTCAGTAAAAAGGTTGTTTTGTTTGTGTACAGGCTACCAGAACGAGCTTGCCTACCGTAAAAGAGATGGATCTTTTTCTGTATTTCCCCATCGCCAAAGTAGCACCTGGTGAGGCATGCAAACATCCATGAACCATGACTATGTGAGGATGGTTGTATTTCATATGCAAATAAACAAAACTCAACAATTGCACCCTCTCCTTTCTTAGGCTGACGGCCTATGTGGCCAAGGTGTTTGCCATGGCCAACAGTCTGGTTGCAGTGGAAAGGAGCGTGATCTGTGATGCTGTCAAGTATGTGATTCTCAATGCCCAGCAACCTGACGGCTTGTTTCGAGAAATCGGGGGTGTAATTCACAGAGAGATGATCGTGGGTGCCCTGATTTCAATTACACCAGTTCCTTAAACCTGCTGCTAAACAAAAACAAAAAAAAGACACCTTTGCATGTGTGTGTGTGTGTGTAGGGTAATGTGCGTGGCAGAGATTCAGATGCCTCCATGACAGCCTTCTGCCTCATCGCCATGCAGGAGTCACGCACACTGTGTGCTGCCACTGTTAATGTGAGTATCTCACCTGCTTACAATACAGAGGCACTTCCTTTTGCCTCTTGTTATTCCTTTGTTTTTGTGGCTTTCTACAAGTCAACAAGGCGTGTGCTGACTATTGTACCCTGCAGGCAACACCATGACTTTATGTACGTAAACCTAGGTGTCTTGACTTAACTAAAGCACTTCCAGCTTTCATTATTTGTCCCCCACCCCCGGCAACTCTTTAAAACTACTCCTTTGTGATCGTGAAGTCTTTCAATTAATTTTTAAGCATTCCTTTCTCCATTTAAGGGTTAGTTCGCACAAAAATTACAAGAAAAACAAACATATTTTTCCACTTGCCCTTAGAAGTATCGAGGCTCCCAGACTGCTCAGATTTTAACCATCCAAATTATTACTGCAAATACCTGTCTGAATGACTTCTTCTGCAACCCAAAGCAATGGATGTGAATGTGATTTTGTTTATGATGCTCATGGCATTGAAAATCGACATTTTAACAGCAACATCTCTTTAACATTGTCCCAATGCATAATCTGCTGAGTTGGAGCTCGGCTCTGCCACTCACTAAGCTTCTGGATGTAGTTATGTCTCCTCATTAGCTGTCTCCTCCTTCTGTCCAGACTCTGCCAGGCAGTATAGAAAAAGCAGTGGCCTACCTGGAGGGGCGCCTGCCGAGCCTAGTCAACTCTTATGCTGTTGCCATGACATCATATGCCCTGGCCAATGAAAACAAACTGAACCAGCAGATCCTCTACGCGTTTGCCTCCCAAGGTTTCCTTACATAATATTCCCATACATGATCACAAACAAAAGCTACTGTGTGTTTACTTTTGTGTGTGTGTTTGTGTATGTGTTTTTGTTACCTCTTTTCCTGTATAAACACTGTCCTTGTTGGGACCAGTATTCCTCATGTGAACTAAAGCTCAGTTCTAACGGAGCAAAGGTCATTTCTGAGGTCCTGGTGAAGGGTAGGCTTTCCTCATTGAATGACACAACAAGACTAGCTGTGCAAACTGTGTGTGTGTGTGTGTGTGTGTGTTTGTGTGTGTGTGTCTTAGTCTTAGACTTGTCCCACTGGCCTGTACCTACCTGTATCACACAGGTTCTGCTTTGTTATAAAATGTATTCATCTGTGTTTTCTATAGATTTCTCCCACTGGCCTGTACCAGGAGGACATGTTTACACAATGGAGGCCACAGCTTACGCTCTTCTTGCTCTCGTCAAGGTCAAGGTGAGCGTGCAAAAAAAGGAAAAAAACAAAAAACAAAAGAACAATACAGTTGAAGGCTTGGTGAAGGAAAGTTTCTGGTGTGCACGTGAAACTTTTGTGTGCTCACACTTTCTGTGTGTGGGCGCGTATTTTTCAGTGCATAAGTTGTTTCAGTGTAACCATGGATGTATTATAAGACCGGTCATGAGATCTGGTAAACAAAGAAGCCTCCTAAAAATATGGATAGCCTCCTCCGAATGGCTGCCTGCCATTGCTACTCTCCATGAAGTTGTTACTTTCTCCAAGGAGCTGATGGGCCACCGTGCCGCTGCCCTCCTGAGTCTACGGGTGGATGTCGCGCTTGCACAATTATGCCAAGCTCCTGAAAATCATAGAGACAAACGCGTCAAGTTCACAAAAATAGAAACTACCGCATCCTGTCCTGACTTCCAGAATAAAATGTAAATTTTTTTCACGCAAAGCGCTCCATGTTAGCGTAATGAGCACATATGTATCCGGAAGTCAGCACATTAACAAACAAAAGCACCATATATCACTCTGTGTTAAAATTTTGGGATGTGTATATGCATGTTTTTGGTGTGTATATGAAGTTTTCATTGTGTACGTGGTTAATTTGATGTGTATGTGAACACTTTCATAGTGTTTCACCCTAATCGGCCTCCCATAAATAAGCCTACTTTAACCTGTGCACCACAAACTTTCTTGTGAGCACACAAAAGTTTTTTTTTTTTTTTTTTTTTCCCATGTCCCCTTAGGGGCTTCGTAGATACCAAAGGATTCTTAGACGGTAGAATGCATTGAGAGATCTTAAAAGTTTGTTTCATCTTTTGAAAAGTTGCATGCAGTAATTAATCAGGATTTCTATGTTAACAAAAATAGATAGATAGATAAACTCACAACCACAAAGAGTTCAACCCATTTCTTGCCTTCTCTTAATAAAGGCCTTTGAAAAAGCCAGACCTATTGTGAGATGGTTCAGCCAACAGCAGAAAGTGGGCGGAGGCTATGGATCAACTCAGGTAATATAGGACTCTCTTCTCTCTCTCTGGATGCATTCATGGATCTGTAATAACTCATGAGCTCAAGCTTTGACATTGATTATGTCGTTCTTTCATTCTCTCTCTCTCTCTCTCCAGGCTACTATAATGGTGTACCAAGCTGTAGCAGAGTACTGGTCCAGTGCCAAAGAACCAGATTATGATCTGTATGTGGACATCTTGTTGCCGGGCAGGTCAAAGCCTAACAAATACATCTTCAACAGGGATAACCATTATGCCACAAGAACATCTAAAGAGAATACACACACACACACACACACACACACACACACACACACACACACACACAGAGACACACATAGAATGAACTCACACAAGCACACTCCGTATTTGCCCTCCTTAATATACTGCATTAGTCTTTCAGGTTTCAGCACCTTCTTTCTTCTACACATAATATGTACATCATTTATCAATAAACCTCAAAAATACAGTTTTAACATATTATATGCAGCATGATAGAAGATACTTATATACAAATGGCTCTTCTTGCTTATCCTTTCTTGTAATTACTTGATGAACCGAGTTCTAAACTGCCCTACAAAAGCAAGGTACAGCAACTACAGAAGCAGTGAAGGTGATATAAAAAAGGATTTAAGGTTTTCAGGCTGGATGGGAAACAACAGACAAAGGGAGGCTACAAAGGTTGTAATATAGTGTTTCTCATTTAGGCTGATTATTTTACCTGATCAGAATTTATATTTTCAATTTACAGATGTTGAATATGGAAAATCAATAACTAAACGTAGCTTTTGTTTTAGCTATGGCTAACCACAGCCATCTTACAAGCAGGGTTCCTGCACAATTGGGTTATTTCTGGTGTGTTGCTGTGGGTTGTTTCATCTAAAGTGAATACACACAGACACACTTGTGGTAGATATTAAAATGCATTTAAATGCAATGTTTATGGTTTGGCAGAGGCATATTTTGAGTTCTGTTATTGGGCCGGTTTTTGGGCTGGTGGTTTTCATGCTGGTTTTTTCACACAGACCTGGCAACCCTGCTCACAAGCATACATTATTATTATTGCTTTACCTTTTGAATGTGTGTTTGTGTGTGTTCATATTTTAAATCTCAACAGTTCAAAAATATAAACGAAGATATAAGAGTTTCTGCCAGAGGAACAGGAGAGGCAACATTGAAAGTAAGCAAAACACATTTTTGTGTGATATTTCATTATCTTTTGTGTATTGTTGTGTGCTTTCTGAATCCTTGATAACTCCAAAGACATTTTTAATTACACTGTGTAGGTTGTGAATGTACTGGAAATGTTACCACAATATTAAACTGTACATTATAGTTTGTAATTTGCAGTAATAAAGCTACTATGTGAAGAAGTAAAAAAAAAAAAAAAAGCCTTACTTTGTTACAGTACCTTCTGATGGTAGAAGAACCACCAAAATGACACACAGTGCACAGTGACTAACCCTCCCCTCAGCTCCCATCAGATATGACTCTGGGACACCAAATGAACCATAGTATGTGCCCATTGTCACTGTTTTATTTTTTTAAACAAACATTATAGCATAGCGTACTGTGTCCACCTCATTTTTACCACATTTCGAAGCATGAAGAAGTTATAATGCCTTAAATAATTTGACTGACAAGTAGCTGGAGTTCTATTTCGTATAAGCATCACCCTCTAAGAGCTATCTTTAATGGATTTATCCCCTCACGTAGACGCATTAATATTTTTTTTTGTGGCCTGTGCCCAGCACTGGGCCCCAATCAAGTCAGACTCTATAGCATATAACACGTGCTTGACCTACTCCCCTTTTTTCTTCGGTGCTTTTGCGCTTTTCCATCTGTGCCCCTCCTGCCAGGCAGGATATATCATGAAGTTCGGTCTCCACGCACACTGCGAATCATGCCTTAGCCCAGACCACACCAGCCTTGCTATTGCTCTCCAGGCCACGGGCCCCAGCTGTGCGTGTTTGCCTGTAGAAGAAGCAGCAAGTGTACGTCTTTGCTACGACTTCAGGAAGGCAATAATGATGATGTCAACAGTAGCCTAGACAGGAGGAATTATAAGTCCTGGATACTGTGTTGCTGCTCAGCCTTGCAGATGTCATGCAGTAAATGTTATGGGCTGGATTCGAACCCTGGGCCACTGTGGTAAAGACTGATTTTTAATGGCGTGCGCTCCACCAGTTGAACCACCGAGGTGCTCCGTTGTCGTTTTTTAGTGTTGGAATGGCGTGGGTGCGCTGTGCGGTGTGCATTGGTTCATGTTTGAGTGCACATGACATGACAACAGCAGTTGCAAAAAGTGGGTGCACTTATTTCTGTTCATGACAACAGAGCAAAATGCAAAGACAAGCTCTCCAAAATTGGTCACATTGCTGTGCTGTGGACAGGAAGGCTGAACACATAGTTGCAAAGACCTTACATCCACTACAATCAGTTCGAGCTGCTTCTGTCTGGTCGTCGATTTAGGGCCCCGAGGGCCAGCCGGAACATATATAAGAAGTCTTATACAGGCACTGAACACAGAATGACTACATCAGGGAACTCTTTAAGATTTGTTGTCTGGTATTTATAATATAATCTGCTGTTACCTGCTCAGTTGCAATCAATCAATCAATTCAGCTGAATGAAATGGTTCTCAGAACAAGGGCAGTAAACGTATGGGTCAAAATGGACAAAGACGCTAGACAAACATATATATATAGTCAATCTAGAATAGGTGTACGATTGCCATTGAATAGTTAGTTGAGCGGGATCTATTGGGTAATGGATCCACTGGCGGCAGAATAAAAAGTTTTGCCTTTAAAACATTTAGATTATACGATAAATGATTTTGAGAATTAAAGTATTAAATGAGAATTAATACCTTCCACCAAATTGGATTCAGAGTTAATCTTGTCTCTGACAGATGGTGTCGACGTATTATAGTTTGCCTGGTGAAGAGAAGAGCGACTGTAAGAAGTTTAACCTGTCTGTGCAGCTCCTCCCAGGTAAGTTGTTGTCCTCTATATCCCTCTGTCTTTTGCTGTTGGTTTTTATTCTAGCTGTGTCTGTCTTGCTTGTATTTGTGTGGTCAATTGCTTGTTTGTCTGTTTTTTCTGCGAAGTATTCTTTCTTGAGAAAAATTAATAAACTAAACCTAATGTTTTTCTCCTCCAGAGAACGTGGATGAGGATGAGAGGATATACAAGCTGAGAATAGAGGTTTTGTAAGTACAATCAAGAGAGTCATTTGTTCACATTACAACTGAACTGTATTGTTAACTTAAGTGACATCCATCTTTTATTTCCCACTGTAAGACACTTATTGGACAGGATTAGACATGAATTTCACTTCAGTTTATGGTACAGCTCTGTTTTTAATGTGTCGCAAATTACTCTCTTAAGAGAGGCTCATAGGTGTCTATCTGAGATGAAGATAAATGAAGATGCAATGCCCTGGCAGCTTCCATAGCCTTTGTGACATACATGAGTAGAACAAGTATCACTACCTACAACCTCCAGGGACTCTGCACAACATCCAGGCTTATAAATGTCATTTAAAGGAGCGCCCAGATGTGACCTGATGTGGTTTGACTTTAGTTTACGGTACAGTATTCTTCTAATGAGCAACAAAAAACCCAGTAAGAAAGTGAAACTTGAATAAAGGCCAAACAAATGTATTGTCCTCTGAGCTCTCATTGTTTTGTGTCACTATTGTAAAGGTTTTGCAGGATATAATATGGCATTTTAATTTTGTCTAATTGAAGCCTGTGTTGTCTAACGAGGCTATCATAGGCCCATGTTGGTCATATGAAATGTGTTTTCTATTTCACCATTATTTGTAGAATAGCATCTAACTATAGCATATTTTGGATCTGATAGGAGATTGTATATTATTTCTAATAGTGTATCACAGTCTCCTATTTGGCTCTAATTTAGTGTAAAAAGTGTCTGACCATTGTTTTCGCTCTAATATGTAATTATATACAGGGTTACTATTTACAGCATAATTTAGGTGTATGGTGTCTAATTAGTGTATGAGTGTGTTTGTTTACTATCTAATGAAGACCATGTTATTTCTAGTTTTGTTTAATGATACAAAGTACTGCTTGTTATGTCTTATTAGTGTACTGTAAAATGATGTGTGACTGACAAGTGTCACAGTTACATGGCAACGTACAGCCGCCACCACCACCTCAATTTTTGACCCATTCCTGTATTTCGGTGGTTTATTTTTCACTCTTGCCATAGTTGTAATTTTCCTAACCCCTGTGCCCCAATTTCACATGTCAGCCTCTGTTGACATGGGAAATCAGCACGGGTTGAGTGCTGTGTTTGCTGCTGTCTCTCCTATGAGCAGCTCTAAATCACCCTCACCCTATTTGAAACATTTAAAAGATTTGTAAAGGTTGTTGGATTTTAAATTTGATAAGTGCTTTGCTTTCGCCTCACCCATCTCTTTCATGTCATTATCTTAATTTTTCCATCCATTCTGTGTACAGGTATAAGGACACGGAGCGTGATGCAGCCATGTCGGTTTTGGATATTGGCTTGCCAACTGGCTTCACTGTGAACAAAGGAGACCTGGATTTAGTAAGATTACACGCAAATTTACAAACACAGGGTCACGCAATCCTCTTTATCTTGTTTGTTCTAACCAGTAACACTGACTTTGAAACCCTGTCTCTCTCTCTCTCTCTCTCTCTCTCTCTCTCTGTGTTTGTGTGTGCTTAGTTATCAGAAAATCATACTCGCAAAATTGCAAACTATGAAATGACCCGAATCCTGTCAGAGAGAAATTCACTCATCATCTACCTGGACAAGGTTGAATTTCTTTCCTTCTATCCCCTTTTCTCTCTGGTCCCCTTACTCAAATTCTGATTCAAGTATGTTTTATTGATAAGAACATTGACCATATCATCATTCTTCATAGTGGACCAGTGGTGCATATCATATACTTTAATCAGGCCTGTAGATACTTCAAGACAGCTCCCACCTCACCTGATTGACACCTCACCTGAACCCTTGATTACAACAAATAAATGTCTGTGAACATTAAATGCTTACAGATCATTGATGTAATAAAGTTTGGATGCACCAATTTGCTGGAGCCAGGCTAGAGACATGGAATACAATGATACTACCTATACCCTAAATCAACTACGAGAGGGCAAAAAAAAAGCACTCTACGGGCCATTCCAGGCTAATTTCGACTAGACAGCAGCTACAGCAGGTTGAGAAATACAGGGTCAGATTATTTTAGTATTCTGACTTATCTCTATTGGTAACCTGCTGACATCACTGTGAACAGTTTCCATTAGAGCTATTCTACCAAAGAAAAAGTCCCCATGAAACCTGTCAACAGCAAGGGCTGCCATTGTGTATGTGCATTTTATGGCCTAAAAACTAGTGAAATGAAGTTGTGTTTCTCTCGCTCTCTCTCTCTCTCTCTCTCTCTCTCTCACATCCTGTACCTTTGTTGGATCAATCCTCAGGTTTCTCACACTCAACCAGAAGAGATCGCTTTTAGGATCCATCAGACGCTGAAAGTGGATGTCTTACATCCAGCTGCTGTGTCTGTCTATGAATATTATGACCGTATGTCTCAAAGACACTGTATATTGCTTCAGTGTGCTTTGATTAGTTTTCTTTGCTGTCTGTCTATGAATAATATGACACTGAGTCTCAAGAAAGACATACAGTATAATTAACAAATGACCATGCCTGTTCATTGTAGCTTAACAATTTATTTATCGCTACAAATAGCTTTGAGTGTATATGACAGAGTAGAATAGGATACAATTAAGATACATTATATATATTATATTATACAATCCTGTGATCAGTCAACACAATATTTTTCTAATATCTTTCTTCCCTGTTGCAGAGACACATTGTGTGAAATTCTACCACCCGGAGAGAAGTGGAGAGCTAATGAGGTTGTGTAGAAATGAAGAATGCATATGCGGAGAAGGTAAACAAGATGACAAAATCTCCTGATTTTACAAATAAATTCGTAAAATGAATGTGTGAAATTGTTTCTTGGATGAGTGTAGGATTTAAAGGCAGTTTAAAGATATCTTAGGTGAGAGCTTGAGAATGGTGTCATCTTACTTGTGTAGACAGGTGCTGCTGATTGCACACGAGCAGTTCATTGGTCTGAGGCTTTATGAAAAAAATGAGTAAAAGACAGAAACACACATGACTTAGGTTATAACATAAGCTACAGGCATATACATACAATTGCTCATTCATTTGAGTCATCTGTTGTGTATTATTTTTGTGCCCATTGTACATTTCCAGGCTACTGCAGTAAGCTGCAAGAGGACAAGACCAGACATGAAAGCCGTGCTGGTATGGCTTGTGAGTCAGATTATGGTAAGAGTGTGTGTGTGTTTGTGAGTGAGTGAGTGAGTGAGTGAGTGAGTGAGTGAGTGAGTGAGCGATCTATCACCTATTGAGCTAACAATCTGAAACTTGTCTCCTCTCAGTGTACAAAGTACGATTGGCGGGGTTTGAACAAGTTTCCTCTGTTGACATTTACACAACGGAGATAGTAAAGGTCATTAAGTCCGGTGGGTATTAATCTCTTCTTTCCTTTCCCAGAAGATCCTGAGTCATGCATACATGAAATGTCCAAGAGTATGTCAGAGACTTTTTTTTTTTTTTTTTTTGAGAACTTTTGCCTTTATTCCAATAGCACAGTGAGAGATAGACAGGAAAGTCAGGGAGCAGCAAAGGGCCGCTGCGGTTAGGACCAAGCCTTTGAGGTAGGCGCTCTGCCAGGTGAGCTACCGAGGCACCCCCACAGAATAGTTTTTTGTAATTAAGGGAAGTCAGTAAGGATAATGATCTTTAAGATGATTCAAAGTGACATAACAACTTCCCAGATTGTTTCCAGCCAGGCAGAATTCTTACCCATGTATGCAATGTGTTTGAGAATACAGCAGCAATAATCCTACATGAAACCTGTGACAAAGTTAATTATGGTCTCCTGTACTCTCCTCTCCATATACTTTAATTGCAGGATATACTGATGTGAATCCTCTTAATCAATCGCGCAAATTCACCAATCATCCACAATGCAGGCAGTCTTTAGAACTGACTGTAGGCAAAACCTACCTTCTAATGGGCACAGACAGAAATATTCGCAGGGATCCCCAAAGTCAAATGTAAGTTTGTTCTGTGTGTGTGTGTGTGTGTGTGTGTGTGTGTGTGTGTGTGTGTGTGTGTGTGTGTGTGTGTGTGTGTGTGTCTTGTAATATTGTCACCATTTAAACATTATCATTTCCCTGCTTTCTGTTACTGCATACTGTAAACTGTACCCGAGAGAGTATGCCTACATTGTAAGTCAATGTAGGAATTTATTAAATAATGACACAAATGCAATGACGTGTACAAAGTGGAACATCTTTACGCACACATGCAATTTTGGGTCATGTGTGTGTAGCAGCGTGACAGGTAACTGACTGCAGTAGAATATATCTGTAGATGTGTTGGTTAAGTAAATACACTCTCGCACTTTTCAAATTGGAGGCCACAGACTTGCTTGTCCTGCTACATTCAGATGGCGGCACAAATGTACTTAACTGATAGAGGACTTCATACAGTACAAAGCAGCTGATAATAAGTGATTCTATCAGAATCATCTATATCAATATATACTTACACACAGACAGCCTTTCAACATTTCCTTCCTATAAGGTTTGCCTTGTTTGACAGAAGAGAAACTGATGAATGTCTGCAGAGTGACATAAATGAAAGACCTGGTTTTCAAACATCTATTCTAAGCACAATGTCTAAGACGCATTTAAAAAAACTGACTTTGCTCTGCCTCAGTTGAGTGAAACTCCCACCTGTTTTGTGCCACTCTTTGTACCTCTGTGCAATGCACGCTAAATAAACACAGTAAATTATCTGCCACTGCTTGCACTGACTGTAGTGAAAGGAGCTCTGAATGTTTCGGGGTTTTTTTTGTGAGAGAGAAGACACGTCAGTAGTTGCTATGATCATTCTGATCTTTTTTCATTATTTGCAACATACTATAGATTGTAGAATCGATCATAAAAATAAATGAACTGCATGTAGGTAACCTTGATGAATCCTATTTCCCTATGAACAAATACCTGGTTACATGAAGACCCACTGTGTTTTTCATTTTGTTCTCCGCAGGTATGAGTATGATCTCTTAAACTTTAACTGGATTGAGTACTGGCCCACAGAGGCAGAGTGTCATGCTGTCGAACACAGATTTAACTGTTTAACCATTCGGGAGTTCACTGCCACCGCATGTTTGCAGTAATGAAACTTTGCACTTTGCATTATTCTTAATATGTAAAACTTATATGACTTGCAGAAGTCTCAATATTATACTGTATTCTGTTGATTAAAATGTATAACAGCCTTTATCTAATGGTCATGGTCTCATCATTGAGGTACTGTAGTTGCCATCAGTACGGTGCAATGCTGAAAACAGATACTATTAAAATATTCAATAACTTCCTTGTACACTTGTGTCTCGAAAATCACTTAACACATCAATAGTCTCCTGATGTTCATATTACCATAACACTTAGTTTGGAAAAATAGGCTTTTTCATAATTTTGGGGAATTTTAAAGGTCTTTGTGGAGCTCTTCATATGAATTTTAACAATGGCAACATGCACAGTATTGTAATCATACAAGAACACATTAATGGATGTTTTGCAAGAATTTGTAATTAATTGCAAGGCTATTTATATGTTAGCCTTTACCAACAACATAATTAATAGAAATGTTTCTTAAATGTTGCTGTTCACAATCGATTTACAGTAAAAGACAAACATTGTGTTGACAATGAATCACATACACACACCAGGTGACAGAATAGGTGAATGAATGTCTGCTTCACTTAAGGACTACTGTGTTTGAACTTACAGTATTAAATGAACAAACTACTACATGACAAATGCTCTTCTATAAATTGTGTATTATATATAAGAACACACTTTTTGTGATATGATTTTGAGAATAAACACGATTTCTAAACAGAGATTGTGTGTGTGTGTGTGTGTGTGTGTGTGTGTGTGTGTGTGTGTGTGTGTGTGTGTGTGTGTGTGTGTGTGTGTGTGTGTGTGTGTGTGAGAGGGAGAGAGTGTGTGAGAGAGAGAGAGTGTGTGAGTGTGTGTCTATGTGTGTGTGTGTGTGTGTCTGTGTGTGTGAGAGAGAGAGAGAGAGAGAGAAAGTCATCTTAAAACAGTCTTCTGCGCTAATAGAAGGTTCTCATGCTGAATAGCAGACATGCCAAAGTGGAAGAAAGAAATCAGCATACTAGCATCAACAACTATAGTTAATTTCGAAATAATATATTGGGAAAATTTCCTGTTTTGATTTTACCATGTACTTTAAAAAATGGCCTGTATTCACATCACATTTATTATCATTAGTCACCTTGCATAGGTCCTGGTGTCCCTGTGCCACATATTGTTAGACGCTACTTTTCCCGTATTCTGGGTGTTTAATCTTCCAATCTACATTACAGTAAATAAGTCTTACAACCTGCAAATTTGTTTTAGCTGTATATCAACCTTAAGAATCAATGTCTATGATTTGTATGTAATGGTGCTTCCCATTCATTTATTTAGCATCCTCATTTCCTCTCATCTCTCCCAAAGGAGGACCGAAGAGACCGAAAACAAGTAAATGGGATAAACCTAAACATAGATGTTGTACTGCTAGCCTGCAGTACAACATGTCCAGGTATTGACATTTTATTGAAACCAGTCTGACAAAAAGAGCAGGTATCTATTCTGTATTAAGAAAAAGGACGGTGTAGTTCATTAGTTACCTTGAGATTAACTGGATGAGACTGGATGAGTGAGGAGATGTAAAGCTGCAGGAGAAGGGAGGTTAGTAAGTAAAAGTAGAGTGCTGCAGAGCTGGACGGTACAATAGCAGCAGAAATGGGATCAGGCGGGACAATGTGTAGGACTCAGCTCTGGCTGTTGACCTTACCGGCTTTTTTCTCCTTGATGTCTCTGGCTGAAGAATCTCCAATGTAAGTAGAGACATTTGTTTTTACTGTGCAATAACAGCATTTGTATTTACATTACTGTTAGTGTTAGGTGTTGTGTGAGTTGTTGTGGATACTGTTTGACAGGCTAGAGAAAAAAATATGACTTTATTTCTAAATGATAGTATGTCTGAATGATGAGCAAAATAAATAAACTCCTTGCACATTTTGTCTTTATTGTCTTATGCAATCAGAAAGGGAAATTTAATTGTAGTGGCAGTGATGCACTTTCTGATGAAACTGTTTACTTTTTAAACACGGCTTAAATGCGTTGCCTGGGTTATGACCTTTTACGCCTCATACAAAAAGTTATCCTGCATTGTAAACCAAAACAGTACCTAATGTTTTGACAGTGTTTCAGAAAATTTACTAAAGCTGTTGAGAAAAAACGTAATGGGAGCAACAATAAAGCCAGAGATTACCTGCATAAGGAGTGAAGATTGAGTATTAGTTTTACTCAATTCAAGACTTCTATGTGTTATATAACGAGAAGCTGCAGTCCAGTTTGGAGTTTTTGTTGAATAAATCAAGGTCCTTGAAAATGATTCCAGTAATTGTAAATGTTGTAAATGTTGTTTTGAATTTGCACAGTGATTCATTAAGCCTACCACAGCAAACAGAGTCATGATGAAATGTTTTGTTGATCCAGTGCTGGATCTTAGTCAAGATAATCAATGGATCACTAATTGTGTTTAAAGTCCACGCTGGAGAAGATCATCCTCATCTAAGAAAATGTTTGTTTTTTTGTTTTTTTGTATTAGTAAATTGGGTGAACAGAACCTTAAACGCACTCTTAAAACTGTTGAGAAAAGCAAAACAAAGCAAATCAGTAAACATGTCTGTCACTGTTCCTCGGTTTGTCAGGGAGTCAGTATCCTAAGCTTTCTGTACAGTGTCTAAAGTGTATTCTCTGTCTCTTTTCCCACTGCTCTGCAGGAAGATAATGTCTGCCCCCAGTGTGTTGCATGTAGGAACAGCAGAAAACGTCTTTGTGGAGTGTCAAGACTGCACCAACGATAATGATACCAGAGTTGAAATCAACGTATTGAATTATCCGACCAAATTGAAAAGGCTGGCATCCACATCTGTGATCCTTAACAGAGCAAATGAATTCCAGAACTTCGGTCAAATTAATGTAATATAGAAATGTTGAAACATACTGTATGTTACTGTCATTTGGTTTTTTTGTTTGCTAAAATATATTGGTGAACCTTGTCTAAATGCAGGCCTATCACATGTCTAAAGAAACATGACTGCTCCCCCAGCACTGCCTGTGTCTCTCCATACTGCTTTCAGATCCCCACTGGAGACTTCAGTGAGCATCCCGACACGAAGCAGCATGTCTACCTGCAAGCTCATTTCCCTGATGTAGTACTGGAGAAAGTTGTCTTAGTGTCCTTCCAGTCTGGCTACATCTTCATCCAGACTGACAAGACCCTCTACACCCCCAACAGTAAAGGTGAGTCCAGTAATAGCGCTGAGAAACAGACAACAACCCAAACACTTGTAAAAATGTTTCTGTCCTGTTAGTAATTTTGAATTTAATATTATATTTGTATTTTTCAGACATTATCTTAAAATATATCATGCCTTTTGTTTTAGAACCAGGGCATCAAGTATTTCGTGATATGGGGTGTCCTGGTGGCCTTGGAGTTTAAGATGTAACTGTAACATCCCTGCTTTGAGTCTGACTGTTGCGTGTCATCCCACATCGCTCTCATTTCCTTGCTGCTCTGTAATAAATGTTAGAATTTGGCCTAATCATAGTTGATAGATTTTATCTGATTTTTTTCTTATTTTCAGAGTGAACTGCCGTTCTGTCAAATTCGTTAAATGAAAAGTCAGTTACATGACCAGACATATAGATGCATATACCGTCCTTCAACCTTTAAAGGTAAAGTAACAGCAGTACTGTCTTTATTCCAGTTCTCTACAGGATATTTGTACTGACACCCCGCATGGACCCTGTGGGGACGGATAATGAAACCAGAACTGATACTTCTCTTGCTATTGACATTGTGGTATTGTATTTTATCTTTTAAAGCACAGAATTGAATGTAAAATTATTGGACTTCACTTTTTACATAATTTCCATACTACCACCTTTGCCTCCCACATCCATCTAAAATTCCTTTTTAACAGTCCAAAGCACATGGTCTAAAGCATATGCAACAAACCACCCTGAGTGACATCTCCCATTCCCTTTAAAAGCCAGGAATGCTTGCACCTTGGCACAGTGTTTCACACAGAATTAGATTCTATTTGTGGCGAGTTGATTACATATTATGACTTGCCGTTGAGCTCAGTCCGGGCACACGCACGCAGCGCGCTCTGTGAGCCCTGAGGGGCGAGCAAACATCGAGCCGATCAATGTGCTCCACATAGATCTACAATCACAATGTTAGACATCTTTTATGTTATATTATTAGAAGTGTAAATAAATGTTTGGTTCGTTGTGAAACTGTGGTGGGACAAAATTAGTCTAGATGATGAATGGAAAACACTGTGGCGGATGTACCAGGTACAGGTACATGCCCTTGGGACGCCTAGAGCCATGCTACTACTATAGCTAAACACAGAACCGCTGAACCTTGTTCCCATGTTAGGTTTCATGTCCATCTCTAGAGATATGCATGTCTCCCTGTAGTTGTTAAGCTGCTCATTTGAGTGCAGCCTTTCCCTCATCAGAAAGAGAGAGAGATTTGAGAAATAGTCAATCAAGAAGCTAGTCAGACTCAGATTGTAGAAAAAAGATGAGTATTTAAGGACTTTGAAAATGTAGTATGCAATTAATGAATTGATTTGTAAATTGGTGAGGTTCACTGTCATTGAATTTTTCCTTGTCTTAGACCCCTGAAGGCATCATTTCAGCACTTGATCCAGTCTCTCTGAAATCCGGCATCTACTCTGGAGATTACCAACTCGGTGAAATTGTCAGGTGTGTATCTAATTTGATTTTTCTGGCTTGGCTTTTTATTTCATTTATACATTTTTGTTCAATGGTGAGGGATTAAGTCATTTAGTAAGTCATAATTTCAAAATAAGGTCTCCAAATATTTTTTTCTTTTGTGAATGCCATGCATTTCAGTAGGTCTCGACCAACATTTGAGGGAAATAATGGCTCCTTAGTTGCTAAATGCTATTTTTGGTGCTAAGCAGGTAGTGTACAATGATGCCATGAGAGCAGTGACAGTGATACACACCAGTAAAGTTGCAGGACAGCTAAGCAATTTGCTGAATCCCGATGTAAAAGCTCCATAAAGCAGAGATGCCTATTTGGGTGATTGTTATTTTGTAGGTTCATCACTATGAGCCACCTCTTTCAAATTGTCACATTATCATTTGATACATTGTCATTGTAAAATATCAGGTATAGCCGCTTTTTAACATTTACTCCAGACATGTTTGAATACATTCAAAAATATTTTTTGAATAATCAAGTTTTCTACAAAATTTGACTCATAAAAATTCTTAAAAGTCTACTCCTCATTGAAAAATCCTGAATCTATGCAAATGTATTTCATTTCTGTTTAAATTCTGCACCAAGTCCATTATTAATATATTTGCACTTGAGGTCTCAGGTTTCCACATCATACTAGCGTAAGATTAATATTAGACCACAGTTAACTCCTACACTAGTCATGATGTCTCAGATTCCTGCGGGTATATGTGCACGTTAAACTCAGAGGTGAGCACCAAGATTCAGATGAAGGTGAAAACAGCCTTCTAGTGTCTAACTCTGCATACATCATTCTTCACAGTGAGTAAGTAAGCAAGTGCGTGTTTGTGTTTGTATAGTGTTGGGCTTTGGAAAGTGGTGGCCAAGTTAAACAGCAGACCACACCTGAGCAACTCTGCAGAGTTTGAAGTCAAAGAATACGGTGAGTCAGAGCAGAGGTCGTCTTTACCTGTTTAGCTGTCATTAAAACCCTATATCACTTTTACAATATTTACTTTTGACCTGATGTTGGACACACAATAAAATGCATTTAATTTGTAAGTGCTGCCCAGTTTTGAGGTGAAACTGACGCCTACGAGCTCCTTCTTCTATGTGGACAGTCCACAGCTCACCATCGACATCAAAGCTACGTATGTGAAGGTTCTTGTTTTTATGTTTGATTAGTATACTGATGAAGTAAAGGGGCTTGTTTATTTTATTTTTCTCACCTTTAGCTTATTATGAAATAAAACATTTACTTGTGGTTTTAGGTATCTGTTTGGTAAAGAGGTGGATGGGTCAGCCTTCGGGATATTTGGGGTTATGCATGAGGGTCAAAAGAAGAGCTTTCCCAGCTCTCTTCAGAGAGTGGTGGTCAGTAGATACTTTTGTAACCTCAACCTTGTTTTGTAGTTTGGCCTTTTATCAGTGCTACTAGATCTGCAAGCAAATTTAGCAAAGTGCCAACTGTTAAGGTATGCTATTTCAAAATGTTTTTTTTATTTATTTTTATATTTATTATTAGATTGAGAACGGTAATGGAGTGGTCATGCTGAAGAGAGAGCACATCACACAGACCTTTGAAAACATCCTGGACCTGGTGGGGAGCTCCATATTTGTAGCTGTCAGTGTGCTGACAGACAGCGGTAAGAAAGGGAAAAAATTAGACTTAACACATATTTGCCTCCACTTATGTGTAGAATAGGGTTGGTTGTCACATTCATCAACTCTCGCTCACTGGGGGGCGCTGTTATAATCTGTTGTTACAGAAATTTTCAGAATTGGGGTCAGAGGTCACCTACAAGGACATTTCTAGTTGTGGTTACATTGCTTTTAATTTTAATGTTATTCATGTCAAAATGTTAATATCCAGCACTTTGGTGTTTTTCTAGTTTTTTACACAATGGCTTTATAAAATTTAAATGGATGATTATATAAATATTCACCGAGCGGCCGTTTGAGGAACTGCAGTTTTTTCCACTTGAGTGTTGGCTTCACTTTTCAGCCCCGGAGGTTGCTGTTTGGTCTTTGTGTGTGTTTGTCTGCATGTGCACACTGTATATCTTTGCACAGACAGTGAAATGGCGGAGGCAAAATTGAAAAGTATCCAGATTGTCACATCACCTTACACCATCCACTTCAAGAAAACACCCCAATATTTCAAACCAGGAATGTCCTTTGATGTTGCGGTAATGTACACTTATCATGCGTGTAAAATAAAAGTTAGGTTAAATTTCTTAAAATACATAAATTGTTGAAATTCACTAGCCACAACCAATGAAACAGGACTGTATCCTGAAAAATTATTATCATTGTATTTTTAATGACCAATAACTAACTGACTTTTTTTTAATGCTACAGATCATTTGATTGATGTACCATTTTTGTCAAGTGATATAAATCTCCTCTGAAAATGTTAATTTCCAAAACAAAAATAAAATCCACACACTTTTTAATACTCCCATGATTATTTATTTTATTACTGTTATAATTGCATCTGTCATGGATGTTGAGTGTTATGCAAATAGAAATCTCTTCAAACAGATGAGTTTCCTTGGAAAAACTAGAAGCTCATACATAGACTCGCTGGGTCATTATAATCTCAGTCATAACAGGTTTTCTGTACAGCTACTAAAGTTTGCAGCTTCTATTTCCAGAACAGTATTAGATTTGCCTTAGACGTGTTTTCATTAGATAGTTGGATGTTTTTGATTGTGCAGTTGTTTGCGTCTTGGCCAGTAGATTGAAGTTGTGAAACCTGACGGCAGTCCAGCACAAGGTGTTGCAGTGGTGATGGATGCAAACGAGATGCAGGGCCTCACTGCAGCCAATGGCATGGCAAGGCTTTCCATCAATACAGTGCAAAATCCTGAACCAATGACAATCACAGTAAGTGTTGATAATTGGTAAATATGCATTTATTTATTTACAGTTTGTGTTAAAGCACATTTAGCAAATGTAAGCTATAGGTGATAATTGGACTGCCAGCTAGTCAGAAACACAGCCACCTCAACAGGGCAGTGACTCAGGCTGTTGGAAGGGCCTTTAGCATCATCATCTTCCAAGAGAGGACCAGATGGCTGAACCTGTCTGGGCTTTTAGACATGGAAAAACTTGTATTGTGCAAGGATAAACCAAAAGAGGGGGAAGCCCTGTATCTGTGCCCTCCTAAGTCCCTAATAGGAGATTCCTGAGGTCTGCATTTCGTGGTAAGATGTATAAATACCTGATCCTGCCTCTTCCTGACACCCTGGGTACTTGTTAACTGCATAGAGTCTGCCATTGCTCCTTTAAAAGAAAGTAGGCATTCATAATTCAAATAGACTACTGGGTATTTCTTGCAGTATCAAAGATGTTGGCAACGGAGCACACCAGAATGATAGCCCTGGGCCATTAACCAGGAAACAAAAGCCCCGTACACCACCTCGGTCATCTCTTTTATATGAATCTCCCTGAAGTCCATGTCATGCAGGGCTCCCCTTCAACAGACAGGGTAAAGAAACTGCTATCACAGGTGGGTTTAGTAGGTGTGAGAAAACACAACTCACTCACACCGAATGCAAATGCTGGGGCTGATGGCGTCTTCGCTCATGGTAGTTTCGCAAGGCAGACGCCACATGAGAGAACTTGCGGCAGTGATTGGCATCACTGGGGATGCTATCACCATGTTCACTGCCATGTGACCTGCAACTGCACCGCAGGGTTATACAACTGGAGAAATCCTAAACCTATGTCACACTCAGGAATTTTGTAACCTCAGATGTGGTCCTCATCCAACAGTAGTGAGTGGTGTGTGGGGCCTGCTCCAGTGGGGCACTCATATAAACCAGCTGGAACTCCTGGCAGCATCTCTGGCTGGAATTTCTACCATTAATAAGAGATCAGAACAGACAGCACTGCAACGGTGGCTTACATCAACAGACTAGGTGGCCTCAGGTTTCATCCTCTCAATATGTTGTCTTGCAGTCATCATGTACTGTCACAGAGAACCATTCATGTCCCAGGAATCCAGAGCTTGGAGAGTCAAGTCCAAAATGCCATCCTCAGGTTGTAATTTAGATTTGGGCTTGCTTTGGCAAATCCCAGGTTTGCCTTAAAGAGATTGCCCAAAGCATTTTTCCCGGCAGAATGAGGAGGCTCCACTGAGAACAGAGGTGCAGGCTCACAAGTGGCTACCAGTTCTGCTTTATGTGTCTTATGTGAGACCCTTATTTCCCTCACACTGACGAGAGTGAGAAAGAGGTGTCTGTCATTGATACTGATTAAAAGTATGTGGGCAATGAACCATTGGACAGAACTTTTTAAACACTCTGAAGCCAGCCATGGTCTACAGGGGAGATTTCCCAAGAATAGTGTCAACACTATTTAGAGAGCAAGAGTGGTGGCCACATTGCTGTTTGAATGCAAGTGGTGGGTATTTGAAGAGTGGTGCGATGGGTCACAGGTTATCTCATTCCAATGCCCTGTGGCAATTCTGTCTTTGTCTTCAAGGACAAGGTCTTTTCCACTATTAAAGTCTGCTTGGCTTTTATTTCAGTCTGTCATGTGCATTTGGCACAGACCTGTGAGCCAACACCCCACTGTTTGCTGTTTCATGAAAAGAACACACTGACTGCACTGTGTCTAAATCATTTGTCCCTTGATGGGATAGTGAAAGGGTCAGGTTACCTCAAGATTTGTGGTGGCTGTGTATCTGTCAGCTGATGGCAGTCTGTGTAGACATGGTGTGAATTTAAAAGGTTAAGAAAGGGCGTAATTTTTTACCTTAGCATAATTAAAAAGATTTCTTTGCATATGAAAGAATGTGGTACTATATAATGACATAGACAACCTAAACTATGGATAGACAATTGTCATTTACATCACTGTATGTAACTGTCTGTATGCTTACCTGTGTGTTTAATTGTAGGTAAAGACCAATGATCCTTATATTTCACCAGAAAGGCAAGCATCAGCCAGCATGACAGCTCTCCCATATAGCACCAACAGCAACAATTACATCCAAATAGGTACCTGCTATAAAATCACAGAGGTGGCAATGGTGCTGGTACTGGCAGTGCTGTCAAACTACCATACAAGATTTTTTTTTCAGAGTTTAGCTTTCACTACTTTCACTAATTCGGATGTTGGTATGACAGGGGTGGATGCAGCTGAAGTAAAATTAAGAGACAACCTGAAGATCAACCTCCACCTCAACAGGCAGGAAAATGCACAAAATGACATCACGTACTTGGTGAGAGACCTGTGTATGTGTGTCTTGGTCCACATGCTTGACTGTTTGAGTTGCTTCCCGCAGCTTGTGTAGTACAGTATGCATGCATATCGGATAAGTACTGATGTTCATATCTGTGCTTACCAAGTTCCTGAGCAGAGGTCAGCTGGTGAAACATGGCCGTTTCCGGACAAAAGGTCAAGTACTGATTTCCCTGATAGTTCCCATCACCAAAGACATGCTGCCATCGTTCCGCATCATAGCCTACTACCATACAAATGACAATGAAGTGGTTTCAGACTCTGTTTGGGTGGATGTCAAGGACTCCTGCATGGGCTCGGTGAGACACACAACACTGATGTAATAGAGTTTGGATAGAGTTTAAGTGGGCAAACAATACACCCACACACAAACTGATGAAGTTATTTGAATTTGTCACATATACTTATATTCATATTTTAATCCAATTGTTTTAACAAATGCAAATCTACACATTTTCTTGCATTGGTATGTCTTCCTGCTTTAGCTGAAGTTAGAATCATCAAGACCTGCTGTGTCCTATGAGCCTCGCAGGATGTTTGGTCTGAAAGTCACTGGAGATCCAGAGGCCACAGTGGGACTGGTGGCAGTTGACAAAGGCGTCTACATCCTGAATAACAAGCATCGCCTGACCCAGAAAAAGGCAATTTCTTTATCCTATCTTTAGTTTTGGATATACTTGAAAACGATTTAGTTTGAAAAAAAAACCTCACATATTTCCATTTTTAAGTATTTCTATAGTACAGGTTATTAAACTCAACTGACACACAGCAGGTATATTGCATTAGCTAATGTTTCTAATGTCATATCAGATATGTCATTTAACTTACATGCTTAATGTACTGCATTTACTTACTGCTTTGAAAATGTTCCTCTATCCAACCTGCACACACACCAATGGCAGCAGACCTGTGATGCCAGGTATTGACCTAACCACTTGGAGCAGTTTGGATCAGTTTGGAGCAATATGCTGTAACCTTCACATGTGGCATAACCCTGAGCCCTCTCTGTTGTGTTTCTTTATGTTCAGGTGTGGGACAGTGTAGAGAAATATGATACAGGCTGCACACCAGGTGGAGGGAAGGACAGTATGAGTGTGTTCTACGATGCTGGACTGTTGTTTCAGTCCAACACAGCTTCTGGGACTCCCTTCAGACAAGGTGACACTCTACAGTCTCACTGTTTTTCCCCCCTCCTACTAATCTCACTCTCTAAAATCTTAATTTGGGTGCAGCCCTGAGACAGGTGAAACAGGGCAAGCATGTGATAACAACCATAGCTGAGTATGATTGGTTCAACAACCTGACATATATTTAGGCATAAGCAGACTGTATTTGTGGTACTTATACTCTCAATATATGCACACACAACCACTTCACACTCCCACTGTACGCCTCACCATAGCGCTATTGGTGATAATATTTCAGTGTTTACAGTTTTATTTGCTGCTCCCGAAAATACCAGTTAATGCAAGTTCAACTTTTTTTAGACAATAGAGGGACTATGTTTTAAAGGGTCAGTCACCAAAAAAGCTCTGTCTCGCTCCCCATGTGGCGATGCAGATAGTTTGTTGTGGTTTATATTTTTAAAGGTAATTCTTAATGGTGTGAACACCACAAACAAAATTTCGGTCACCTTTTTGGTTTTGGGGATGAGGCAAATATGGTTTAGACAGGTACCTCAAAACTGGCCAGAATTGCCAAATACCACTAGAGGTAAGTGAGAAAACATGTTTTTTGCACTTTAGTTAAACGTTTCCATGTTGGTTTCAACTATCAAGCATGGTTATTGCCACCAAGGACCATGATAAATGAGCTGATTATGATCCCATATGTTTCGTTAGGGATGTTAATGATTATTATTCATTATTTTTTTACAATAATTTTTTAGGAAATATTATGTTTTAATATCCATCCATCCATCCATCTTCTCCCGAGTTCAGAAGCTCCTCAAATTGACAACAGTTCCTAACCGCGGCTTTGAACATGAGCCCACTCAGACTCCATGTCCCAAACCTCCGCTGGGATGCACAAGAAATTCTTCTGGTGGTGTTAGTTGAAGACCTCATGGACAGTGGCCATGGCCAGATGTTCCCAGTTCATCCTCACTAAATGTCTGTGTTTGCCAGGTCTGTCTGGCAGCCTTTCCGGCCATCTGATCCAACTCACCACCAGGTGGTTATCAGTTTACAGCTCTACCCCCCTCTTCACCTGAGTGTCCAAGACATAAGTCCGTAGATCTGATGATACCACCACCTAAGGTGCTCTGGTACTAAATACACTTATTAGCAACCTTATGCTCGAACATTGTGTTTGTTATGGCCAAACTATGACGAGAAGAAGTCCAGTAACAAAGCACCATACAAGTTTAGATCAGGGAGGCTGTTCCTACCCATCATGCCCCTCCAGGTTTCTCCATCATTGTCCACATGAGCGATGAGGTCCCCCAGTAGAACTATTGAGTCTCCAGGCAGAACACTTTTCAGGACACTGCCCAGAGACTCCAAGAAGGCCTGATAGTCCGACCTGTTTTCTTGCATAAGCCCACACAACAGTCAGAGCCTTCCCCTCATTCGCTTTTGGAGCCAGCCCCAAGCGGCCATTCGAAGAACTGCAGTTTTTCGCACTTCTGTATTGACTTGATTTTTCATCCTTGGAGGTTGCTGCTTGATCTTACCCATTAAATTGTCTTAGAGAAGTGTATCAATTTTACCACGTAAATTTCAAGTCTAGTAGTTGTTGGGGTCTGTTGATCTGGTCTTTGTTGTGTTTCCAGAACTGGACTGTCAGGCTCTCAGCAGGAGGAAACGAGCCACTGCTATAATGAATGTTACAACCAGCTTAGGTAAGAACCACAGCTCTACACTACCCAATAACTATACATGCAGTCATATTAAGACTTCCTCTGTCTGTAGTTGGACATCTTGTGTCACAATACACAGCTTTGCCATGCTATGTGTTAGTGGAAGGATACAAATAAGCTGAAGCTCTTCTTACTTTATACTTATGCCTATATTAATATTACATATTACATAAGTAATACTGCTACTTTTATTGCATGTCTGTCAGTACTGGGATGAGGGCTCCTGCTATCTTGACTTGACCAACTTGACTCATTCATTCATCTCTATTTTTAATTTTCCCTGTTTTGAAATGTTTTATTTATTTCTTGTCTGCATACCTTCTCACTTCTGTCTGTCCTCCACCCACAACTTGCTTTCTCTCCAGTGAGTCAGTATACAGATACTACAAGTGACTTGTTGTTTTGGATGGCATGAGGACACCCATTTCGGATACAGCCCTGGGTGGGGGAGAGGGGCGGAGTGAGTACATCTCAGATGGTGCAGCCTGTATCGAGGCCTTCCTGCACTGCTGCAACGAGATGGAAATACAGCAAGCTGAGAGGAAGGATGAAAGCCTCCAACTGGCTCGCAGTAAGACAAGGGAACAAGGAACAGTTATTCATGGTCATACTGGTAGTTATAAAACGATCAAAATAGTAACCTTTTTAATGTCACTTCAGGTGAAGATGAAGACGGTTACATGGACATCAATGACATTACTTCTCGAACCAAGTTCCCTGAAAGTTGGCTGTGGACCAACGTCAAACTGCCTGCTTGCCCTCTACAAACACCCGACTGGTGAGGCAACTGAAACATACACGCAACAAATACACTGATAACTTCATGTATGACAAAAGTTGAACACTTCTCTTTGCCTCTTCAAGCCTTATCACTTTTTTTGTTTCAGTGAGTCCACATCACTTGTGAAAAATGTTCCTTTGCAAGACTCAATCACAACCTGGCAGTTCACTGGCATTAGTCTGTCAAGAACTCATGGTGAGAAATCAGTGACGCTAAGCTGTCTTGTGTTTTAGGTGTCCCTGTCTAAGCTCAAAAACAACAGTCCACTCTACATTGTACTCTCTGTACTTATTTCTGTTGCTATATCCCTCACCCCGCTACCCCCTTCTTCCTTTGCCACATTTTATGCCTTGTTTTTTTCCTTATTTCATTATTTGTTTGTTTTTAGGTATCTGTGTTGCTGACCCGTTAGAGGTAATTGCACAGAAGGACTTCTTCATTGACCTCAGACTGCCCTACTCTGCTGTCCGTGGAGAGCAGCTGGAAATCAAAGCAATCCTCTACAACTACACACCGGATCCTACCACTGTAAGTCTAGGTCACTCAAGCGAGACAGCAGGATCATATTTTGTTATGGTGAACCAATCCAGGGCAAAATGACATAAAATATTACACTTTCATACAACATGTGGCTAAAAACAGAATGAATTCAAATAATGCAAGACTTAAGCTATTTAAGTAACTACTTTACAGAGCTTTAGATTTGTTTGTGCTGCATTGCTCAGTCAATACTGGAACTGGATTTTAGACAGAAATTATTGTTATTTTATAGGTAAGGGGAAAGAGAGCCTGAAATTGTCAAAATCTGATCAACTTAATGGCAGATCTTGATCCATGGTCAACTACACATACCTCAGTCTCATTCTCAATCCTTGTTTTCAAGGTGCGTGTGGATCTGCTTGAGGAGGAGCATGTGTGCAGTGCAGCTTCAAAACGTGCAAGGTATCGTCAGGAGGTCAAAGTTGGGCGCCAAGCCACACGTTCTGTACCCTTTGTCATTATTCCCACAAGGGAGGGACAACACCGCATTGAGATCAAAGCATCTGTTAAAGACTCGGCGCTCAGTGATGGAATTGTGAAGACGCTGCAGGTGGTGGTAAGAGAAACAGGCTGTAGAGGGTTTAGAGCTTCTTTTCTGTTGTCCACAACTACATAATAATGTATCGAAGCCGTCCCATTTCTACCTTAAATGTCTGCAGCCATCTGAAGATGGCAGGACAAATATGATGATTAATCTGCAGCCTTTGAGAAGTGCCACTGCCTTCCACTTTGCGCTGGTCGTTGGGGTTGTCCTTTTTTTTTTTTAGCTTTTTGTCTTTATTGGACAATCAGTGTATACAGACAGGAAACAAGGGGATAGAGAGGGGTATGACATGCAACAAATCTGGGATTCAAGTTGTGAACATTGCAGTTAAGTGGTGTGCACCCTAACTATGGTCACTTTTATTTCATCAATCTGTCACAAAATGCTGTAGCATGTTTCCAATTTATTGAAGTTGAAATCAAAATTTGTAAGTTACTTGGTTTGTGAAGTAACTTTTGTCAATTCATAATTTATTTCTTGGTCTCAGTTAAAGAAATTGTTAAAATATTTTTGGCAACTGAAGTTCAATTACTCAAATGTACCCAATCAAACATGATTTGAATGACCAACTAACTCTACCCATCTTATAAAACCACACTTGACCGTTCACTCATGGGTCGTAGTAGCTAGCAGAGCAGTAGCATAGGTCAGAGGTGTGTGTTTGGATCTCAGTCAGGAAAAACCTTGATGAAATTTCTGAAAAGTTTGCTGATCGTGCTCTGATTTATTCATTTCATCCTGACCACAGAGTGCTGATGAAGGAGGTGCTGGTGAAGGCAAGGACTTGGTTTCTTTTTTGTCTTAAAGACTTTTCTCAGCTTTTTAGTTTGGTCAGACAGTCTTCATCAAGACCAATACCTTAAAGATGTCCTGTTGAGTTTTCATTCAAACAGTTAAACAAAAGTTATGTTTACATCCAGTGCACTGTGTCTAACAAATTTCCTTCCTCATACAACAAGCTATTTTTTGAAAACATTTTGCGGTGTTGAAATGCATGTAAGCAGTTATCGCCACTGCCTTCCTATCAGCAGAATAGTGTGAAATTGACTAAAGGAATGTGTACATTGCATCGTCTGTATGCTCAAGCGGGTGCGCATCCTGATGTGCTGTACCAACAATTATAATTGGAAGCCCAATTATAAAAGTGGTCAAAAACTTCACAGGTTACCTTCAACTGCTAGTTAGGTTTTATCCATAATTCAGTGGACTTGAAAATAGGGCTTGCTTTTCTAGTTATTTGATCAAGAATTGATTTTGAATTGATAGCTGATTCTGTGTTGAACTGTGGCACTTCTGAATTAAACAATTATAATCAAATCTAATCGTGAGAATCCCCAAAGAACCAACCTTAAATTGATTACACATTAGTTTGAAGAGTTGAACTTGAAACTTGTTGTGATTCCAGATGTTTGTCCTAACTGTTGTTTTTCCAGCCTGAAGGCTTGCTGATGAAATGGCCACAGATTATAGCTCTGGATCCTGAAAATAAAGGTGTAGGTGAGTTTACTCAGCTGCCGTATGATTCTGATTCAATGGCCTTTTGGGAGATGTCAGGCTTATCTTTCAAATTGACCATGTGGAGGAATTTTGGGTTTAACTTGTGAAATGACTCATCTCAGTATCCTGTTGCTGACGGCAACAACCTGACAGGATTACATCTATAATTACTTCTGTTCCTCCCATTCCCCTAATGGTCCCTTTATGGTTGACAATTCTGAGGGAAAAACATCTCTTCGCCAATCTACTTTACCAAAGAAAAGAAGTCTTAGCCCAACAGGCAAAATCAAGTGCTGATTAATATCAGTTTTATCTGCACACAGAAAAGCAAGCAATCAAGGCAAATGTGCAAAGTATTCTAACTAATTCAGGCAAGACCTCCTCTCTTACAACCTTCAGTCAAAACCCTTTGGAAACGATACAAGTTGCTTAAACAGACAGTTACCCAATAGTACAATATTTCCCAAGAACTCTGTTGTACAACGTTAATAACTTCAACAGTTTCGGTTACCCAACTCAGCCAAGGGCTATGTCCTTGTCCCAAGTCTTCTCACATGCACAAATGTCAGTTTGGTGACGCTCTTGACTTGAACAGCAGGTCAGGCAATGAACTCAACACAAGAGCAAACGCAGTGGTAGCAGCAGCGATAAGACACTGTAAATTTAAAAGCAGGGTCTTAATACTGGCAAACACAGAAGCCAAAGACCCAACCAGAGGTCATCTTGCTTCTACGTTTAATGAGCATAGAAAACAGCATCATGTATTGACCAGAGGGATTTAAAAGCAGATAGCTATAGAAACTGTTGATGGACTCTCTGCAGATATTCCCCAAGGTGGTAAGTCAGCCTCAGCAGTGTTATTTCCAGTCTTTCCAACCTGGAAACCCTTTCTGCAAATGTCAGATAGTTGCATTTAGCACAAGCATTATTTGAAAGTCCTTGCATAGATATTAAACACCAAGGCTCAAAGGATATTTGTCATGGCAAACACAGTATCAGACCCGGAACTATAGTGAGACCACCCAACAGGGTGCAAGTCTTAGTTTGCAAGTGAAATAAAGTGTGATATGTGTGATATGTCTCTGTGTTTCATAGCTGAAGCTGTAGATTGAACATCATTCCGGCAGGGCTAGAGAGATGAACACAGCCTCTGGAGAACAAAAAAGTAGCTCCAACTCATGGTTACAAGGCTACTGGCATAGGCGATGTTCATAACATACGCCCTAAATTTGTCTTGTTTAATTACTTATATGCATAGTCATTTCTATGTAGTTAATGGCCATTTAATGAAAAAGTTAGCATATGTTCTTCCTTTCTTTTAGATGGCAAACAAGTGGAAATTATCAACAGTGGACTTGCTATGAAAGATTTTCTTCCAAACACACCTACTACCACACAGATCTCTGTCACAGGTGAGATATCTAATGAATGATATGTGGTAGTGTCTGTAATCTTACCTAATAGTTGTTACTTTGTTCTCAGTGATAGATTATCACCTCACTAGTTGTGGAAATGTTTGCAGGGAGAGTGCACACAAGTGTATTGAAGAATGCCATCAGTGGGACACCAATGGGTAGTCTGATCTACCAGCCTGCGGGCTGTGGAGAGGAGAACATGATCCACATGACCCTGTCTGTCATTACAACCACATATTTGGACAATGCCAACCTGTGGGAACCTTTGAACATTGGGAGACGTGTCGAAGCCCTCCAACACATAAGCACCGGTGGGCTAACTCAAATGCATTTATTAGCACAGACAGCATATTTTGTTGAAAGTCCTTGTGTAAAAACGCAAACCACCTAATCTAACAGTGCAACTTAAAGTGGCTTTTTAATGGATGATCTTCAGTACAGAGTTTAATCAGGTGTCAGTGAAAAAGACTGTGTTTTTATTTTGTTTTATTTAGGTTACCATAATCAGCTTGCCTATCGTAAAAAGGATGGGTCTTTTGCTGCATATCTCGATCACCAAAGCAGCACCTGGTGAGGACTGCTGACATGCTTGAACTCACACATAAATGTGTGCACATCCTCCCACCTAGACTCTGCCTCTCCATCCATCCATCCATCCATCCATCCATCCATCCATCCATCTAATCACTAACTAAACAATTCCGCCCTCTCCTCTCTGTTAGGTTGACAGCTTATGTCGTCAAGGTGTTTGTCATGGCCAACAGTCTGGTGGCAGTGCAAAGCGAAGTGATCTGCGACGCTGTCAAGTTTCTGATCCTCAAAGCACAGCAACCTGATGGCGTGTTTAGAGAAGTAGGAAGTGTGTCCCACGGAGAGATGATAGTGCGTGCCCTGATTTCATTAACATCAATTCTTCATCTTGATGCTAACCAAAATGATTTTTCTAAAAGCAAACCATTGCATGTCATTGGCTATCATCTTGTATGAATATAGACATGTGTGATACTGATGATAGTAATGATAACGATGATACTGACACGTTTGTTTGTGTGTGCATGTGTAGGGTGATGTGCGTGGCAAAGATTCAGATGCCTCCATGACAGCCTTCTGTCTCATCGCCATGCAGGAGTCACGCACATTGTGTGCTGCCACTGTTAATGTGAGTACTTACCTGCCTACAGTGTCTGTCTTTTCTTCACCTCTTTTCTTCTCTATTTACTAACTTTGTGCCCCAGTGTTAACTGTGATTAATGGTTCATAAGACAGGTAATAGAAGGGACAAACAGGGTCATGTCCCATAGCCAAATAATACTAACATTCAATAAAGCAAGCTATCTTGAATGTTAGAGTAATTAAACAAGCCCACATATTTACCATCTAGCTGTTCCAGCTACATTTAGTTTTCTTACAATAGAGATAAGTCAACTGCAGGATTTATCGTGTAACGTCTGTCATAATCAGGGACCAAATTGGTCACTCTAAATTTGCCATCGGTGTGAATATGAGAGCTAATATGTGTGACAGTCCTGTGATAGACTGGCGACTTGTCCATTTAGTACCCTACCTTTCCCCCAGTACAGTTTGGGATACACTCCAGCACCTAGTATTACAGTATTCTCACAATTTTATCTGTTACACAGTGAAACCCCTGCTGCCTATCTGTTCTCCCATTACTCTCCCTCCTCCTTTAATCTGTCATCTTTTCCTTCTGTCCAGCATCTGCCAGGCAGTACAAACAAAGCAGTGGCCTACCTGGAGAGACGCCTGCCCAGCCTAATCAACCCTTATGCTGTTGCCATGACATCATATGCCCTGGCCAATGAAAACAAACTGAACCAGGACGTCCTCTACAAGTTTGCTTCCCCAGGTTTCTTCAAATCATATTAACATACAGAAACAGATTCTATAGATGAATAGATCAGAGGGTTTGCATAGCCACATATTCTTTAACATGTATACTCGAGCCCAGCTGATCACTCTGATGAATCTTGCTATTAGATAGGTTTCCAACTTCAGTGCATATTCTGGCTTGTCGCGAGTACAGTATAGTACTACAATCTTGTGTCTGTGTTTTCTATAGAGTTGTCCCACTGGCCTGTACCAAAGGGACGTGTTTACACACTGGAGGCCACAGCTTACGCTCTTCTGGCTCTGGTCAAGGCCGAGGTGAGCACGTCCCACTTACTGCATCTGTGTGTCACCAGCATGTCATGCTACTAAAACAAATCCATTGATGGTATCACAGGAAAGAGTAGAAGGTTGGTGAAGACAGGGATTTCCCTGATTGCAAAGCCTCTAACCTTCTAGTTCAACAGCTATATTTTCTCTGTTTTCACCACAATAATTTAAAAAACCAATCCACAGTCAAACACTGATTCCAGCCATTGCTTTCTGTCAACAAAGGCTTTTAAAGAAGCCATACCTGTAGTGAGATGGTTCAACAAACAGAAGAGAGTGAGTGGAGGATATGGATCAACTCAGGTAACACATGTTGCATGACTCTTGTTTTCTCTATATTGTTTTGTTTTGTTTTTGGCTGCTGTTTCATCACTTGTTCATAGGTAATCTGGGCTCAAACTACAGGTCATGTTTCTCTCCAGGCTACCATAATGGTGTACCAGGCTGTAGCAGAGTACTGGGCCAGTGCCAAAGAACCAGAATATGATCTGAATGTGGACATCTTGTTGCCGGGCAGGTCAAAACCTAACAAGTACAACTTAAACAGGAATAACCACTATGCCACGAGAACATCTAAAGTGAGAACACAAGCACATAAACTCACAGTGGCGCATTAATATCATCATTCCTGTTGCTTTCACTGTGCTTGTTTCTTCTGCTGATCCCTGTGTGTGTTTGTGTGCATATTTTAAATCCCCACAGATCAACGATATAAACCAGGATGTGAAAGTGACTGCCACGGGCAAAGGAGAAGCAACAGTGACAGTATATAAAACCTCTTTCCATTTGAAGTGTCCTTTTTGATCCCAAATGAGACCAAAGACATTTTTTAACCTTGTGTGTGTTTAGCCTTACTATTGAGACAGATACCTATATTATTTTATCACAGTGCATCCAATGTTAACATGCACTTTCTCTGTGTGACAGATGGTGTCGCTGTATTACGCTCTGCCTAAAGAGAAGGAGAGCAACTGCCAGAAGTTTAACCTGTCAGTGGAGCTCAGCCCAGGTAATTTGGTTTTGTTTTGTCATTTTAACCATTTGTTTATTTCTTGTTTTTATGCTCATCTGATGTCTTGCTTCTCCAGGGAAAATGAATGAGGATGAGATGATATACCAGCTGAAAATAGAGGTCATGTAAGTAGACAGAAGAAATAATACCAGCAAACATCACAGTAAAATGACTTTCTACAGAACCAGTTTTCATTACCCATCTCCATTTCACAACTTTTTCACCATCTCCAATTATTTCATTTCTCCATCTTAAAAGAAAATAGACAACAAAAATCGTATTGATTTGATTTTCATTTAATCTCAATTTGTACATATTTTAACAAATCAGAAGCAAACCGTTTGGAACAGTAGCTACTTCAAGAAGTTCTCATCCATGTTTACTTAAAAGCTAAGATTTAAAGTTCCTTCTTGAACTTGGAAACAGCAGTTGACAAAACAGGGTCAGTTTTGTAAAAAAGGATAGTTTAGGGGTAAAATGTTTGCTTTATAGTGGTTTATAGCTGTAAACAAGATATCCCTCATAATACTTTTTATTAATCTGTTAATTTTATGTGCAGGTATAAAGACATGGCGCACGATGCAACCATGTCAGTCTTGGATATTGGCTTGCTAACAGGCTTCACTGTGAACACAAAAGACCTTGACTTGGTAAGTCTTCAACTACACACACATACACACCACACATAAAAAGGTCACTTTTTATTAGTGTGTGTGTGTGTGTGTGTGTGTGTGTGTGCGTGTGTGTAGTTGTCCAAAGGCCGTGCCCGCACCATTGCAAAATATAAGATGAACACAGCCCTGTCAGAGAGAGGCTCGCTCATTATTTACCTGGACAAGGTAAGACATCAGTCTTTCTTCTCTCTTCCCCTTTTTCTCTCTGACTGGTTGTTTCTCTGTTTATCTGTGTCTCACCTTTGCTTTACATCTCTCCACAGGTTTCTCACACACAAACAGAAGAGATCGCTTTTAGAATCCACCAGACGCTGAAAGTGGGCGTCTTACAACCAGCAGCTGTGTCTATCTATGAATATCATGACCATCAGTACAGTAATAGTAAGTCTCAAAGATGCCTAGAAACATGCTGCCTCTGTCTCTGGCACACATACACACACACACACACACACATACACACACAAACATATACACACACATATACAGTATATCTATACATATTTTCTGTCTTGTTGCAGAAACACATTGTGTGAAATTCTACCATCCAGAGAGGAGAGCTGGAGAGCTACTGAGGCTCTGTAGAAATGATGAATGCACATGTGCTGAAGGTAAACAGAATGATATCTACCTGAAGACATAAGGTGTATATGCATTAATTTGTTAGATCTGAAATTCTTGAACACTTTTGACGGAGGAGGTAAACCAAATATTCATCACTAATTTGCGGGTTGCACTTGTTTGTGATGTGCTTGTTTTAATATGTGGTGAAGGAGATGGTCATGCAGCATAATTGATTGTAGCATGTTCATCTGAACCTTCTATCAGAGGCAACAAGCACCAAAGAATAATAATGTGATTATTTAAGTGGGCCATCTCTGCATATTCCCAGAGAACTGCAGTATGCAGAAGAAGGGCAAAATTAACAACGCTGAACGCACAGCTAAAGCTTGTGAGACTGAAGTGAACATCAAAATAGATTTTGGTGAGTTCCTGTTTGTTTATGTGTTGGTGTGAGAGTAAGAGATTGAGAAAATAAGTAAGCAAGGGAGCACCTGAGGTAAAAAATCTGCAACTTGTCTGTCCTCAGTGTACAAAGTGAGTCTTGAGGAATATACAGATGGTTTGTCCACTGACATTTACACAGTGCGGTTACTGGAAGTCGTCAAAGAAGGTGGGTTTATTTCCTTTAAACCTTGAAATGTTTCAACTGCCTAAACGTTTGCTTTCCTCAAATGTTTCACCTAAAGCATCTTGAGGGTGAGAGACCAAATTTCTTTTACCTTTTTGAATTTTATGAGCTCTTTGCACCCACCTCTCTTATTTCATAACTGAAAGCAAAGATTGTCAGAGATCCAAAAAACCCAGTTTGTAATATACCATAGTTGTGTTTAAGTATCTTCTCTCTCTTCTCCCATATTTCAATTACAGGAAGTATTGATGTGGGTCCTCAGGGTAAACTGCGCACATTCCTCAGTCATCCACACTGCAGAGTGGCTTTAGATTTAGGCACAGGAAAAACCTACCTTATCATGGGCACGTCCAAAGATATTCACATAGACGAAGAGAGAGAATCGTAAGTTTGTTGTGTCTACATCTGGTATTTTCATTCCCCTTGTAATATTGTCAGCATTTAGACATTTAAACCGTTCCCCCGCTTTGTGTTTCTAAATCAGGTATCAGTATGTGCTCGGTGAGAGAACCTGGATCGAGTACTGGCCAACAGAAGCAGAGTGTCAAACTGAGGAACACAAAACTACCTGTGCAGGCATAAAGGAGATGGTCGAGCGGTACACACGCTATGGATGTCAGCAGAAGTAAAACTGAAGAAAATTAAATTTGTTTGTGAGTTGTTTTTGTTTTGCATTACTCTGTAACACTTTAGATTACAGTCCAAAAGTTACACTGTAAGTATTTAGAACATACGTATCAACATATGTATCAATGTATGATCAATAAAATACTTACAGGGTATTTTTCTTAATGTTTCTGTTATCAGACAACAGGACAAGAATGAAATATTGACTCAAATGTGGCCCATTATGACTACGTGTTAACTTCCAAGCCATTTGGGAAACATGGGAGACATAAAAATGACATTAAATCCTACAGTTCAACATGCAGAAGTAACCTGCCATTTTCTGAACATCTCACAGTGTGGATCTGTGCTGTGCAGGTTGATGGACCCTCCTCCATCAGCCTGGCAATGCCCAGTCATGCTCTGTTAAAAAGGATTAGAATGTGCAAACTGTATTTCTATTCATTATATAATTTAAATAACTCAAATCAGTAGCTACCATATATCATATTACGATTTATAGCCTACCTCTGTAGGCATTTCTGAAGTTCTCTCTGTGGCAGACAGTGTGTCATCATCATCATTATCATCCTGTGATGAAGATAATTTTTTCATTTTACTTTAAACTATATTTGTCAAAATCTGTAGGACACTGAGTACTTACAACTTCAGTTGTAGCTGGAGACTCAACAAAGCTGATAACGCCATCAGTGACTATTAGCAGACATGAAACCAAAACAACAATTTTATACATTACACACACACACACACACACACACACACACACACACTATTATGGGAGGCGTCTTGAGAGATAATTCATACTTGGTTTCACACCTAACATCATGATCTCACATGTAAACCACTACTTTAACACAATCACTACCCTGTTACATGCACAATCATATTTTCTTTTATTTACCATCATACTCTCATGCACACACAGCACTGTGCCCTCTTGCACAGAGAACTATACTTATTCATGCAATATACACTAGCATAATAGTCTTTGTAACAGAGGAGAAAGGTCTAATATATGTATGAGATAATATATTTAAAAGAGTATAATAGCATATGTAAGAGAAACAAATGTCACATGTGAATGTTAATAATTATGTGTATGGAACAAAATGATAGTGAATGTAAGACAGAATGATATGGGGTAGCCTATGACTGAGAATAGGGCTGTGGTCGAAAAGTCAAAATGATTTCCTTTCCTAAACACTTTTCCTTGACCTCAATGTGAAAGCATCATGAGGTCAAGGAAAGGTGTGAAGGAGAATTCATAAGGACTTAGGAAAAGACGACTGCACTTGCACTGCAAGTACAGTAAACAAACTTTAGTTATAACACATGGACAATAAATACCTCCTTTCCTAACCACAAAAACAAAATAAACATGACTGACATGTTGAAATAAGATGACATGAAAGGAATACACAAGAAAAGAAAGTTGAGCCATTGAAATAATAATTAAGCATGTTATATAGTAACCTTTACTTCAGTTTACCTACACAGGCTCCCTTTCTCGCTCTCTCATTGTCTCTCGCTCTCTCACACACACACACACTGCCCCAAACATCTTATCTACTTACGTAACCCCCCACCTAAATGCATAACCAGTCACTTAATGCACAGTACAGATTCGATAATGAGTGAAAGACGCATTCATTCACAAACTCAACCAGGAGATGAAAGTTTTATATCGTAAAATAACAGTAGGTTAATGCATCAAACACATGACTTACAAACTCAGTTTTATGTGCTTGGCATACACACATAGTTTGCATACTTCCTTACCATTTAACTTAACCTAAAACTCCATAACTGCACTTACCAGTGTTGTTGGGTTAGCGTTTATCTCCTGTAATTTCAGTGTCAGTGACATTATAAACATGTTCTGAGTTGGTTGGTGTGAGGCCAGAGGGGGGCGGGCTTCCCTTGGCATAGTCCTGACTAATCACAGTTCTGCAGTGGCAAGATGATAGCTTCATCTGATTGGTTAATCATTCTTTTTATTCATCAAGGGATGCCAACTTTGACCCAGCCTCCTTTAGAGACATGACATTAGTCTACAGCAGGCCTTTATATCTCACAGCCACTGTAGTTTCACCAACCACTCACACATTAGTTAGAGGGGCACTGTTTACCTAAATGAGAATGGGGAGGAGGGGGGATGGCAGCTACAGCACAGAATATTTATATATTTTTATATTTATTAAAATGAAATAATAATAATAATGACTATAGCCTGTAAAACAGGGGAAGTCCGGCTTCCCTTGGCTTCCCGGAGAAAACGCCACTGCATATAGGTGTGCTGTTTTTTCTACATTTTTGTGGGTTTTCTGTGGTGAAACTACAACAGTGTGTCACTTTAAAATTGTGAGACAGCATTTTCTCATTTCCTTTCATAAAGGCAGCTGCAGTGTTTACTATACTAAAGGAGATAAGATAGGAAGTGCTGAAGCTCCATTCATTATCATTTAGAGAATTCGACCAGCTCCTTACATCCTTTCATTCGCCATTTTCTCTTTCCTTGCCTTTCATTCCTTTCTTTTGGAGCTTTATGTTACTTTTAACATTCTGTGATTAAACATTCAAAGCTGGGTAAAATCAATTGCCATGGGTGCAAAAGTCATCCCTGGAGTTGGCTTCTCCCTTCAATCATAAATGGATTTCCTGCATGATCATGTCTCTAACTGTAGAGGTTTCTAAGCTATCATTTCCTGCAAAAATGTGTTGTTGGTTGTTCCACTGATTTCAGAATTCTACAGCAGCCCCTTGAACTCTTGGCAAGTAGATAAAGCGTAGAAAAAACAGATAGAGTTCATCTGTAGAGTCCAGTATGCCCTCAGTGGGAGGGCGGTACTCTGTTTAGCTCTGCCCACAGCCGTTCTATCTAACCCCCTTCTCTCCAGCAGATACCTGGCAACCTCTGTGTTTTCCATGCTGTGGTCACCAGTACAAAACACCCCCAGTGCACTTCAGACCCGATTGTTATTGAGACATTGCAGGTATGTGAGGGTCCGACTAAAACCATCAACACATCCATGAAAGACCTTTCTCCGCTTCACCCTTTTATAGTTTCCCTCTACAGTGTATGCCCGTGGGGAGTGAAATTGTCACTGTATTCTTTTAGTGTTAGTTTAATTAAAGTTAAAAGTGCAGAAGCTCATAGCCTGAAGAACAAAAAGATGTGTAACTGTCCAAACACTTGACTGGGACTGTATAATATTCTGAAATATAATATAATACTTAAAGGTGCAACGTGTGAGATCTGGCCAAATCTGGACAGAATTTTTGTTTAAAATGTTAAAAAAAAAAATGAACTAACACCATCAATGGTATGTGGAGGAGCCACAGTGATGAGCCACAGTCATGACCAAGACCTCCATCTATTGTATTTCAGAGATATCTACTGAAATGAGCATGCTAACCAACTAGCCGCGTCCCGGACCGTGTTGTAATACCACCTAGAAACACTAGATGCTGTGTGAGTCAGTGTAGCGTCTAGTCTGCCCTCAGTCCCACGGAGAAGAAGAGCTTCCTCCTGAGCTTGAAGTTACGCTACAGCTCTAAACTAGACAAAAAAAAAAAAAGCTGCCTACGAGCATCACAGAAACGCAGAGATGGCTGAAGCTCCTAGAAAGAGATCTTTATCTGCATCCCGAAACGACGGCTACGACAAGAAACCACGTTCAACGGCAAAGAAGCGAAACACGGGTGAACGCTGGTGTGTTTTCCACCACAGGAGACAGCTCCAGGCGAGTAAAGAGACGCGGCTTGATGCTAAACTAATTGTCCTATCACATGTCTGTATCAGGACCAGAATTTCTGTCCAGTCTTTCCCAGTGATGGACCAGCACCTGCCTTTTCTTCTGTGTCTGGCCTCATCAACCATCAACAACCACATTACAGTAACACCTTGGAGTATTATCCCTGCACATAAGAGATATTGTCTATACTGTGATCCTTTGCACATCCATTTTGTCATTCAATTAACATTCCTCTGGAACATGTACTAATTGACACCCTATGTGCCTTCATCTGCTATTGCACTGATGTTCGCCATTTCAAGCCAATCCAGCAATAAAATTGCTACTGAAAGATATTTCCAAATGCTTCCCTTCTGTTCCCGACATTAGAGCCAACCCCCCCCCCCCCCCCCCCCCCCCCCCCCCCACACACACACACACACACACAACCAATTGCCTCAGACCCTCCACTAATTCACCATCACCTCTTTTTATAACCCCAGGCAATAATCCCATTTCAAAGCTCGTTTACTCATCATTTTAAAAAGGTTCTCCTTAAATGTAATTTATCACTTCAGCATTACTCAGGTCATTCATTTAGAATAGGGGCAGCCATCTCTGCCGCAATGCAAGGAATTTCTTCAGCCTCTCTTCAACAGCTGGGCTGGTTGTCTTCTTCTGCCTACTCCACCTACATACGACCTGACTCCACCTCAGTAATAGCTGCTCAAAGATCTCTTAGACCCTGATCATCACGTAAGTCATGCATATCCTGGTGGTGATGTTTCTGTCCTCATCCTCTTCTATGATCATGGATTCTAATCCCCTGTATGATTTGGCTATTTTTTCCTTGCATCATCATTGCCCATGTTCCCTGCATCTTAAGTCATTATTCCATTGCATATTTATTAGCATTTCCCCTGCATCAAGAATTAATTTTCCCGCATCATAGCGATTATTTCTCCCCACTTTATTGCCAGCTTTGAACGCATTAATGGCTATCCCCCCTGTGTCATTTCCCATTAAAAAATTTTTGCAATTTCCCCTGCATCAATGCTACATTTCTCCCCTGCATGTTGCCAGCTTTCTTAAACATGAATTGCATCTCCCTTGCATTATTTCATCATTGTTTAAAAAAAAAATAGCTCATCGCTCTCCCTCGCAGCACTGCTGGGTTTTCCACTACGAAATATGGTTATCTCCCCTGCACCAACATTAGCAACATTATTTTCCCCTGCATCACTCAACACTGCAACACTATGCTTTCTCCCACATTTAGTCCTTTGTCCTTTACATCATCACTAGGCCCTCCTTTATAACTGGCCTTATTCCCTGGTATTGGTATCATTCCCTGATCATCGCGCAATACATAACTGTTCACATGTTTATGAATGTTGTCCTCACTTCTGCTCTACTCCTCCCTCTGCTGGTTTAGTGCTGCACAGTCATGGTATACCTTCTATTTTTCAATAAATTTCTTTTTACTTTAATTCTCATACTTTCTTGTTCTTCTTCTTATCTCTGCTGAATGAACTGTAAGGACATACATTCCTGTATTACCAGCGTGTGTAATATAGGCCTCCTTGCACATACCTTTCTCCTGCATTTTGGGGTGGTTTGAAGGATCCCAGTAACAATGTCAGTCAAGGCCTCTTGCTATATAGGTCAGTGGTCCAACTTCAAGTTGTTGACTTTGTTTTTAGGGCTGTAAGCCAATGAACGAATCAGGATTTAAACTTTAATCTTCCTGTTTGAACAAACTAACTTCCTGTTCAATTATACCCTTTCACACACAGTACAATTTCCTCTTACATAAACCATCATAATTTCTTAAACACACAATCATTTTCCCTTACTTAGATTAGCATCTTCTGTCAAAAACACCTGTTTTCTTCTCACATACATTCCCATTCCTTCTCAGATACACTCATTTAGTCTTACATACATAATCATACTGTCTCACGCACACTTTATTATACTAATTCACACACCATTGTCTTACAGTATCATTCTTTCTCACACACATTATAGTTTATGCTCTCGCATACACTATAATTTCTATCATGCCAACAATATCCTCTCTCATTCACACCACTAATCTGTCTTTAATACACTACTATAGAGAATACTATGGTGTATGTGTAAGAGTATGAAAGAGTTTTTAAGTACTGTTGTGTGTCCGAATGAGTATGGTTTATGGCCCATATAATAATGTGTGTGAGAGAGTATGATTGTGCATGTAAGAGAGTATTAGTAGTGCTTGTGTAAAAGTATAGTGGTGAACATGTGACATTATGATGTTATGTGTGAAACCGAGTATGATTTATCTCTCAAGGGGCCTCTCGTACGGACACACAGCTTGAGCCCTGGTGTGTGACTGGCTCAGATCCCTTCAGCCACTGGTCGCTCAGTGTTCTGGCTCAAGGCAAGTTCCTCTGCCTGTGTCGGAGGTGGCTTTTTATATTCCTCAGACACATATTCAACTCAGAGCGAACATACTCAGCTGTTCTGGAACTGAAAACTCAATTCCCATCTCAGGGTTCATCAACTCAGAGTTTGTTAAACCTGTTTACTGGAATAGACCCCTAATGTCAATATCTGTATTATAAACATTACACAAGATGCCAACCTTCTACTAACTACTTTGAATTTACCCTTTGTATGACATGTGCAAATGGCTTGACTTGAATACAATTAAAGAGCTTAACATTAGAAAACTTTTTACTGGCACAATAAAAAAACAAACTTTTGAGCAAGGTGTTAAATCAGATAGATAAACAATTATGTGAAAAAAAAAACATTTCACACAGAACATTTTGAAGAATAAATAGTAAAGCAACTTATCAAAATTATAATGTGCAAAAGTCCCATACTGCACCCAACTTCTGAACAATATTTCAAGTATTATAAAAATAGAGCAAAAATAAAATTGAGAAAAATATGAATATGAATATGTTCAGCAATAGCATCATCAAACATATCAGCAATGGTGGACATAGCCATAAGTTGCCATGTATGTAATCCCTATATAGTTAGCCAAAATGGCCTGTCTATTTATGTATTTTGTGTATTATGTATATTGACCACAAGGAGGTGCAGAACGATATCTGGTGAGGTGAGTGGATAAAAGGCGAGTGTTGCTGAGTGGGAGTTTGTAGTCACAGCAGATATGGGATCAGGTAGGAGGATAGGTGAGACTCAGCTGTGGCAGCTGGCCCTTCTGGGTCTCTTCTTTTGGTGTTCTCTAACTGATGCAACTCCGTTGTAAGTAGATCTGCCTTACCTTTATACCTCCACATCTTGAATATTGTTTCAAAATTTCAAAGAACTGAAATGTTTTCAGCCTTGCTTCTCAATGCTCATATCTTTACTGGTGAAACATCTGCTTTTTCAGTTGCTGTGGCATACTACTAAAATGACAATAACTCTTAAAACATTTTTTAAAATACTGAATATTTTCAGTATACAGTAACAAATGATAAATTTATATTTCTTATTGTATATATATATATATATATATATATTATTCAAATGTCCAGATCCATTGAGTTTGTCTTTGGGACCAAAAGTGGTTACTGTGCCTGTGCTTCTCAGAAGGCTCTTTGTGTATATCCTCACATAAAAAATATTTAATTCATAACAACCAAGACCTTTTAAACATAGATTTTTAATATTGTTTTCACTAATCTGAGATTGTCATAATGTCAAAGGGATCGATCAGGATGAATTGATGCCATCATGTTACCGAAAGTGCAGCTCATGAAATGTCATTTACCAAACACATTTGAGCTAGCACTTGCTGAATTGATCACCACTGATTAGTGGTGAGCTTGAAGTGTCAGTGACAAAGAAAATACAGAAATAATTTAGGCAATTTAGGCATTAACACAACAAAAAAAATCTAAATTGATTCCATCTAATGTTTTGATTTTGTTTAGTGTTTCAAAAAAAAAAAAAAAAAAGTAGTTGAGACAAACTGTAATGGGAGCAACAGTAAGGCCAGGAATTACCTGCAAATAAATACTTGATACAGACCCAGGATTAAAAATCAAGAACATTAATTCAGTTCAGTTTCATAACATCTATGTCTCACATAATGAGGAGCTGCAGTCCAGTTTTCTGTCTGTGTCACAAATTCAAAGTACTGTGAGTTTGCACAGGGATTCATTACACAAGAGACAACAAACAGAGTACAGGATAATGTTGAAATGTTTTATTGATTCAGTGCTGGATCTTAATCAAAGTAATCAATAGATGACTAACTGTGTGTAAAGTCCAGACTCAATGTGCAAATCAAATAATAATTTACAATGATTTTTACTCTCGTAATGGGATGTGTAGGCAGTTTTTTCCTAAATTTGTATGTGCATTTACTATCGACCTCATTTGCAAAACATTTATATGCTTTGTGTTGCAGCTCAGGATGAATTAACAAGCCGGACTGTCTCTCACAGTGTCTTTTATTTGTTTTACACAATATACAGTAGGAAACAATAACTTTACAGTCCACCTCTGTGTCCTTAGCTGCTAAAGCAACTAGCATGTAAGCTCTCATGCTGGTTACAAGGACAACAACTTGGAACTGCGTTTTCTTCTTCTCTTAGCACATTAAACAAATTGTCTCTTGTTGCCTCAACAGCATCACCTGGTGGCAGAACTCAAATAGCGCTCAACTCATAAATGAACTAAATGCATTGCAAATTAAACCATTTAATGAACAGAATTACACACAGAAATAAATCAGGGGGGGTCTCTAAATTCACAATATAAAATACCAACAATAATAAACATAAATAGTCTTGAAATAACTGACCAGTCTTGTGGCAGTCGTGTAAGTTGTGAAGCTTATTCAAAGGCTTCTCCTTGATCTACTGCGGCTTGGATCATACCACATTTGTAAGTCGAATGAATGTATTCTTAAGTGTCTGTGTAGTGACCACGTTTTCCATCTTTCCCACTGTTCTGCAGGAGCATAATGTCTTGCCCCAGCGTGTTGCGTGTAGGAGCAGAAGAAAATATCTTTATAGAGTGTCAGGGCTGCACTGATGCTCAACCTGACATGAAGGTCACCATCAAAGTGTTGAACAGTCCAACCAAATCCACGATACTGACGGAAACATCTGTGACCCTTACGGGGCACAATAAATTCCAGCAGTTTGGACAAATTACAGTAATGTAGAAATATTAACGGATATGACATTGTTACATGAAATCATTGTCACAACATATTAGTCTTATTAATTTTTTGTATGTTTTGTCTGAGTAACAGCATTTACATATACCCTGCATTCATCAGCTAATCTAAAGTAATAATTTTACAAGACTACACACAAGAGAAGACACACACACACACACACACACACACACACACACACACACACACACACACACACACACACACACACACACACACAACACAAAAAAATTAATATCTATAAAGTCTATAAGTGGTAATCATACTCCTGTTCTCATCCTCACACATATTCCACACTCTCCTCACCTTGTCTGTTCATACTTGTTTCAGATCCCTTCTGACACCTTCTATAAAATTCCCAGCATGATGCAGCATGTCTACCTGCAAGCTCATTTCCCTGGTGTAATATTGGAGAAAGTCGTCTTAGTGTCCTTCCAGTCCGGCTACATCTTCATCCAGACTGACAAGACCCTCTACACCCCAAACAGTATAGGTGAGTCCAGTACTACATCAGTGCTGAAAGACACTGACTCTGTCAGAGTGTCTCTACATAACAAAGTACATTAGAAAATATACCACAGTGTGATTTTATTTATATTAGTTTGACTAATGCATTTTTCATGTTTGTAAATAATTGACTGAACTTTAAACTACAGTAACATGAACCTCTTTCTCTTTCTGTCAGTTCATTTCAGGATGTTTGCAGTAACACCACGCATGGAGCCTGTGGAGAGGGACACCCCAACCAGTACTTATGCTTCCGTAGCCATTGAGATGATGGTATTGTATTATATTGTATTGTGTATAACTTACACTTGACTCAATTTTTTAAAATGGCCAAGTGTCAATCAAGGACCTGATCAGACTCATGGATGGTAGACAAAAGATTTGTTGCAAGGTCTTTGTTGTAACATGTTTTACTACATTCATTTTGTTAAAGGTAGAGTTATTAGCACTGGGATTTGTTGATATTTGAACTCAACAGCAAAATAAATATACCCCTACCTTCACCCCCCCAGCGATCAAACATTAGCCAGAGTGAGTCAATAATATCATTGACTTATTCTGGCTGGTTTGTGATCGCTGACCACAACTGGTTAGTTGGCGAATGCATGTCTTCCATGCACTGGTAATTCTTAAATTTACTCCCTCTGCCCTATCTTCCCTTTTCTCTTCTTCTGTCCCTTATCCCTTGTGTGGCACGGTCCAGGCCCCTTTGTTTGTTCCCCACTTACAGAGCAGGGCTATGTAGGAACACCAGATTTTTTTTCAGCACACACAGATTTGACAGCTAGCAGACCATGAGGAGATATTCACTAAATTTGACAAAAGTGCACTGGATTAGAATTGTTTAGTCCACCTAAGGCTCACTGCTGATGGTTGGTCAATGTTGTTTATATTTAGACTCCTGAAGGCATCTCTTTAAGTCTTCCTGGTCCAGTCATTCTGGATTCAGGGATGTACTCTGGAATTTACCCCCTCAGTGAAGTTGTCAGGTGAGTGTTTAATTTAATTTAGTTTGATTTACATTTCTGTAAACTATTTTTATTAACATGGTTAACAGGGAAATTAATTTCTATGACAAGCATGTAGTATATTAACCAGCCGCAACAGCATGACTGGTATTGTTTTCACCTCCTGGGAGATTGTCATGTCTAGTCTTAACACCTACTGTAGTGGAAACTACCACAGAGGCGGTTCTGAGTACTTTGGCAGGTGATAATATGTCTCTATGTAGACAGATTTTGTCACTGCGATAGTATCTTAACCTTGTACGATACAGTCACTTTACAGGTGTGTATTTGGGATCAAAATTAAGGCAGAGTTTGAAGATAGATGTGGTCTGAGCAAGGGCGCTGGAAGCAGGGGATTTACACCCCTGGCCGTTATTCATTTGAAATCACAGATAACTGTATCTCAGTTTCAATTATTCCCTTCACCAACAAATCAATCTATCAGACTTTAATTGTATAGCAATTTTCATTCAAACAATGTGAGTCATAAGTGTTTTACAAAATAAAAGCAATAAATAGATACACCCCTCCCAATCCATGCACAGGGCAATAAATTACTATAAAACAATGAAAATAGAAATAAAATGATAGGAATTGAGGAAATGCTAATATGTTACCAATTTTCATGTCTCTGGCTCAATCTAACTCACTGCAAAATGGATTTTTTTTTAGGGTACCATATAGCAGATACATTGAAATGTAGTGCACTATATATTAAATAGTTATTTCAGCTATAAAACAGGCTACACATTTTTTGTACGATTATACAAACTTCATACAACATACAGTGACCTTTAGGTGTATTTTGTTTTGTGAGTGAGGCAGGCAAGTTGTTTCCTCCTGTTTCCAGTCTTTGTGCCAAACTATAATATACATATAACTCTTTGCCAGAAAGCAATTGAGCATGTTGCACTACTCCAAATACCTGAAAGCTCTAAACCAGTGTTTCTGCAGTTACTTCTCTCTGCCCATGTGGGGCAGTAGAAGTCAAATTGTTTTCCACACATGACGTGTGTGTGTGTGTGTGTGTGTGTGTGCGTGTGTGTGTGTGTGTGTGTGTGTGTGTGGTGTGTAGTCTGGGACTTTGGAAAGTGGTGGCCAGGTTCCCCCACAACCCACAGTACAGCTACTCTGCAGAGTTTGAGGTCAAAGAATACGGTGAGTCCCTTTTCACCTGAACTGTTCTTTACTGTAAAATGTATAAAGCATTCACTTACTCTTCACCTGATGTTGGACACACAATAAAATGCATTTAATTTTTTCAGTGCTGCCCAGTTTTGAGGTGAAACTGACGCCTATGAGCTCCTTCTTCCATGTCAACAGTCCAAAGCTCACCATCAAAATTAAAGCTACGTATGTGAAGTTTTTTTCATAACTTTAGAGAGCTTTTGAGAGAAGTTTGATTAGTGATGTAATGTATTGTATATGTAATGTATATGTAATGATTGGAGCAGAAAGTAAAAGGTGGGGCGTCGCGTAGCGCAGTGGGTTACGCAGGCGCCCCATATTTAGAGGCTACAGTCCTCGCTGCAGCTGGCCCCCGGTTTGACTCCCGCTTCGGATGGCCCTCTCCTGCGTGTCATTCCCCCTCTCTCTGCCTCCCCATTTCCTGTCTCTCTACTGTCCTGTCCATTAAAGGCACAAAAGCCCAAAAAAATAATTAAAAAAAAAAAAGAAAGTAAAGGGTGTGCATGCTCTGCTGCGACCACGCTTTCCTGTTGGCATCCTGTCCTGTCTTGCTTTCATATAGTTATGTACACTTTATTGCCAAATCTGCTATAAAGTTAAGTGTATAAACTGCCTGATTAATACAAATCCGGTGGATGATCAATGACAGCTACTAACCGGAGGTTTCCGGCTACAAACCACTCACCTATAGCCATGCTCGGATAGACTGGAACTAGAGGTTAGAAAAATGAACACAAAACAAGCCATTCAGAAACGAAAACCCTCAGTGGATGTGAATCAATACATGACCTCTCCAGAATAACATACCCCATAATCCTTTGCTGTCACTCTCACTATCACTCTTATGCATGTTTGGACATATATTACCACTCTGCTAACTGTCAGGAGAGTTGCTGAGGGGCTGGCTTTGGCAGGAGTGCTGAATACTACATATAGATGTGTGTATATAAATGTTGCGTTTGCCTTTTGATTGTTCTGTTTTATTTCATTGTGCGCCTTAACATGTTCTTCTCTTGTGGTTTTAGGTATCTGTTTGGTAAAGATGTGGAAGGGTCAGCCTCTGCAGTATTTGGGCTCATGCATGAGGGTCAAAAGGCTGCCTTTCAAAGCTCCATTCAGAGAGTGTCGGTGAGCACATAGTCCCTTGTTTGCTGCAGCTCAGTAACTACAGCAACTACAGATTTGGTAAAGCACCTACCAACTAGCAACTTACTGCAGTTCAAGATAATTTTGTATATTATGTCACATTAGATCGAGGATGGTGAGGGAGAGGTCACACTGAGGAAAGAGCACATCATACAGGCCAACAACAACAATAACAACATCGACAACCTGGTGGGGAAGTCCATATATGTAGCTGTCAACGTGCTGACGGAAAACGGTAAGAAGGAGAGCCTGTGTGTTTATTGGTGTGTGGTCACGTGTTCGGGGTGTTTGGTCATTTGTGATACTGATTTAGCAGCCTAAATGAATGTATTATTAATATGGGTCTGTGTGCTCTTGTGTGTTTTTGTTTATATCTTTCCAAAGGTGGTGAAATGGTGCAGGCAGAGTGGAGAAATATTAAGATTGTCAAGTCACCTTACACCATCCACTTCAAGAAAACACCCAAATATTTCAAACCAGGAATGAACCTCGATGTTGTGGTAATGTACACAATTACATGAATGTAAAATTGGTTGCCATTCTCTAGGGGCCTGGCTTTTATTAATATGAACTTGCCATAGGGCAGACACAAGGCAGAGCAAGAAAAAGGAAGAAGAGAGGAGAGCGGTGTGCTTCAGGGATAAGCCCTAGGTTTTAGATAGGGCCTGCAGCCTTTTATTTTTGGCTGGCAAACATTTCTTATATGAATAGATGCTGGTACAGCCACAAGATTTAGTGGTAATGGAATCTAATCTAATATAACAAATATACCAAATATACAAATATTTATATGGCATTATTTTCCAAATGATATTCATCTTAAAAATACAGTGCCTATAGAAAGTCGTCATACCTTGTTAAAATCTTTACCTTTTGCCATATTACACCCTGGAAATTAAAATTTAAGAAAAGTCTAACTTTTTGAGTTCTATGTAAACATTATAACGCTCATGATCAAAGTGACAATAACATCTTAAAAATTCTGGACAAAATTAATTAGTGAAATTCCTGGTTTGGTTTAGTGATTAGCCCCTTAGAGTATGCCATTATAAACTTGTTCAGATGCAACCAATCAACTTCCAAATCAAACACCAGGTTACCTGCCCCGCCTGACAAGTGTTTGTGATTACTTCAGAATGAAAGCAGCTGTTTCTTGAAGATTCCACTACTAGTAGTACATGGTACTGCAAATAATTCACTTTTCTAACCCTGATATTCTAGTTTTGCATTTCTTACTATTTTTCAGAGCTGTCGCCTTTTTTGTCGTTCGTTTGAACAAATCTGGAACATGTCTTTTTTTTAAATGGGTTTTGATTTCAACTTGTACAACAAATAAAGTAACTATTTCAAATGGGTATGATGATTTTCTATAGGCACTGTAAATGCATTTAAAAAGTGATTATAACTTATAACTTATTACAGTTATTGCAGCAGTGTTTTTATCTTTGATGGTTCTTCATGAGAAAATCAGAACTTCTCTAATAGATGAGGCAAAAAAAAAGAAAAGAAAGAAGAAAAATAGATTTCAAATGTAACTATACAGAGTAATTATTATCTCAGTCTCAGCATGTTGGTTGCACAGCTACTGCAATTTACAGACCAAGTTTATCCTATATCCGTAATCATATGGTGTTCTTGTTAGATGGATATGTTCTCTGACTGTTTCATTGTTTCTGTCTTTGATGGCAGATTGAAGCTCTGAATCCTGATGACACTCCAGCAAAAAGTATTGCATTGATGGTGAATCCAGGCAATGTGGTCGGCAGCACCGAAGACAACGGCATGGCAAGGCTTTCTATCAATACGAACCCAACACTTGAACAACTTATAATTACTGTAAGTGTCTGAAATTGTGAATGCATTACACCATTGGTCATTGGCTGTTGCTCTTTCAAAATGAATTGGCACAAACATCTAAGTGCATTTCTCGCTAGATTTAGAGACTATTTCAAAAAAAGAACCTAGTGACAAATCTCTGGTGTGGACAGTGAGTCAGTCTACCCACTTGAACCAGAGTTGGACGGGTCACTATTTCAAACTTGTTCCACTGCCTGACAACAGAAACAGAAAAACATGTAAATGGTAACAGCTCTATTGGAAATTCAGCTGCATTGAAATACGCAGGGATGTGAGTTGTTTACAGCGGTTCCACAACAGTTTTCAACTACGTTTTCAATTACACTGACCATATGCAGTCAAGGTATTTTCTAGGTTTTGACTTAGTCTTGTTGGCTGGACTGCAAAAGTGGAGCCAGCCCTATGATCTTGAATGTCCCTCACTCACTGAATGACTGAGTGATCATATTTCCACCACTGATCAGCCAAATGCAATGTGACTGACTTAGAGTTACCTCATTGGCCCTTGCTCTTTCAAAATGATTTGGTGGAAGCAGTTTCTATTAAATGGGTATTTACCGCCTGCAATGTTGCCAACTTAGTGCATTTTAGCTAGATTTAGAGACTTTTTGTCAAACAAGACTGGGTATGAACCTGGTGCATGGCTGGAATAGGAGCGGATGCCAGCTGGGAGCTTATTGCTATACCCCCTTTTACAAGCAGTCACCCAGCTGCCCTGGTTTCCCGGCTTCCACCCTGCTTACCTCCATCCCAGCAAATAAGCTCTTTAATTACATGTGCCATTATTACTAAAGCAGACAGAAGAATAACTAAACATCAGACACACTGAGCAGAGTGAGCAGGAGAGTGGGAGGGAGAGAGAGTAGTCATCGGTAACTGCTAAAGAAACTAGCAGATCTGAATAGCATGTAAGCAACAGAAACGCCTGCAACTGAATATGAGACAATATGCTTACCAAAGCACAGCAATAAAAGTCCTATTAAGAAATGCTAGAGGGCTTTTAATTTGAAACAATTACAGAAAGTGTGGAGTTTGTATTTTTACACATAATGAAGTAACTTTGTACTGAACTTGAGCTATGACGTGACTATGACAATTATTCATATCAAACAGAGGGATTAGAAATAAAGACCTGTTAACCTACTGTAGTTGAGATAAATGAAAGCACCAGCTTCTGCTAACAGCTCGTCTGCTTGTGAGAGAAGGATGATTTGTCTATGTTTTCCATCAGTTTTATAGTTTGATGGTGGGAAGATTAAGAAAAGTGTCAGTTTAATAGCTCTGCATGTCCTTACTATGAACTTGTGGCTTGTGACTGATGCTAGACCAGGTATGTTCGCTACACAGTAGTTGAAAACTGTTGTAGATCCCAGACAGAGGCTGAGCTGAGTGTGTAAGTGACAAAATAAGAAAAATATTCTGTCGCTTCTAACTTTCTCTCTGAGTGATAATTTTACATATAAATATAGCTGAAACCCCAGCAGCCTGTCTTTAAACTATGTGTTTGCTGATTTTATCAGACAATGATGCAGTTATAAAATCAGGATTTGATCATAAGCGTTTTTTTTCGAAATGTTGTGTATATGTTGTCAAAGTGGAGGAGATCTTTTCTCTTTTTACATGTGTTTTTGTGAAGCTGCAGCATGTATAACTCTGTCAGCCACCACATTTATATGTTCATAGGTAAAAAGGTTTGCATTTAGCCTGCATCACTTGATATAAAAGTGTGCACATTATAACCTGCATGTTTACTTGTAGGCATCGACTGACGTTCCTGGTGTCACCCAAGCAACAGCCACCATGACAGCTTACCCATACAACACCAAAAGCAAAAGTTACATCCACATAGGTAAGGAACCTCCTTAGATAACATCACATGGTAATATGATGATGGTGATGACAGTGGTGCAGGTGGCAGCACTGTCTAACTACCTTGCATAAGACCTTTTGGATGTTTAGCATGTGCAATACCATTATTGCAGGGGTGGGTAAAGCTGTGGTAAAATTAGGAGAGAACCTGAAAGTCAACTTCAATTACAACAAGCAGGAGGGTGCACAAAATGACATCACATACCTGGTAAGCGATTTTTTTGAACATGTGTACTGTATGTGTGCATTTGTGGGCATGCGTTGGTGTTTGTTTTGCGTCCCACAACTTATGCAGTATATACACACATGTTTAATAAATGCTGATGTGTAAATCTGTTTCCCAAGATCATGAGCAGAGGGCAACTGGTGAAATATGAACGTTACACGACAAAATCTGAAGTGGTGATATCCAAAATAGTTCACATCACCAAACACATGCTGCCATCGTTCCGCATCATAGCCTACTACCATACAAATGACAATGAAGTGGTATCAGACTCTATTTGGGTGGATGTCGAGGACTCCTGCATGGGCTCGGTGAGACACAGCACTGATGTAGCAGAATGCAATAAACCCACACACAGACTGATCAAGTTAATTGTATTTTTCTAGGCACAAATGCAAGTATATTCATGCGTATGTGGTTTTTATTCAGTTGTTTTAACAAATACAAGTCAGCATGTCTCATTCATGGTCCTTTCCCCTCCTTTAGTTGAAGCTGGAAACAAAGGATTCTTCTCGTCAAAACTATGAGCCTGGCGGGAGGATTCAGCTGAAGGTCACTGGGGATTCAGGAGCCACGGTGGGACTGGTGGCAGTTGACAAAGGTGTCTTCGTCTTGAACAACAAGCACCGCCTCACCCAGAAGAAGGCAATTTCTTTATCCTATCTTTAAAAATACTTTAAAGGGGGTCCATTTAAAAACCTATGTAAATTGCAACTGTTGAGTTGCACTATACGCATGTCCACCACTAGGCTTGATTCCTCTGACACTGTTCAGAAAGAGGGAGAAACATCTGCAGCCACTGCTTGACTGCAACCATGGTGGAGGTCAAGCAGTGCCTGAACAGTCCCTGGACCTACTTGGGTTATAAGCTGGGAAATGACCGGAAGAAAAATACCAACAGGCACACAAGGAAATACTTTCAAAGTAAAACAGGAAATAAGACTTTAAAGAGTCACTGAAGGGGTGGATTGTGATAGTTTGTTTGTATTCCTGTGCATGACTTCAACCCTTCTCAGATATGGGACCTAGTGGAGAAGCACGATACTGGCTGCACACCAGGTGGAGGGAGAAACGGCACTGATGTGTTTAACGATGCCGGGCTGGTCTTTCACTCCAATGTGGGGAGTGGGACTCCCAACAGGAAAGGTGATGCTTCCTCAAAGTGTAGTTCCCTTCCCTCATTCTACATGTCTGATTCTAAACAGGAATTTTTTTTACTGCTTAATGCCGCCTTGTCGTGTTGTAGAGAAGGAAAACCCAAATTAGTCAATCTGCAGAGTGTGTTTAAGTTTATTTTCCTTTTGTAATTCACAATCAGAGCAAAAATATTTTAATCTCTTTCAGTTGTTAAAAGTCAAGACACAGTTTGTTAACAATATTCTTAACTTAAACTTGAAACCAACTTCACTTTCAAATTGAGCATTCACAATTACACAAAATATTTTAAACTCCCCATTAAGGATTGTGGTGTGTCAATTCTGTTTTACATATAATGCCTTCAACTCAGCTAATATTATGCTCCAGCTAATTATTACTTTGGGTCAGTATAAAAGTCTAAACCATGGCTATGATTCTCCATCCAGGTCCTCCTATACAGCTTAACACTTGTTGGGTTCTGTTTAAGAGCTAGTCTGTTTTCCATTTCCAGAATTGAAATGTCCTTCTCCCAGTAGACGAAAACGAGCCAGCGCTATACTGGATTCTTCAACCAGCCTATGTAAGAATCACAAGGTGTTGTGATGTTTGTGGACAGGCCAAATCAGCGGGCCAGACTGAAATAACTAACTTTCATGTGTGTTCATGTGTTTCATGCTGCATGCAACTGCCCCTTTCACTTCAGGCAAGAAGGCCTTTTTTTTTTCTCAACAATGGGCATAATACAAAAACAAATATAAAGAAATATTCAGGGTGTCACACACAAAATGAAATTTTCTCTTTCAAAAAGCTTTTGTATTTGCATTTACAAAAAAAATTACTTTCTCCCCTGACATTTCTGTCTCTCCATAACCCTTTTCCTCTTTTTAAGTGAGTCAGTTTGCAGACAAAAACCAACGTGAATGTTGTTTGGATGGCTTCAAGAAGACCCCCCTCTCATACAACTGTGAGAGGCGCAGTGAGTACATCATGGATGGTGCAGCGTGTGTTGAGGCCTTCCTGCGGTGTTGCAAGGAGATGGAAATTCAGGAAGCTGAGAAGATGGAAGACATCCTCACACTGGCTCGCAGTAAGAGACAGGGGCAAGGGATGGAGGGAAAGGCAGCGCTGGCAACATTCGGTGGGAAAATTGGTAGTTAGGAAATTGCCACCCAGAGAGAAATACTAACTTTTTTTTTCAATGACGCTTTAGGTGAGGAAGAATACAGTAACTATGACACCAGTGAAATTGTTACCCGTTCCAAGTTCCATGAAAGTTGGCATTGGACAACTATCAAACTGCCTCCTTGCTCTGAACATAACTGGTGAGGCAACTTTTACTTGAACATACAAAGAATACATGTAACGATGCCTGTGAGTCAGTGTAGGCAGCCTTGAGTCTGCCTACCTATACTCGCATGGCGCACTCTTCTAGCTGAAGCTGTCCAATGTACCCTTTAAGTCATGGAGGTTTATTTCAGTGCTCTGCTCACCCTGCTTCTGTTATGCCTGCTGCCAAACCGCTCAGCTGAAAGTTATGCTGACACTTGCTGCTACTGCTGCTGCTGTTCATATATACAGTAATTCTACATTCAAATAATGTATTATTTGTGAGTTGGTTGACTAAACATGATTCAAAATTTCATTCTAAAATGTGAATATATTTTTACCTCTGAAACGGACACTGCTCTTCTTGTGTATTTCAGTGACACCTCAGAAAAGCTGACATCAGTATTCCCTTTGAAAGACACTATCACAACCTGGCAGTTCATCGGCATCAGCCTTTCAAAAAATCATAGTGAGGATTCCCATAGCCCCTTGTATCTTAAAATCCTGACCCTTTCCTTTCTTTCACTCTTTCATCCCGTATTCGTTTCTCCTCTCATCTTCAAGGTATCTGTGTGGCCGATCCATTATCGATAATTGCACAGAAGGACTTTTTCATTAAGCTCAATCTGCCGTACTCTGTTGTCCGTGGGGAGCAGCTGGAATTTAAGGCAATCATCCACAACTACATAGATCGTGGTTTCACTGTAAGTCTGAGCTATTCTTTTCTAATGATTAAAGCCAGAATGCTTTCAAGTTAGAGGTTGGTTAGTTTAGTCATTGTTGTGGAACTTCTTTTGAGCTGAAGAAAAAAGTTCACTAGGAGATTTGCAATGTTATATTTATGCAGTACAATGTCAACAAGTGAATCCGAGTAATGCCACACCAGCTTCTGCTCTAGCCCTGACCAACAGGACGTAGATTACCAAGGAATTACGTGTATATATCACACATTTCTTGTACCATATACAAATAAGGTTATTCTACAGTCTTCACCTGTATGTGTGAAGCCTAAACATAAACTCAGGGGCATAGGTTTGGTTTTATTTTTGGTGGGGACATTTTTGTCAGATGGCCACAATAATAAGATAGTAAAGATAGCAAACATATCAAATGTGAAGTAAAGAGGAAAAATATCTCCCGACATTACCATTAACTGACAATGACACACTCTAGTGAAACAGCAGAATCCTGCATTTACCCGCCTCAGTGTTTTTAACCTTTCCTGGCTCATATTGTCCAGACTGTAGTTTGGAAGCACAGGGGCGACACAGGAACATGGGAACTTTGCATTTATTCATATTATCAGCCTAAACTGCACATACTACATCTCACTGTGTGTTTACAGCTACACTGCTAACTGGCTAACTCTCTGCTCCAGCCATCAGCATCACCTCTCTCTCTTTCTCTCTCTCTCTCTCCCTCTCTCTCTTTTCTCTCTTTCCTCTCCCCCACTCCTCTATCTATCTCTCTCTCTCACTCTCTCCCGCTTCCCACTCAGCATACATACTGAGCTGTTCCTGAAAGGAGCTGCCCTACTCCTTTAACAATATTTGTGTCAATCTTCTCAAACTTACTGCAGATCTTGCACAGACATGATAAATCAGTGTGATTTGCTCGTTTACTTGCTACTGCTGCCTCTTAATGCGCAGGTTTAGTTTCCACACATGTCTGCGCATGCGTATAATGTTGCAGTATCAAAACTGATCTCAGAACATTAGAAGCTGAGTCAAGGACAGCTTGACAAGCACACTCTGGCTATGACAAGTCACCCATCAAGGCAACGAGGTAATTCTCTGCTGCTGCCACGAGGGGGCAGTAAATTACATGATGAATGCAAACAGGCATCAGATCCTTTAAAGGACAAAACACTGTTCTGAGATCAGATGTAAGGAGGGGTATCACTTCCACTTCAGTATTGTTCAAATTCAGGTCTATTTATAAGTTTTGCTTGCCTTGCTTGCCCTGACGGCAAGCCATTGGTGCACACACATACACATATAAAGAGCCTGACTCAGAAAGTTTACTTGATTTGAATGTTTGCTGATCCAATTTGCCTGATATTGGACTTGTAGCATGATTTTTTTCCCCCTCTGATTTATAACAGATATTTGACTTTTTTTATTATATTTATAGAGATCTTAACTCGATAGATAGTTCTAAAAATAAATGTATGAAACCCTGTAAGTGGTAATATCTTCTGTGACTGAGCCATTTTTAAATCTCACCTGAGATTCAGTAGTTCTGTCCTTTCATTTTGTTGATTTTAGCAACACAACTCACAGCGATGCTCAAACTGATCTTTAAATGATATCATCTGTATTATTTTTCATTCAGCTCCTGAACTTATGACAAGATCTCAGCCTGCAGCTCATCTGTCAGTGTGTCTGTGTTGCTCAGGCTGCTGCTGACGACAGCATTTTCAGAATAAAATGATGCCTGACATTAACAAACAAATCAGTTGGACAAGCTGTGTCTAATTTACTTTATAAATAATGTTCATGTCTTAATGCCACATATGCAGTAAGAGAAGACCTCTTACTGCATATGTATCAACCCACGGAAATGTTATCATATTTCATCAGCTTTTTGAAGATCTCTTTCTCTGCATTCAAATGGAGAAGTAAAATTTTTTCAGCCTCTTCCCCTTTTTCTCTTTTTTAAGGTGCGTGTGGATCTGTTTGAGAACGAGCACGTGTGCAGTGCAGCCTCTAGGCGTGGGATTTTTTATCAAGAGGTCAACGTTCGGGCCCATGGTACACGAGCTGTATCCTTTGTCATTATTCCCATGAAGGCAGGATCACTCACTATTAAAGTCAGAGCATCTGTTAAAGGCCAGAGAATCGGTGATGAAGTCCAGAAGACGCTGCTGGTGTTGGTAAGAGGAACCGACTCGTGATTGTGTGATTGGTCTGGAGCTTGGTATACCATATTATGGTAGTTCTCCTGTTGTAGCCCAGATATCAAAGTTGCAAGAGTACAATGCTGTAAAAAGTTTGCTTGAATTTTATTGTAATTGTTTGTTTTCCAGCCTAAAGGCAAACTGACCAAATCTTTAAAGATTGTAACCCTCGACCCTGCTAGGAAAGGTGTAGGTGAGTTTTCTATTTAAGGACTTAAGTAAACACATGAAGACTTCTATTTTTTAATTTTGACGATACCCAAATTTGTATTTTTTCCCCATAGGTGGAAGACATATGGTAACTATCAGAAATGATATTAATATGCAAGAGGTGGTTCCAGGCACAGAACCAACTACAGAGATTTATGTGTCAGGTGAGATGTATACTGTATATTGTAATTACCTCTGTACTGTTAACTGACAAACAGTTGTTCCTCATGACTGAAATCACCACCACGCCAGGTTCTTTTTTGTTTCTACCAGTTGATCCTGAAGTTTTTCATGTGTGTCCACACAGGCAGAGAGCAGTTGGGTGCACTGGTGGAGGAAACCATTGGTAATAAATCAATGGGTAGTATGATCCAAAAGCCAAAAGGCTGTGGAGAGCAGAATATGGCCCTCATGACCCTCCCTGTCATTGCAACCAGGTATTTGGACAGAACCAACCAGTGGATTACTGCAGGCGATGACAGACGAGATGAAGCCCTCAATTTCATCTCGATCGGTAGGCTCTCACTCACTCACTCACTCACTCACTCACTCACTCACTCACTCACTCACTCACTCACTCACTCACTCACTCACTCACACTCACACACACACACACACACACACACACACACACACACACACACACACACACACACACACACACACACACACACACACACATTTATTGGAAAAGAGCCCAATTTGAAAAGATTCTCCAAACTGGCTTCCAGTGGATGAGTTTTGAGTAAAATGAGTGAAAAACTTGTGTTTTTTGTGTCCAGGCTACACCAACCAGCTGAACTACCGTAAGCCGGATGGATCTTTTGCTGTGTTCCAGAGACGTCCCGGCAGTACCTGGTGAGGCATCCAAGTTACATGAACTCCTACGCAGATATTTTGCATAGGAGGATATATATTTTTCTCATTTAACTTCTGAGTAAATGAGTGAGATTCTGAGTAACTGGGATATTGTCTGGTTATTAGTCATATTTCATGTACAGGTTATTTAACTAAAGTAGATTTAAAAAAAAACTTTTGTACATTCTCCTCTCCTCTCTCTAAGGCTGACAGCTTACGTTGCAAAGGTGTTTTCCATGGCCTCTACACTGGTGGCAGTGGACAAGAAAGTGGTCTGTGACGCCCTCAATTTTGTGATTGCCCATCAGCTAAACACCGGCCAGTTTGAAGACGTTGGAGTAATCTTTGATACAACAATGATTGTGCGTACACAGAGTGACATCAATTCTTCAGCTTGGTGCTAAACATAAGTGCAATGTTACTGACTATGAATGTGAATGAATAAACAGATGTTAGATACTGATGATAGTAATCATAATGATGGTACTGACGTGTGTGTGTGTGTGTGTGTGTGTGTGTGTGTGTGTGTGTGTGTGTGTGTGTGTGTAGGGTGATGTGCGTGGCACAAATTCAGATATCTCCATGACAGCCTTCTGCCTTATTGCCATTCAGGAGTCACGCACACTGTGTAGTCGTACTATTCCTGTGAGTATCTCATGTCTGCATACAGTGTGTTTTTCTGTCACCTCTTTATTTCTCTCTTTTGTGATATCTCCTTCTTTTTTTCACAGCTGCTCACCTACCTCCCTAAAAACATGTAATAACCATCAACATGGTCAAAATGACTTCTTGCCTCCAAAATAGGGTCATACCTGCCTATTTTCCCTGTAGCCATTTTTCTAGACAAACAGAATCGAATGATTTTGTTTTTATTATTTTGTTTCTTTCTTTTGTTTCCTTAAGTGCCTTCAATGGAAGAGATGGTGGACAAAATTCATAGTCCTTGTTGTTCGCAGAAGAAGATATTCATAAGTTTATCTATGAGGCTTTAGCAGTTTGAGTTTTAATTAAGGGAATTAAGTGGGTATCTTAAAAAGCTACAACCTTTTTAGTCCACATTTCACTTTTTTGTTGTTACCCCTCCACTGCAGCTCGACAGAGTAGCACTGTTCTGGCAAACACAATGAAGCAATTCTGTACTAAATAACACTGTAACTTTCGAAGATACACCTTTGATTTGATTAACATACATGGTTAAACCTCGCAATAGTTTCGATGAGAGTTCAAAGCACAGCAGCTTAAGAAAATACATGCAAATAGAGCACAGAGAAATTCAGAAAGCATCTTCATCAATTTGACAACACATGTGCCACAAATACTCACTACTACTTTCCAGCGGACACAAGTGGTGTGGAGGGTTATCTGGTAGAGCGTGTAGTGAAGCTGTAGTACTAACCGCAGTGGCACGGGTTCGACTCCAACCCATGACCCTTTGCTCCATATCATCCTATCTCTCACTCTCTCCCTCTCTCTCTCTCCTTCTCCCTCAAGGCAAAAAATGAAGCCAAGTTTGTTCAATTCAAAATAGAGAGCACAGATGTTAATGGGCAGTTGCCCATCTGTGTTCTCTATTTTCAGTCAACACGGCGTAATGTCTGATCTCTGATCCTAATATTTTGTACAACACAGGCTGCTGCTGCTGTCCACTTTCTACTTAGTATAATCTCATCGTGGAGCTAAACACAGCTAAAGATAGATTGTAGCCTAAATTAGAAGAAATGGACAGCAACTTTTTTATGATTAATGTTCCAAGTTTTTGTTTATTGTCTCAGACCAGATAATCAGACCATGAAGCTTTTGTTGCTCCAGTTCTCTTCACCGATCTGTCTGTCAAAGGTGTGTCAATCAGATAACTCGGATACCTGTAAAATCAGCTCCTGTATTAGTTCCCTCTTTGTAGTTTCTAGCTACGGCAGCAAATTGAAAAAAAGTTGAAGTTTCCATTGACAACAAAAGCAGTGGCTCAGAGCCCTATGCATTCAGTAGAGCAGCAGCTGCCCTCCCTCTCCTTGCCGTTGCTGCTGCCGTTGACTTCACTGTAAACAATGGACGCCACAGTGACAACCGCTCGATGTCTGAAAGCACCTTTAGTGCTTGAAATTAATTTCACACCTATTTGCACACGTACCATAGTGCATTTCCATGTGAATACATGATGACAGATGATGATCTGTATGTCTGTCCTTTCCTTCTGTCCAGCATCTGCAAGGCAGTATAGACAAAGCAGTTGCATACCTGGAAGGGCATCTGCACCAGATCACCAACCCGTATGCTGCTGCAATATCATCATATGCCCTGGCTATTGAAAACAAACTAAACCGCCAAATCCTGATGAAGTTCTCCCGAGGTTTTGTGACAGAACAATATTCTTAAACATATCGAGAAATACAATGTAGACTTTATACACATTCACAGATGCAGCTTAATGATTATTCTGGTTACTTCTTCTTGTTTTATTGATTACATTTTTAGTTTTGGAAGTTGAAAGTCAACAAAGATTGTGAAGTACAAAAATGTCTGTCTTCTTCAGAGTTAAACCACTGGCCTGTATACTCGAAACTTTTAACACTTGAGGCAACAGCTTACGCTCTTCTGGCTCTGGTCAAGGTCAAGGTGAGCACATCCACCACTTATGTGTATCTTACCAGCATGTCATGCTTTGGCAGAAATACAGTTCAATAAAGTCAAGATCCATGCTACCTCAGAGAAAGGATTGATGGTTGATAATTAGAGCCACTTCCCTTTAGAAATATCTAGTGTAGCTCTGAACAGCCCCTCAACTGCCATCATCACTTTGATTGAAATATTGCTAGGTCCTGATTGGTGCTCAGAAGTACATGAAACCACCTAGAAAATTACTAATATTTAGGTATACTTTAGAAACTCACTGGGATTAATGACTATTACTTCCAATTAAATAACGGATGCAGTTTCATAAACTGTCAAACACAGAGTCTCAAACCCTTTGTCTTGATTTTCATTGCTAAAGGCCCTTGAGGAAGCCAGACCTATCGTCAGATGGTTCACCAAACAGCAGAGTTATTCTGGAGACTATGGATCCACCCAAGTAGGAGTCTCTCTCATTCTCTTTCTCTCTTTGCCACAGTACATTTATGTATCTGCTATATATTGGGTCCCTTTTTTGTGAGGTTATGCTTATTTTTGTTAGTTACTGTTGGCAGTACCTTGTAATCTACTAATTAATTGTATGAGTCTTGCTTTCTCTTCCTGTTTGTTTCTGTTTCTCTCTCCAGGCCACTGTAATGGTATACCAGGCAATGGCTGAGTACTGGACCGTTGCTAATGAAGAAGATTACAGCATGAATATTGACCTTAGGCTTCCAGGAAGGACGGGTGTTTTGAAAGTCTTCCTCGACAATAAAAACCACTTTTACACTAAACGAGATGAGGTGAAACTCCACACACAATGTGATTAAGTACAGCTGCATTAATGGCCACTAGGGAGCAGAAGAATACCAAAACAAGCTGGTAGAAGCACAACACAAGGAGCTCAAATTATATTATAATTACACCCTACAACAAAGGGTTTTATTTTCGATGCGCCAGGGAAGTGGCATGTTCCTAAGGCACAGCAAGTTTATCCCTTACCTCGTGTAGTTTGATATTTTTGTGACTTGCAGCAAAGCAGTGGGAGGTGTGGCTCAGTAGAGGGTGCATTTGTCAGTCCAACGGTACACTACAATCTCAGTACATGAATTGTCCTGGTTTGATGCTGTTAGCTGCTAACCTATTTGATTCATTATGGTACAGATTTTCTTATGCAGATCTACTGCCATGTTGGAGACTTACACATTGAAAACAGTTCACACAGTTCCATGAAAGATCCATGAACTTTTCTCTTCAGTAATGACCCCATCAGCAGCATCAGTTCCTATACAATGCTCTCCTGATGTTCCCATCCAAAACACTGGGTCACCATAAGACCCAGCTATGCAGGAAATGCCTTAGATTTAAAACAAGAGCTCCGTAAAGCTGCAAAAGTTGGGGCTTAATTTTCTCTTACACATTACACTTAGTAAAATTCTAATACAGCCTTTAAGCCACAATTCCTCATAATTTCTCTGAATGTTAGATTCTCCTTAATTATCTAATTAAGCAATATCACCTGAGAAGGAGTGATATTGTACTGAATATCAGCACGACTGTGATTTGGTCATAGGTACGAGACCACAGCTTCAATCACATCCGTGAACATCAAGACCTCTAGTGTGATATTGCATTTATACAACAGTTCTCCAAAAGTCATATAAGTAAACAGTAGCTAATAAGCAACAACAGATTATGATTTGTTTGTTGATGTCATAATTTATCTGGCTATGCCAACACAAATATTTCTGCAACTGGACTGGTACTGGACTGTTGCTAAGCAACACATAAACATTTTCCTAACCTGATGATGTCATATGTCATATCATATCAGCGCACCTGAAGTTGTGCTGAAGTATCCAGGCTTCTTCCTTTCATCCTCTTCTGACAACCATACGTATTATTTAATTTAATTTAATTTAATTTAATGTTAATGTAACGCTGATTAATGGGTAATAGAACACCTGTGAAGCGGAGTGATACATATAGTTAAAAGTCCCAGTGCTGTTGTACTCAGCACTCATGGAATGACTCTCGTCCAATCAAATTACGTGGTCGGAACTAACTGTTTCATAATGAAACTTTCCTCTCTCTGATTCTCTATGTTTTCTCTCTATGCACATGTGAATATGTGCATCTCTTTAAACCCTACAGTTTAAAGCCAAGAACCAGGATGTGAATGTGACTGCTGAAGGAACAGGAGAAGCAACGGTGAAAGTGAGTATAACACTGTGGTGTTCTGAGATTATCATTTGTTGTTGTGCACCTAAATAAAAGTTATATTGTTTTTTTTGTTTTTTGTTTTATAGTTTTGAGGTAATGTAATCATCATTCTCTCTAATTGTAAGCATCAATTACTGATTGGTGTCAAAAAATGATGAAAATTCACAATTACACATAGTAACTACACATAATACTACAAAGCTACACATTAAATGACACACACCCACAGGTTTGTTCAAATCTGAAAAATTGTCTGACTGCCCCATTAGATCTCTTTATAGCAATGAATCACACTTGTAGAACTTAGCCATTATGAGTAATGATGTTATTACCAACAGAGATAATAGCCAAACCTATGAAATTAAGATCCAAGTTGTAAGAAACTGAATTTAGGACCCTTGTCAATGTGACAGATGGTGTCGGTGTATTATGCCCTACTTAAAGAAAATGAAAGCAACTGCAACAAGTTCAACCTCTCTGTGAAACTCGTACAAGGTAATTTGGTTCCCTCTTTCTCTCTCTCTTACTCAAAAAATTGGGGCACTGTTGCAGTTTAAAGCTTTGCGTTTTAAGCTTTTCTACCATCATGTTTATTGTTGTTTGGCCTTACTGTCTGGCTTTCTGTTGTTATATTGTTGTTATATTGCCTCCTGAACCTCTTGCCTGTTATTGCTTTTGTTTTGTTGTCAAGGCACTAGTTATTATTATTATTATTATTATTATTATTATTGCTCCACAATTACAATGGATGACGCAAGGGCTAAGAACCACTCAACACAAAACAACCAAACTTATAACCCTGCTTACTCACCAACAAACTGCCAAATGTAATCAAATTGAAAATAATCAAAAACATAATCAAATTAACAAGTTCTTATCATCTCGCTTTCATATTTTAGATATTATAAAATAGATGTTAGGCTAATATGGTAAATAAACGGCTGTTAATGCTAAGGTTGGCTATGTATCAATAGGAAAACTTACAAATATTGTAAGTAACGTAATTGTAACATATTGGAGTGGATGATGCCGTCCTTTACATGCTCCACCGGGACCATTCTTACTTGGATGAGCCAGGTGGTTACATGAGGATTATGTTCTTTGATTTCTCAAGTGCATTTAACACCATCCAACCCCCCATTCTTGAAGACAAGCTGGAAGGGATGGGGGTGGATCCCTGCTTCACATCCTGAATTGTGGATTACCTGACAAGACGACCACAGTACGTCAGGCAGGGTAACTGTGTCTCAGGGACAGTGATGAGCAGCACTGGGGCTCCACAGGGAACTGTTCTGGCTCCGTTCCTGTTCACCCTGTGTACGGCCGACTTTAAATACAACTCTGAGTCCTGCCACATCCAGAAATACTCGGATGACACAGCTATTGTGGCGCGTATCAGGAACAGGCAGGAAGAGGAGTACAGGGATCTGGCAATGGCCTTCAGTGAATGGAGCAACAAGAACTGCCTCCTTCTGAGCACCTCCAAGACCAAGGAGATGGTCATGGACTTTCGGAGGTCTAGGCCCACCCTTCAGCCAGTCAACATTCGAGGGAAGGACATTGAGGTGGTGCACACTTATAAATACCTAGGTGTGCACCTGGACAGTAAACTGGACTGGTCTGGAAGGGGCAGAGCCGGCTCTTTTTCCTCAGGAGGCTGAGGTCCTTTGACGTCTGCAGTGAAATGCTGCACATTTTCTATCAGTCCGTGGTGGCCAGTGTACTCTTTTATGCTGCAGCCTGCTGGGGCAGCAGCATGTCCGACATGAACACAAGCAGACTGGACAAGCTGGTAAAAAAAGGCTGGGTCTGTGCTTGGCAGGAGTCTGGACTCACTCAGGATGGAGGCCATCTTGGACAATACCAACCGTCCTCTCCACAACATTCTGGCAGGACAGAGAAGCAGCTATCTATCTATCTATCTATCTATCTATCTATCTAAATAGCTCTGAAGCTGAGTCAAGGGCAGATTGACAAGTACACTTGTCTGCAGCTATATGGCTAGTCGTCCATTGAAGAACTTAGTATATTCCACAATGCACATACGTGTGTAGACGTCCAAAAAATGCCAATGGGACATGGCCACCTGCACAAAAATGACAGAAATGATAGATGCAATTGCTAGTAGTCAACCTAGTTTCAGAGACAAGCCTTCTGCAGCCAGAAGAGGGCAGTAAATTACAAGACCAATGCAAGCAAGCAATGTCAGATCCATTAACCATCGCACTGATTGCCTTGCTTTTCCTGACTAGACGCCACTGTTGAGGTCTGATCACACTACGGGGCAGGATACAAGATAACCAGAAGATAACTGTATAAGGAGAACTGTGCCAATTTATTATTTAAGTATTTTTGCAGGTCTTGGTAAAAACTACTCCACATGTGGAAAAAGTACTATAAAGCCTTTTGTGGCTCCAGAGGGAGCATGAAGGATGAAGTCGGTTGTGGGCTACCAGCCAGCTTCTCTGTTCTTTGCACTTGTGTGCTGGGGAGGTGGCATCAAGGCTGCAAAATCTAATGAGAGAGGGGAGGATGGTGACAGGGCCGTTTCAAGCTTTTTGGGGGCCCTATGCAAAGTGTTTGGATAAAAGTATGTAAAGATATGAGTAAAAGTAAAAGTAAAGATAGAGGTTCAAATTAACTACAAACTAATAACAAACAAACATTAAAGAATGTAGTTTCCAGCCTCTTCATAGCATCACTGAAAGATTCAACAGTGGCTTCATAAATAAAATGTCTCTTGTGTGTGCTTCTAAGGCTCTTCTCCTTCAGCACAGCCTCCACATTCATGGCCTCACAATTGTCTTTAGCAGAGGCGTGAGCTGCAGCAAAGCCAGTGTCTCCCTTAGCTTATGAGTGGGGTCTTTGCCTTCATGAGCAGGTCATCTGCCACATCAAGCTGCATTGTGGCAGACTACACAGGGCTTCCTTACATGGTATACTTGGTGAGAGATATCATCCTATACCACTGTGCAAGTTTGGAAGCGAAACGACCCAGCCTCCTTTGCCAAGGCTTGTACTTCAGTCTTGTTCAGACCATCTGTGGCCTTATCCCTGACCTCCAGCAGTGTATCTCTTATGTTGGGGTCTGGTACCACTAGAGACGTTATAAGAGAGGAGACAAACCAATTTTAAAATCCTGAATAGAATAGCCTGTAATGCCAAAGACGGCAGTTTTATGACATGTGTCACGCCCCTAAATGAGCCAATCGTTTGCCTTATAACAGCCAAACAGTTAACACATCAAGCCACTAGTGTTGTTGCACTGATGAGAGTGAAACCTTGCGCGTGCGCAGTTGAAGTTTAACCTGTGGGAAAAAAAGTGTTTGGTCTGTTTGTCTTCTTTGCTGTATTTTGGGGCAAAGTCACCAAACTTTTTTTTTTGACAGGTGATTCTGTACATGCAGCTTTTATTTTCTGGTGACCATTAAAAGTGCAGTTATGGCTCTCACCCCATTCATTTTAGATAGCAGCCTAGTCTTGTTAGCCCAAAATTACTGCCATGGGGCATTGCCAAAATGGCTGCTAAGCAGCGTTTCATCCATTTTTTCACAGACCTGATCATGACTGACATATGCTCGTAGTCGCTTAAGTCAGGGTACTACCCAAAATTATTGCATAGTACTGTTTAATTTAAGTTCCTGTTGCATCCAACGTTTTACCACTGATTGAGGCATTCAGCTCTTGATAGCTGGAATCACTGCACTGCCTGTTTTGAACACAGGCAATGTGCTGCTTCATCACAGGATCAAATTTGGTGAGCAGCGCCACCTCTTTCAAAAAGTTTCCTTTGTTTTCTTGTCTTTTATTGTATTACTGGTCTCTCTCAGCCAAAGACGGGATGAGACCAAGGACACCAAGCCTGGTCTATGGTCTTCTTTATATTTAGGTTCAGTTCTAATTTCTTCCATGTTGCCATGTTGTGCTTGGGGTTTAGCCCTTTTCACAAGTATTCCTAAATAAATGTAGTGTAGTCGATAATTCACTAATGTTTGATGGAAGTTTCTACTATATTTTCTTTTGAGGAAGGTCAAATCTGAATCTGCATCTGTCAGAACAGATGACCAATCAGCTGGATCGATTATTTCACATGAGTAGGGTGATGAAGTGGATCTGCAGACCAAGATGATGGGCCTGGTGTTTCCTCACAGGCTGGCCAGTCCTATTATCTGGAATGTCCTTCAGTGACTGACTGACTGACCATATGTCCACCACTGATCAGCTGAATGCCACGTCACTGAGTTGGAGTTTCTGGCTCATCAGGATTAGCAATAAAAGCCCTGTTAAGACATAAAGGGTCACTACCCACTGAAACGCTAGAGGGCTTTAAATAAACAGTTACAGGAGGTGTTGAGATTGTATTAACCTGAATGCAGGAACTTTAACATGGCAAAATAAAGCTGAACGCTTTAAACTGCAACAATGCTTCTGTCTTTTTTTTTTTTTTCGGAATAACTCTACTCTTCATTTCTCTTCCCGTTTGTCTGTTTCTCTTTATTTGCTGTTTGTCATTTTCTGTCTGTCATGTTTGTATTTATTTAGTTTGTTTGGTCTTTTGCTTGTCGTCATGTGTTTTCTTTTGTGGTTGTTATCTCTAATTTTTATTATCTCAATACTCATCTCATGTTTTCTCTAATGTTTTGCCCTTCCATAGGGGAGAATGAGAACATATACACACTGAAAATAAAGGTTATGTAAGTACAATGAAGAAGTTATACTGACAGGTGTAACAGTAACATGGCTTTATACAGAACGTTTTCAAACCAGCTGTCAACCCTCCATTTTTCCTCACTGTTTCCTTTTCATTCTTGCATTTCTTTCATGTAATGTAATGCATTTCTATTTTCTATATTTTTTTCTATAATTTTCCCAATAATGATACACTTTTCTAAAGTTTTCTGTTATTTTCTTTTCTTTCTCCTCTCCTCTGAAATCTTTATAAAGATTATTTATTTGATATTTGTAAAAGGGTTTTGCTTTCCACTTGCCTGTCTCTATTTTTTCAGTTATTGCAATTATTCTATCCATTCTTTGTACAGGTATTTGGACGCGCAGAGTAATTCAACTATGGCAATTGTGAATATTGGCATGCTGACTGGCTTCACTGCTGACATAAATGACCTAAAAATAGTAAGACTTGCACTCATATGTAGGGTTCAACGGTCAGTGATTATAGTTGGTGGAAACAGGATGTGTTTTAAAGTTTAGAAGATTGTCTTACATGTGTTTGTTTGTCTGTGTGTAGTTGTCCAAAGGACCTGCCCGAGTCATTGAAAAGTATGAGGTGGTAAATAACAGGACAGACGGAGCCTCAATCATCATCTACTTGGAGAGGGTAAGCCACTAGTTTTTCCTGCTTAGAAATAATTATTCATTTTATTGACCATTTCTAAATCAATTAATTCATTTGTAAAGTCTTCGATTAATTCCCATTTTGTCCAATTATATATAAGTGTGTTAATCAACTCTACATATAGCTGGAATAACCTAATATTACCATATTATGCATCAAACCAAAGGCAGCCAATCGTGTTGTGCAAACATGAAGAAAAAGTTAATTTGGCAGACAAAAGCTGACCTTGCACTTTTCCATTTGGATGTAAAGACTATGCTGTTGTCAACAAACCTGGACAAAATGGCAACACAATTGACTCAGAATTGATTAAAGATTGTGATTGTATTAAAAGAATAATATAGTACTCAGAATGAAGCTTTTAAAAATGTATTTGAAATTAATACAGATTTATTAATTCACAAAATTTACTTACTGTTACTCTGTTTCAAAGTTTTGAAATGGTATTACATTTGGTGAAAGGCACATAACAACTTGTTAAGGGCTGAGAAGACAAAATTTAGACTTTAGACATTCATTAATCTGGAGTTAAAACATGATACCAAAATCCACTGAAGTGTATAATTTTGTGCAAAATTAATATTCTGTTCGACATTGCGTCATCATCATTGCTTGCCAATTTACTGAGTGGTTTATTTTGATTTTATGATTTTACAGGCATATTTAACCATGACCACTTGTAAATTGCCCTTATGAATCTTCTCTTTGTCTTTTTGCAGGTCAGGTTAATGCAGTACAAATATCTAATTAATTTCATGGGAACAAAACAACTGAGATCATGCTTTTTCTTTCTCTTTTTCTCACATGCTGTACCTTTGTTGCTCTATCTCTCCACAGATTTCTAATAAACAAGAAGAAGAGATCTCTTTTAAGCTCCATCAGGAGGTGACTGGGTACCTCTTACAACCAGCTGCTGTGACTGTCTATGAATATTATGACCATCAAAACAAAAACGGTGAGTTTCATCCAGAAACACAGGCTGTCTCTGTGTTTGAAACATCCACATATACCCTATTGACAAGAAAGGCAATTTGTCAGTATCCTAACAAGAGGTTAATGTCAAGTGACGTCGTTTAAGCTTATGAACAAACGATCAATGCTCTTTAATGGTGAGGACAGTCTCCATATGTTCACACCTGTACTGCACTAAGATTAAAACTCCATCAACACTTGTTTTAAACACAAGAACTTTATTAGACTGACGTGTTTCGGCTTGTGGCCTTCATCAGAGCCATCGGTTTTAAGATTCATTCATTGTTGCAAAAAACTTCTGCGTTTTCTGATGTACTGTGGTGCTTCAAATAATCAACACAAAATATCTTAAAAAATATTTGAATTCCTTGTTGCAGAGACACATTGTGTGAGATTTTACCACCCAAAGAGGAAAAGTGGAGAGCTACTGAGGCTGTGTAGAAATAATGAATGCTCATGTGCTGAAGGTAAGTAACATGATGTCTAATGGGAGCTGTTTAGCATAAATAGGTTACATCTGAAGTTCTTGAAGAAACACTTAAAGCAACATCATGCAACATTTTTACTATATATTTTCTTTATTTACAAAATAACGAACAAGCTGCACGCATGAATTTACACACCTCGTGCATATTTGAGACCAGGTCGACACTGTTTACTCTCTAGAGTGAGAGGATTGGGATGTGATGTTAACAATTTCAAAACAGTACCATTGTTCAACAACAGAGTGAAAACTAGATTTGAGAGGATGACATGACACTATCATGAGGACCTGAAAAATTAATTAGGGGCTCCTTTTCTATCCATGTGGATGAAACCAAAGCTACTGCAGAGGAGGTGATGCTGATTGTAAATGTTCATTACAGTACGGAACCTGAGCTGAGACTAGATATTACTATATTTTCAAAACTGACAACAACCACACAATGAGAAGACATTTTAAGTTGAAACGTACTTCCCGAAGAAGAACCTTAACTATTAGTTTACTGTGTATGCAACGCTGCACAGGCAGAGTTGCTTCAGTGATGGGGGAACAATGAGGGCCTCAATAACTGCTTGTAGAAGGGCACCCCACTGACATGTGTTGTACTGCATGATACACCAACAAGCTCTGCACGTGCTCACTTGATTTAATCCGTTGTACAATTACTTTGTGCTCAATGTGTATTTCTAGAGGAATGCACGAAGCAAAAAAAGGACAAAATCAGCAATGATGACCGCTACATTCAATCTTGTCTGAGTACCGAGGAGAGTAAAACAGATTATGGTAAGAGTTTTGAGTGAGTGAGTGAGTGAGTGAGTGAGTGAGTGAGTGAGAGAGAGAGTGAGTGAGTGAGTGAGTGAGTGAGTGAGTGAGTGAGTGAGTGAGTGAGTGAGTGAGAGAGAGAGTGAGTGAGTGCTAACTAACAAACAATCTGCAACTTGTCTGTCCTCAGTGTACAAAGTAAGAGTGGTGAAGTTTACGACTGAATTGTCCACTGACATTTTCAAAATGGAAATTTTGAAAGTCATCAAGGAAGGTGGGTATTTATCTCCTTTTAAACTTTTTAAAATTTCTTACCCCATGTTTTCCATAAAGTGCTTCAAAGGTGTATTGTACGAAGGCATTTATGCATGAGCTAACTGGGAATATTTAAATGTATCTTGTCTCTCTTTTTTAAGATTTTAATTTTAAGGATTTATGATGTGTGTCAGCTGATGTCAAGACACATGTTTGTTGGCATTTATCTCCTCTGGAAATTGAACAACTTCAACTGTCTAATTTCCCCAATGGTGTTTCTAGCCAGGCAGAAAAAATCTCATCCATTAACTTAATTGGAAATGTCTTGCAGTGATGAATACAAGAAAACAACAGTGCAATTACAATATGTATTTTATTACATTTAATGAGTTTCTCTCTTTTATCTTGGATGTTATTGACAGGTACTGACATTGGTGCTGTCGGTAAATTTCGTGAATTCATCAGTTATGAACACTGCAGAGAAGCTTTAAATCTGCTCATTGGCAAAACCTACCTTATCATGGGCATGGACAGAGATGTTAGGCTTTTCAAGAATACTCAATCGTGAGTTACACACACACACACACACACACACGCACACACACACAGGCAAGTGTGTGTGAGAGAAAGAGAGAGGGAGAGAGAATGTGTATGCATATTTGTGAGTGTATGCACCCCTTCCTGATATTGTCTACATTTGATGTCAGGCAAGTCAGTATACAGTGCCTTGTAAGCAATGTTTATGTGATATGGTTTGCACTTTTTTGTGATAAATGAACACAACTTTTTACAAGCTATGATTATGCCTCTGCGCCAGCGACAGCCAGGGCAACAGGCATCATGTTTTCAGATTGTCTTTCCGTCTGTCCATATGTCCTGTTCTTTTTAACGCGATATCTCAGTAACACTTTCTTCAAATTTGGCACAAAAATTCACTTGGACTCAAGATGAAACTGTTTTGATTTTGGCAGTCAAAGTTCAAGGTCACAGTGACTTGACAAAAAACACATTTTTGGCTCAAATTCAAACGCTAATTATGACACAATTTAAAACAAATGACAAAGTGATGACATTTTACATGGAAATAGTCAAAGGTCAACTTCACTGTGACATCCTAATGTTCTGCAAAAGCATCTCTGGCCATTATTCGGCTGATTGGTTGAGGCATACAACTATGAGGCAGTAATTCTAGTTTTTCTGTTATTATTTGTTTTAGTTTTTTAATTCATTTCAACATGTTTTCGATTGTTTTTCTTTGACAGATAACCTTAACATTCATATTCCCAACAGACAAATACATGGTTATATAAAAACCCAATTTGTGTTTCATTTTGTTCTCCTCAGTCATCAGTATGTGCTTGGTGAAAGAACCTGGATTGAGTACTGGCCCACGGCTGAAGAGTGTCAGAATAAGAAATATCAATCCACCTGTACGGGCATGGAAGATTTGGAGCACAAGTACTCATTCATTGCATGTATTGCGAAATGAAACTCAAGGAAATAAAATTACCTTTTAAAATTCTGGAAATTAGTGTTTTTAATTGCTTAATTTTTCCATTACTCTCAAACTTGGAGTGATTTAAGAAACAAATATATGTACAATGTGTCATTGATAATGTTGATGAAAACCCAATGGTCTTTTATCTCACGGTCTGTGTCTCATATAAAATCACTACAACATGCTAGAAGTGTGGCTCCACAGAAGGCGATGTCACATGGTTGGCCCAACATTTTGGTCTCAATATGATTGGTACGGATGACTTTAATGGTTCCCAGAGGATTATGATAAGGACTTTATATCTTGATTCCCTCACTTTTCCACTTCCGTCACAGTGAGGTTCATATTTGTGGCTTTAGTGAAATGTCTTAGAGGGAACAAACGATCTCCTGAACCTCTCTGTTCGAGAGGCGTTTACTGCAGCTGTAGCTGCTTCTCTGTCTTTCTCTCTCTCTTCTGCCATCCGGCTATACAGCAACTCAGCCAAAGGAAGTGGACTGATTTAATTATTATACTTTATTTATTATTATCTGTTATTATTATTACCACTGAGCTACGATGATCCAGCAAACTGTTGGATCATCTGGCAGCAAACACATAAGTGAAAGAAAATGACTGTGATTTTGGTTAAATTTACTTGTAAAATGTTCACTCAGAGAGAAAACTAGAGGCAACAGAATACCTTTCTCAATTTTTGCTCTCACACAGTGCACTTTCTGCACAGCTAATTCATATTCATGTTAGCTGCCACACGGATTGATTGAGCTGCTCCTTCACCTCTGTTCCTCTCACTGAACAGAGTAGACACAGAGACAAGTGAGCCTCTCACTCATAGCAACGTACTAGTGACTCTCTGGAAAGTAGCCTAGGTTTCACTTGAGTTGTCCCTAGCCGCTTTTTTTTTTTTTTTAAAAAGTCACTAAATGGGTCTGAAAAGTTACTAAATCTAGTGACAAAGTTGCTAAATTGGCATACAATTGGCCTTACTAGGGCAGCAGCTACATAGTCAAAGCTGTCAAGCAGCTCACTCTTTTTTCAGAGCTCCGACTTCAGGCAGTTGATATCATCCCATAACTGTGAATAAGTTAAGCAAGTTTGCAGTCCACACACACAGCTACAATAATAGATGTTCCAAGTGTAACTCATAAAACAACACAGAAAGTAATCCAATAAAGGTTGGAAAGTAGAAAGATATTGCTGAAAAAAGCTATAAGGATGGAGAAGCCAGACAAAACACTAAGAGTCCTCAAAAGTTCAAATAAAAACATACAGAATTTCAGGTAAACACTTGTTGAAACTAAATGCTGCAACGTTGGATGGTGAGTCCAGGCTGGGGGTATAAAGATCATGACTGGGTCCGGGTGGTTAATTAATTAAGTAGTTAATTAACAATACTTCTATCTACCTCTATACATCTGGGTGAAAAAAACAATAACAATTCTGCTGCACAATAAAAAGGTAGTACTGTATTTCTTAATCTAGTCCAATCCTTGGTCTTTTTGTACAACACAAGAAAAATGTGAACATAAAATATCATAACACCATCATTTCGACCCGTTGTTTAACAAACGAACGCTTGGGGGCAGCAGCATGATGCGATGAAGCGGGTAGTCTGCCAGAAATAAATACGGCGAAGAAGTCGGTGACGCATTTCCGCTTATAGCCCAGCCGCCTCGCAGTGATGTCGATGATTTTGGAGGAGAAAAGAACCAAACTTTAACTGACACACTTAAAGACAGGCAACTTAAAAGCGTGTTGAACAATCCGGGAACACAGAGACAATACTTTGTTCACGTAATAGAAAAGCTAATTATTTTCCTAGGTCGAGGTGCCTCAGAAGATAACGTTACCGCTATGGCCAAGGTACAAGTATTAAATGTTGCTGTACTGGACAACCCGAGCCCATTTGGAAATCCGTTTCAGTTTGAAATAACGTTTGAATGCATGGAGGATTTGCCTGAAGGTGGGTATCGTCTACAACTGCGTATACCAGTTAACTTACTATATGTGAGCTGATGTTAGCTGTTGAATACGAGCTACCATTGGGCATTCTGCTTTTGTGGTAACTTAAATTCTGTGGGTAGATAGGGTTCAGCGTGAGTAATTGGTAAACACGTTGTTTTGTTCGATGACACAGATATTTGCTGTAGTTTGGGCGAGTTAGTGACATTTCATTTGACAAGTTGTTGAAAATTGGCGCTGGCGCGTTTGTGCCCAGCGCCCCGCCTCCTGCATGCAGTGATTGGTTCAGAGACGTTCCTCGGAGTTATTTCCGGGAGGCTGATTGGTTTATCACCTTATGTTACTGTAGCAACAGACAAGCTGAATAAGTTGCCGCGTATCGCGCGGTGAGACAACATGGACGCAGTAGCAGTGAATGGAAAAAGATATCAAGAGTACAGCATTAAACATACGAACAGGCACGAATATAGTAAATACTTAATCAGAATAAGGAAATGTATAAACAAATGTACAGTTTTACAACCAGTAGTCAACCAAATGAAAGAAAAGAATAAGAAATCAAAATAAATTGCCTTGGGCTAAATTTATGTTAAACAAAAATATAATGCAAGCAAACGTTATATGTCGTAATTGCTTTTGTATTTGTACTATAATGATGGATGTATATTTTCTCATTTCTATGATGAAAGTAGAAAAAAATGGTTAATTATTAAAAAAGTTACTTTTATGGATCTGACATTTTGCAAAATAGTACATAGTCCCATTTAAGGGAAAGATTATTACAAGCTTAGGACATAATAATATTTAGTTCCTTCCAAAGATTTCTGGAAAATGTGCAGTCCCAAAATAGATATGTGAAAGTGTCTGAGTTAGAGTTTTGCAAAAAATACAACTGGGGTTCATTGTTTTTACAAATCTTGTCAGGCACTGACTCATAGGAAAATGTCTGTGAAATAATTGAAAGGGAACCTCTTTTACTTTATTAATCAGGAATCTATATGTCAGCATCCAAACCCCTTTCCAACAAATTTTAGAAAAAAATTTTCTCCAATGAAAAATGAAACATGGTGTAGAGCCCACATGTTGTTGGAATAAAGCACAAATTTCTATTGCTATTTTTATTTTACTAATGAGATACAGCAAAACAGGTTTTGCCAACTGGAGTGTCAGCTACATTCAACAATGAATACTACACAGAGGAATAATTTTTAACGAGCAAATTTAATATTAAACTCTTCATATTTCAGTAGACCTCCTTGTCAGCTATCCTTGTTGAAGAACTGACCCACCAAGAGTATTTTATTATCATACCAGTTTTAGAAAAACAAAGATTTATATAGGCATATATTTATTGTTCCAAGTGAAAAAAATTTTGGGGGAAAAAATGCTCATGAGAGAAGTAACTGTTTATCGAATGCTGAAAGTTTCACTGTGATTTTTTTCAACATTATAATTACAAACGAGAACAAAATTTAGACCACTAAGTTTTGAAAATATGTCACACTGTCTTTGACAAGAACGCCACAAATAGATACCATTGAACAATCTTTGACAGTTAGAAGTTCACATTTATTGACATTATGATAAATCCCTGAATCTTTGGAGAAGGATTGAATTAAATCAAGAGCATAAGATCCCTGACTAGTGTCTCCCAGAAAAATAATAGTGTCATCTGCTCAGTTGTCTAATTATAACTTCTTTTCCTGCAGCAGAAATTCCTTTTACATTATTCTTAGTGATGTGATCAGCAAGGATCTCAGTAGCTAATAGAAACAAATAAGGAGAGTTTGCACAGCCTTTTCTAATTCCTCTTTTGAGGTCAAATCTGGGAGAAGTGCCATTTCTGAGTTTAATTGCACAATTAGCTATGTAATGTTGGCACTACAAAACTGTGCCAAAATCAAATTGGTTAAGGCAGCTAAAGATAAACTTATGGTTTATGGAATCAAAGGCTTTGTAAAAGTATAGAAAAAGTATAAATAGATAATAGATGCTAGTAATCCATGATATCTAAGACTAAACGTATATTAATTGAGAAATGTCTATTTGCATGTCTCCAAAACGGTTTTAATTCTCTTGGCAAATACTGAAGCAAGGATTTTATAACCATTGTTAAAGCATATTGAATGCCAATTTTCAATGAGAATTAAGTCCTTTTTGGGCTTAGGTATGAGAGTAAGTATGCTTTGATTCAAACTAGGAGGGAGCGTGCCTTGATTAATACTTTCTGTGAAGACTTTAAGTTAAAATGCGGAAATTAAGTTGGAAAACATCGATAGAATTCCCCAGTTAGTTCCCTCAAATTTGAAATAATTCCCAATTTTTTCCACAACAATTTTCATTATTGGCTTTGTTGGATAGCAATAAATTAATGGTAATTGTGTGCTTTGTAGTGCCGATTCTTATTTAACCCTTGATTAGTATTATTTTCTAAAGAAGATGATAGTTGGGAATTTTCATATTTTTAGTTGTAACTATAAATGTTAATTATGATAAGAATCACATTAAAACAAGAAATAATCATAAAAATAAAACACAGTAGCAGTGTAGTATGATGGATCTTCTTCTGTAGATCTCTCTGTGTCATGTTTTTTTTTTTTGTTTGTTTTTGAATGGTTGGGTTACTGCCAGATGTCTGAGAGTAAAATCAAGCATCGGAAATACACCGAAGCTGCTGTTCTTGTCAATACTGTAAAAAATACTTGAAAAGATCTGTCTCCATGTTGTGCTGTTCATTTATGTGTAAAAAGGGGCACTGTGCTTAGGTATCTCCAAGCATCTAGAGATTGTGTGTGTGTGTGTGTGTGTGTGTGTGTGTGTCTGTGTGTGTGTGTGTGTCTGTGTGTGTGTGTGTGTCTGTGTGTGTGTGTGTGTCTGTGTGTGTGTGTGTGTCTGTGTGTGTGTGTGTGTCTGTGTGTGTGTGTGTGTCTGTGTGTGTGTGTGTGTCTGTGTGTGTGTGTGTGTCTGTGTGTGTGTGTGTGTCTGTGTGTGTGTGTGTGTGAGAGAGAGAGAGAGAATGAGAGATATTCCTTACAAAACTGAGCAATATCATTTTAAGAGTTTGCCACTCCTCACTGATGTCCTGTATGTGTGCTGTCAGACCTAGAGTGGAAGATCATCTATGTCGGTTCGGCCGAGAGCGAGGAATACGACCAGGTCCTAGACTCGGTTCTAGTTGGCCCGGTACCTGCTGGCAGGCACATGTTTGTGTTTCAGGTGAGTAGGTTGTAGTCACATGTTACCTCTCATCCTGTTTCTAAGTAGATTTCTGTTTTAAAAAAAGACATGTGCACAAATGTATTTGATATCCTGGGTTTGGTTATTTAGTGTGCTCGGGGCTGCATTAATGGCATGTTTACTGTTGTTTGCTTAGATGAGATTTCTTCCAATTTGTGTTCCTAACTGTGCTCTCAGGCAGATGCTCCCAACACAGGGCTGATTCCAGAGAGTGATGCGGTAGGAGTGACAGTGGTCCTCATAACTTGCACCTACCGTGGACAGGAGTTCATTCGCATAGGTTACTATGTCAACAATGAATACACAGACCCTGAACTACGGGAAAACCCACCTCTCAAACCAGACTATGCTCAGGTAAAACAAAAACAGACACACACACTCAATAGATGACATTCAGTTCTATCATGGATAGTGTAGTGTACGGAAACTGTTCACAATAATCTGTATATACTAGACTGGATCACAAAACAGATCTCAGTGTTTCATTGTTGTATAATTTAAAAAAAATCAGCAATGTCTGAGCTGCAGAAAGTATAAACATATGGTACAATACATCGGCCATGCTCGTGAAAAGGATCTATTAAAATATATACTGTTTTCTGCTGCCCTCTGGTGGTGTGTACGGAAGTTGCAGGCAAGAGTAGGTTCAAGAAAAGAGTACAACATGACCTGTTTGGATTAAAAAATGTTCTTTTCTTTACCTGCTGTAACAGTGTGTTTACTGTGTGTCTGTATGTGTGTGGGTCAGCTGTGAAACTTTACAGTTGTGTAGTTGAGATTAAAATGAAGACAGAGTTCGAAGTTGGGTGTGGTGTGACCCATGAGTACTGACTATTCATGTAATAAATTAGTAATGGTTAGTACTCATGTAATAATGTAGTAATGACTACTGAGTACTCATTGCAAGGTGGTTTTGTAGTTGTTTTCTCATTACTCTAAGTGAAGTAGCAATTCAGGTGTTTTTAGATCCATTTTTATCATTTTAGTACTGTGTCAGCAAACTCCAAGTGATTTATGAATCTATAGTAATGATGTTTCCTAGTAACATTAGAATTAGATTTCATCTTTCCTGTCTCACCCTATTTACACAATCTTGATTTAGCAGCAATACATGGCTGGTTGTGTTTTCGGTCTCACCCTCCAGAAAGTCAGGATCAAATTCTCCAGCAAAAAACAGACCTGAGTTTGTCTCATGATGACCCATGTAATAAACTGTAAAAAGAAACACCCTCTCCACTTTGTAAGCTACTCCACTTGCCTCGACCAGACAATATATTTTCTTGTAGAAGTCTTTTTTTTTTTAATTTTTAATCAGTTGGTTTGGAAATTACACATTGTTAACAGAGTCTGCATTACAAGGGGGTGTAGAGTTTGAAAAATGCAAGTGTACATCAGGCAGGAAGGTTCTGATAAAACTGTTGTATTAAGGGAAATATAAGATTTTTTTTTTTTTTTTTTAACAGAATTTTGATATTTCACCCATTGCTTTTATCCCATCAGCTCCAGAGGAATATTTTAGCTTCCAACCCCCGTGTCACCCGCTTCCATATCAACTGGGAGGGCTTGGCGGATAAAATGGAGGACAGCGAGAATGTTGACCCGTCCCCCAACATAAGCGGCATGCTCCCTCCATCCTGTATACCAGGAAAGATGCCATCTCTTGGACTGATGCCAGACAACTCCATGGACTGCATGTAAGAATAATCAGATTAACATAATGGACATGAAACCCTTCTTCTCTGTACACTCACCCACATCGCAAACACACACTTGGACAAGGAGGCCATGGATGTCTCTGTGTAACGTGGACATTAACAAGAAGCACGGACATGGCAGCAAGGACACTCTTTTTATATGACATACACAAATGGGATGGATCTGGAATATTTGAAGTGTTTTTCTTTCTTCTGCTCACTCTCTTTCAACACACAGATCAACACAACCAGCATTGCCTTATTTTACCGTATCGCTGTCTTAGATTATAATGAAGTTGAGCCAAGAGAGAAATTTTGAGTCATCAGGGTGAGGCTATCTTAAGACAAGACTGCCATGTCCTCAGCCCTGAGACTTGCAAGTCATACTCATACACCAATGTTGATTTATTCGGTACCCTTACTGTGCTGTTCATTTTGTCCTCTTGAGCACAGATCCAAGCAATGGGCAGTACTCTGTATATCAGAATAGGTGTAGCACTAGCTGCTTATAGTAAAGCAGTGCATTGTTCTGAAGGTTCGTGTCATCTGATGTAAATTAGCAGCATCTGGAGTAAACAAATCTTGGGTTTAGAATATGGGCAATCTTCAGGGGCATGTTGCAAGAGGCAGCTTTACTTGCAGTTAGCTGGATAGCTTTTGCAGTGTACAATGTTGTACTTGCAGGTTTTACCCTTGTGTTGTCCAGATAAGTAAGTAAACCTGCTGCTTTGAACAGGCCCCAGTTCAGAACAAGTTTTCTAAAATGTTACATAAGATGTCTGTCTGTAATTAAGCACAAAACATGGATGTTAAGGAGATGCTATATGGATGCTATATTGCAGTCAAGTTGGTTTGATAATTTAGGCTTACTGTTAATAATGTTTACCAAGTGCTTATTTTGTCTTCAGGATAAAAAGACCTATTTTCTTTTTGTACTTACTATATATTCTCTGCCTCAGTATCTGTTACAACAGTGATGGGTTAATAAAGTTTGTTTTGTGGACCTGCTGCTTTCCTTACACGGCTGCTTTCCATCTTGACTAGTGAGAAAAGAAGCACAGCAACACCAACAAGACTCAGCGTGTCTGTGTGTGTCTGTGTGCGTGTATGCGTGCATCGACCCACTCTTTCCCCTCCCCTCTCTGCCTCCTTTCTTTTTTCCAATTTCATTCATAAAATGCAGCAGCATCACACCACCATTTTCACTCTAGCCTCATGTTGCTGGGCAACTGCAGCACAAAAGGGAGGGGAACTGTCTGCTCACCCATTTTATCTCTTAGTTGAAGGGACTAACTCCTCCATCCATCCATCTGTTACTTCTGTCTGCTTCTCAAATGTCTACACTGCTTAGCAAGACTGGATGGGTAGACCCAGAGGCAAGGTAATAGTGCTGGAGTCTGGGGCTTACAAAATATATTCCTATTTGGCAACTAAATCCATGTGCAGTACCACCTGAGTTCTAATAGCTACCTATAGTAGTAATCGAATGATAAGTCGATCAAAAGTGAGTTAATCAAACAATTGTAATTGTGAAACATTTGCATGTTCCAGCTTCTCAAATGTTAAGATTTACTCTTCTTCCCTGTCTTGTATCACCCTGAATATCTTTTGGTAAGTCTCTGGGAAATTGAGATGGGATATGTTATCACAATTTAAAGACTATATGATAATGAAAACAATTTAGGTACAGCCCAAGATTGTAGTTTTGAAAAATGCGTGCCAAGAAATGAAACGACTAACCTGACAGTTATCCAGAGCTGAGGCCAGCACTTATAAACATTGCTCAAAGCTTCTATAATAAATTTTAGAACCAACTGAAGTAACTTAATATCTAACAGTGACAAGTGTGGCTTTTACATGAGTAGTTGGGGCCCTTTTACATAATAACGCAGGTAGCTGCGGAGCCCTAATATGATGGTGTCGGACCCTGCAGTAGCTGTGAGGATCTCATATTTGTAGCATGGGTGTTTGTTCATTTCATTTTAAATTCATTTTTACCAATTCAAACTCAAATTATTATTGAAATTAGATATTCAGATGCAAATCTATGTGAAATTGTGCCTTTTGAGGTTCTGAATAATAATGGGTCCTTGGGCATCTGCTGCACTCGGCCCATAGGTAATCCAGGTGTGGGGAGAGGATGACAGATGCTGCTGGATATTCTGACTGTGAAAGGTCGTTGGTATACACACACACAGAGTCAGGTAGACAGACAGTATGTGGCTATCCGTGTTTTCATCCAGCAACGATTGTAAATTGATTTGTATTTTATTTCATGTGAGTGATTCATTTCCCACCCAGATAAACTCTTTCCTGCATCCACGGCTGTCTGCGATCTGTTTAGAAGTCCTGCCAGCCAGACCGCGCCGCGCGTGCGTTAAATTCTGACCAACATTTCTAAAAATAGCTCGCGGTTGACGTCACTTAGCCAAACGTGTATCAGTCGCTTGGCGGCGATTGGGGGGGGGGGTGAAAGAGCGGAGGGAGGGAGATTTTTTTTCTCCTTTTTGGAAATGGGGGGGCGCATTCCTGTCAACCGCCACTGACAGCCAATAGACATCCTCGCATTCACCGAGATTCCCACGGTTCGGCCGCTCCAAACCAATGGAGGAGAGAAAACGGAGAAAGTGGGCGCGTACGTCGTCGGGAGGAAAATAATCGGTGACGTTCCACTCGCTTGTTTTTTGCAGGGCGGCGGGACGCTGCCGTTGTTGATGGATTGCAAAGGGCCAATCAGAGCGCTCCGTGGCACTTTGCTGTAGAGAAGTGACCAATCCGTATCTTGGCCTTAACTGTCAATCAACCCCGGTTCTGGCGAGTAGGTGGGACGTTCGCTCGGCTGTAGTTCCGTCATCTCGCTCGTGTCCGAGGCTACGGGGGGCCAATGTTGATTTGGGCGATTTTCCGTCGTTGTCGGACCCCGCCGATGTTTGATTTTTAAAGGCTGGGTTCGCTAACGAAAAGTGGCAGGGATTCGATTGAGAATATTGCATCCCCGCCCTCGGTATAGCTGTTTTTTGGGCTGGGGGAGAGGTGGGGAGCCGGGGGGCCTCGCTCGGCGGGGGCTGCAAGGAGGGACAGGAGAAGACTGGATCCTCCGTGTCCAGGCCAACTGCGCCGAGCTCGGCCTGACAGTCCAGCGGAGCCCCAGCGACCGAGATACCACAACGACAGCACCCCGATGTTTTAAGCTCGATATCGGTCGCCGGTTGTTGGTAATCGTGGAGTGAGTGAGCCCACTGCACTACCCGGTCTCGCCGTGGCACCGCGTCAGCAGCTGTCAGGTTATTAAAGATCAAGAGCTCGGAGTTAGCGCTTGGTACAGCTGGATTTAGGAAATACCGTTCAGACCTAATCGAGCTTAGACCGGCTTGAGAAGGCTGCAGGGCGGCCAAAAAGCCACAGATCGCCCGTTGACAAGTTGTCATCATGGGCAACGCGCCCACGGCCAGGAAGGGCAACGAGATGGAAAGTGGTGGGTACCGTCGCCAGTACGCATTACTCCTGGGCAACACCTGCTCTGTTACAGCCTCATGACATGATGTGAGACGACGTGATACAACAGGCTGTGTTAGCTTCACACAACAAGCCATACACTGTTAATTAGAGGCCTATTCCTGTCTTCCAGTTCATTAAGATCCACTCGTACGTTCATGACATATCTTTGCTGCAAACGAATTAACTTGTACCGTGGAAGCTCCCAAGAACCTAAATTATATATATTTAAATTCGGGAGCATTATATATACATATATGAACGAAGTTTAGGAGTATTGCTCAGTTTCGGACATTTTTATTTGATTTATATGTATGCTATGGCAGGATGAAGCAGGATGTAGTGCTCTTTCCTAGCCTGAATCACTATGAGCTGCAAAACAGCCAACAGCAATGTCCTTTGGAAAGTGATGCTGCTGAAAATGTGTGTGGGTGATCTGAAACTAATCCTAATCGGGGGCTATTTTGTCATGTGGACCCATAAAGGTCTGCAGGTCTGGCTGAACTAGCCTAAGTGTGTATACTGTACTGTTAATTCAAGGGTGATGGTGGGGGTGGGGGTGGGGGAGTGTTACTGTTCAGTATGGAGACCAGTGGACTGGTGTAGCCTATTTATTATAATTGCGTAGAAGCTCTTTTATTATTACCAATCGCATATGTAATACAGACTGCTTTTGGTAATTTCTAGCTGTGTTTGGTCATAAAGTGGGCATGTGTCTTTCAAATCAAGTATTGGCTGGCAGGACTGAGTGACATACACATGCTTCAAGTATGTGTGTGTTTGGTGCAGCAGTGTTTTGCTGTCTTATCAACCAGTTATTATTATCAACAACAACCATACCGCTTAAAAAAGAGACTGATAGGGATTGATAAAATCAGTGTATGAGATATGGTTTAAGAAGCTCTGAGTATATGATGCTGTATACCAGTGGTCTACACTTTTTTCACCCATGTTTTCCCAGGGATTTAAATCATTGACCCATTGGAGGGGGAAAAAAAAAATTAAAAATCTGAAGTCTCAAGTTAGACCTCTCCTAACCCTGATGATGTAATCAGGGTTATTTTCTCACTATAGGAAGCTGCTTCCAGAACCTCAGCAGACATTATACAGCTGTTTTTACATGGTTAATAGTTCTCTCTATTGCAAGTAAACAGACAATTTTGTGTAAAATCAGTGGAGTGTTTCTCTAAGATTACTCTGCATGCAGTGTGCAAAGAATCAGCCCTTCAAAAGTCTCCATTGGGCCTGACTAATTGCAGAGCATATGTTTTACAAACTTTGACACGCCAGTCTCTCCTCTTATTTTTGGAATCTGAGTAGTTAATTTTAACATCAGCTGGACAAAGCAAAGTTTAATCCAGAGAAATATTACTAGGAAAGTCCTAGTACTAAGGTGCATACATGTAACCACCTGTATTTGAAACCAGCTTGACACCTTCTTGCATCACATCCCTGTCTTATTCTCAATTATTGCACTTTCTATGTGTTGTGTATCTATTCAGGGCCAGACATTATCATTTAATATAACAATATAACTATCATTATTTTAACTCAGCTATATATCCTAAAAAAACTGGCTAGCTACAATTGATTTCAGAAAACAGGAGATCTCATTCATATTTGATGCTATGCTAAATCTATCCTGATTAAGATCATCTACACAAAGCTTATATAAAAAAGGTTTCTTATAACTATTCTACAACATTGAAGAGTTTGCTGCATCAGAGCAATAAATAATAATAGTGCACTGTTATTTATTTTCTGGTTTCTTTCCTCTTTACATGCATGCACACACACATCTCTAAAGCTTTTCTTCTGTAAAACTGGTGTTTTTGTTTTCCACAGTCAAGGAGTTCCTTGCTAAAGCCAAAGAGGACTTCCTCAAGAAGTGGGAGAATCCTGCACAGGTTAGTGTGCGCATGTATGCGTGTTCATATAACATGACATAAATGTTACATATAGTGTCTGTAATTTAATCAGCTTTTTGTATGTATTAGAAATACATACAAACCTTTTAGCTTTTCAATCAAATTATGTGTGAGCAAAGAGATATAGTTTATGTGTGGGATGCTGTCTTCATTTCCTCTTGCATTTTAAAAATGCCCCTCATCACTAGTGGAATTTCACTTGTTTTTGTATTTCTTTAACCCCATAATGGTATGTTTTTTTCTGTTCCACCCTACCATTTCAGGTAAATATCTGCCATTTCTTGGATAATTTAAATATATTTGGATGATGAAATAAAGAAAAAAAAAAAAGTAAAACATGTGGGCAGATGGTTTACTTTTATTCACTGAATTAAATTGAAATCCTATTGTGATGATATGATCATTTTAGTTTAGTGTTTCACAAACTCCTGTTGCCCAAGCTGTTGATTTCAAGCACATCATAATTAAAAGCTAACAAAATTGGTTATTTAATATTTTCATTCACGTGTTTGAAGGGTTGTGTCATATATAAGACGTAACATGATTTTCCACATTAAATTGGTTATTATCAACACAGTTTTTTCCATCAACCTTCTTGTATCATAATGTGACTAATAAATATACATTTAAGAAAAAAGTTATTTTTATTAATGATGCTGCATGATAATCAGATGTATCATCCAGCCGTTAAATTTAAATGAAAAAATTGGATGTTCTGTGTGTTTACAAAGCTTTCAGACATTTTAAAATAGAATATTAAATAGACACAGGATCTGTATCAATATTCTTTATGTTATACAGAGTATATAAAGTATATAACATTTTCTCTCTTTATATAAACTTTGTAGACACTTGATTTGAACATCAAGTATGAAACTATTAAGCATTCCTTGATTCTGATTGGCCAACCTGTGTGCACTATTTTCAGATCAATACATGGCTCTGATGCAGCAACCTCTTCACTGTTGTAGAATAGTTAAAAGACACCTTTTTTATATAAGCTTTGTGGAGATAATCTCAATCAGGATAGATTTAACAGACCTAGCATAGCATCAAATATGAATGAGATCAATATTCTGTACAGTATATGCACAATATGCACATATATGGATTGCAAACTCTCAACATATGTATATATGTCTCTTATACTATATTACATGCATATGCTGTACACATGTACTGACACATTTGCTCACATCTACATATGGGCAAAACATACAAAACATACATACAGCAAAACAATAACTAGAATTAATCGTGGTTGTATGCCTCCACCAACCAGCCAAGTTGCAGGAAATATGGTCACAATCTCCCCTTTCTGAGTTACAGCACTGTATAATGGCCAGAGGTGTTTTTGCAGAACATTGTGATGTCACAGTGAAGTTGACCTTTGACCATTTGGATATGAAATGTCATCACTTAATTTATCCTATTAGACAGTTGAGTTTAAATGTGTTGTAATAAGCATATGAATTAGTGAGGTATGGCCGAAAACATGTTTTGTGAGGTCACAGTGACCTTGACCTTTGACCTTTAACCACCAAAATCCTTCTAATCAGTTCATCCTTGAGTCCAAGTTAATGTTTGTGCCAGAAATTCCCTCTGGGTGTTCCTGATATATTGCATTCGAAAAGAATGTGAGGTCACCGTGACCTTGAACTTTGACCTTTTCCCACCAAAATCGAATCAGTTTATCTTTGAGTCCAAGTGGACATTTGTGCCAAATTTGAAGAAGTTCCACCAAGGCCTTACTGAGATATCGCATCCATGAGAATGGGACGGAGGGATGTACGTACGGACAGACAACTCAAAAACATAACGCCTCCGGTCCTGGCTGTCGCTGGTGTGGAGGCATAAAAAATAACTTCCCACATCACAACCCCCAGCATCCCATTTTCACAAAAATCAACTAACCCTTTTTGTTTTGTCTGTTCAGAACACTGCTTGCCTGGAGCAGTTTGAGAGGTTGAAAACCCTGGGCACGGGCTCATTTGGCCGTGTTATGCTGGTGAGGCACAGAGAAACGGGACAGCATTATGCCATGAAGATCCTCAACAAGCAGAAGGTTAGTCTGGGTCAGGGGTCACAGTGGGATGGAGGGTGTTTAGATGTGTTTCTCATTTAAGGATACTCATATATTGTTCCTACAGGATGGCCATAGAAAACACGTATATGTCATTGATGTGAAAATTGTACTCACACGGCCTGAGACATTTATGGAAATTGAGAAAAGGTCTGGAGCTCATTGTGCATGCTAGTGCAAAGACACAGAGACACAACAAATCCAGGTGCAAGCCTTTTTTCCCCCCTTCAACCTCTTTGAACCCGCTTGTGCTGAAGCAGGCATCGTCCAGAGTGTCAGAGCTGAGGTTGTCTTTAGGCAGATCATATCACAAGCAGAGTAACTTTGGTACTCAGTTTTAGGTTTTTTTTTATTTACGTTTCTACCCTTGCTTATGCCCCTGTATGACATAATATTTATTTTTTGTTGGCTAATTGGCTAATCTTGTTATAGTAATACATGAAAGATCAAGATTGTTAATCACATCGATCAAAAATTTTACAATGAATTCTGTAAAATTCATTGGATGCAGGTCCAATGATGTAGACACTAAATTGACTGTACATGTCAATGTTGTGTGCTGTTGACTGTCTACCTACATGTTCTGGTGACTTCATCTGCTTTTAGAAGCATATTTGGAAAGCTGTAAAGCCACATGGAAAGTCCTTTATATTCATATTCATATTCATATTCATATTCATATACTCTGCACCTCCTGGAACAGTTTTCTCTTACAGGACACAGTCTCGCTGTCTGCTGGGTGAGAGCGGCTGATGTGAATTATCCTTTTTGATACCACCCACTCAGACTGTGTACTGTATTTCTTACTCACAATATATCCAACCTGTTCCAGCAACTTATCCAATTTGCTTTGCTCTGCGCCAAAGTTACTTTACAAGACCAACCAGTCTCACAGGAAGAGAGCCTTTAAATATTTAGGACATATTAGAAATATCTGTCAAGTATCTGAGCCAAGTACCCAAGACATACAACTGATATATCAAGTTACCTTTGAAGCAGTAGTGTGCTAATTAAATAGTACCAGGTGAACATATACGCAGAACCAAAGCTGACCTGAAACACCCATCAAAAAAGATCATTTGAATGAAGATGCTCGCAGATGTTGACCATGCACTAAATTTAATGCCATACTCTTAATATGTTACAATACAGTAAAAACGTGGAGCCTTGTACTGAGGCTAGGTGATCTGAAGGGGCCAGACCGTGTGATTTCAGAGCTTTTTTAAGCTACTATTGGAGTAAAACTGGGAGAAAAAGAAAAATTAAAAATGTAAAAAAAATGATATTACTTGCATAAGGTTCTAAGCTTCATCTTGTTGGTGGGAAAAGTACTGTATTTCAGAAAATGTTTTTACGAAACGTAACTATAATTATTCACATTATTATATCTAGAATCTAGAATCAATGTACTCAAAGATGCTGTACAAATATGTGTGTAAGCAGTAGCAGAAATAGCTCTTTGATTAAGTTTATCAGACAATTCAGTGGAAAGACAGTAGCTGTTTGGTCTGATCCCCCAATCCAATACCAAGAAGTAACAACACAGTGACATTTTTCTGTTTTACATAATAATAAAATTAATAGTATCCTGAACAAATTTACATAATGTACTCAAGTCTAAAAAATAGTAACTTTGTAGCTCTGCCTTAGCACACTGTGTCAATATGTTTTTTTTTCAATATTTACTGTATCTATGTTTTGATTGAAACTGAAAACAAAAGTTTTATGTCTTTATTTAGAGAAGTCAGGTCAGGGGCTGACGACTGTTATTGTAGATTTGCCAGCTTGTTAATGCACATGTTAAAAAGAGCTAAGACTACGCTGCTCTGATGAAACTTTAGTTTTCTTTTTGTTACGGCATGATTTACTGTTGTGATTTATTCATTTATTTTGCAAGATACAATATTGTCACTCTCTCTCTCTTTTTCCTTTCTCTGCCTTTCAGGTGGTGAAGCTCAAGCAGATAGAGCACACTCTGAATGAGAAGAGGATTCTTCAGGCTGTTAGCTTTCCTTTCCTGGTGCGGTTAGAGTACTCGTTCAAGGTATGCAGAATTTTAGATTTTGTGTGTGAGTGTGTGTGTGTGAGTGTGTGTGTGTGAGTGTGTGTGGTTTGATGATGAGTGACTGGCTAAATTTCCCCCGTCCACCCATCAACTTCCAAACTAACTCTACGTGTTTCTCTTATTTGTTTCTGAAGGTGGCCCTTTGAAAAGATAAACATTGTATCTGGCACACCAAGTTGTCTCATAGCAAGTGAGCAGTTAAGCATCTGCCTATCATGAATGAGCAGAAATGCATACTGCTTGGCTGTCATTCAGCAAATCAAGTGCCACAAACAGCTGTTGACTAATGATACTACTCATGAACTGTCCACCATGATATTATGTCATGTCTTAATCTGCATTTGCTGTAATTCATCTGAGCTGTCCCAAGTACGCTGCGTTTTTCTTTAAAAATAAAACAAAATAAGACATTATTGTGTCAAGTTATAACAATTAGACTCACTCATCATCACACCCAGTTTAAAGAAAAACATAAAAAAAATTAAAAATTAACGTTGAAAAACACAGGAAAAACGTCTAAAAATGCCCAGATTCTTGCCATCTGCACATACTGTACCTTCCAGAGTGCATGAAACACCCTGGAGGATGAAGGAGAGAGAGCACTGGTTAGTCAAAGAGCTGGCTGCGTCTGGAAACGACACTGATGAGAGCGAACCAAAACAATGAGCTGAAAGATGCTGAAACGCTCTGTATTGTTGACAGGAACTGCAGAGTCAGTTGATAATTATCTTTAGGTTTGCCACAATGAGCAACACCTTTCACATTTACACATTCACCATTCACACACACCATTCGCTCCGCTCTACACACTTCATTAGTGAAACATTCAGCTTATCTAAAATGTGAACTATGTGGTCACTACTGGTCAGCTTATCATTTCAGACCACTCCCAAGTCTTCACAGCATTCTCTGTTATCAACACACAACAGGCCTATTGATGGTTTTATAAAAGTCGACTGCTGTCTCTTTAGTCTTGTTAACGTTTAACTCTAGGTATTTCCTGTCACAAAGATCTGTCAATTTAGTGATTGCATCCTTATAATAACTTCCATCATCATTGCCCATTAATCCTATTAAGGGTAAGTCATCAGCAAGCACAGAGTGAAGCGAGCGTGGTCTGCCACATGCACAGTTAAATGAAGCACAAAAACATTTGTCTTCTTCAGCATTTTACTCTCACAGTCCTTCTTTGTCAGTGACTGTTTGTACCCATACAGACTAACCTAGCTGGTGGCTATATTCCAGTTAAAGCCTTATTCTGGTTAAGCTGTTTAGATGCACCGGGGTTGCCCTGGGATTGAATATCCTTGTTGCCTCAAATAAACCTATTAACAGAATATTCCTGTCCATGGTGTCCCGTCCAGCACACAGGTGGAAGAGTCAACAACAAACACATATTAACTGAGCTTGAGAAGTGGGCTAGGAGTGAAATCCTTCTTGATAATATAAAGCTAGTGTTATGTAGCTTTATTAAAGGGCCTAAAGAAAATATGATTTGCAAAACAAGTTTTGGAAATAGAACAAGCCCAAATAAGTGTTTAATAGACGCAGTCACACACCTCGTCATCAGGGATTTTATATGGTAATAACTTCAGTTAGTAAAAGTCAGTAGATTCTTTTACATCGGCCCACAAAATATCATTTCCATGCTGTCCAGTTGCCCATCCCCGGTGTGTGTGGGTGTGTCAGGAGTGAGTTAATGCATGTGTGTGTATATGTGAGTGAGTGTAACTAACATGTCCTCTGTCTTCCCCAGGACAACACTAACCTCTACATGGTGATGGAATATGTACCAGGTGGAGAGATGTTCTCCCATCTACGGAGAATTGGCAGATTTAGGTTAGTGCCTGTATGCAGCATCCAGTTTACAGCACAGAGGCATTTTCTAGGCACATACAGAAGTAACCTGGGGAACTGTGTTCTCTCAAATTAGCTCTGTTCTCCTCTATTCTATTCTCTTGTGTTCTACTGTATTCTGTTCAGCTCTGTTCTCATCAGGTCTGTTTTAGCTGTACTTTGTTTTGTTCAGCCTTGTTCTTCTCTCTTCCGGTCTGTACTGTACTGTGTGTGTGTGTGTGTGTGTGTGTGTGTGTGTGTGTGTGTGTGTGTGTGTGTGTGTGTGTGTGTGTGTGTGTGTGTCTGCGTGTCTGTGTAGTGAGCCACACGCTCGGTTCTACGCTGCTCAGATTGTTCTGACCTTTGAATACCTGCACGCTTTGGACCTGATCTACAGAGACCTGAAACCTGAAAACCTGCTCATAGACCAACAGGGCTACATCCAGGTAAATAACAAAATAACATCTCATGCACAGATATCAGGAATTTCTTCTACTCAAAAAGTTGGCTCACTACCATTTATTTCTTTGTACATACATCCCTGCATGTACCTACATGAATATATTCTCAAAGCAGTGGGAGTGTGCATGTGATGCTAAACAACGCTAGCCATTCTCAGGCCACCTTCATGCAAACCATCACACCGCTAATTCTGTAATCGAACCTTATTTGTTGATGTAACAGGTACCTAGTTATAAATTTGGCCGCTATGTTCAACTGGGAGGAAAATTATCCAGATACTTCTATATTATACTGTATATGGTAAGGTACATTAGGTGGAGGGCAGTTGTTTTCTTTCTCTCTCTCTCACTCTTTCTCTCTGAATGAGGGTAAACAAAAATCATGTGACCGCTTTCTGATTACAAGTTTTCACTTTTCCGACCGCTCATCAACATTGGATAATTATTATTACTGATGACCATTATCAAGGGCAAAGTCAGTGTCGACAGATATGGCTGGCAGTAGCATGGCCGCAGCAGCGGTATGGACACACACACTACAAGCCTTAGCAGTTCAGGTAGCCATCACACACAGGTGAGGTGATGCAAGAAGTGCATCAACTCATTCCTGCTTGTTATATTATTGCTGGTCAAGTTGACTGTTCAGGCTAAAAGGGCACCCAGGGCACTGGCAAATGACCTGGTGCCCCTGACGAGCTGTCCGCCACTGATCGTCTCTATGACTGTTGAGATTTCAGGCCTGCTCCTGAACACCAGATATGTCAGCCTACTGCCATACCCCCCCCCGAATTCCCCATGATTTAGCTTGTCCAAAACACTGACGCAGCATTTGAAAGGTCGGCAGAGGTTTTAACTTCAATGCTGATGCTGCTGAATTTTGTATTTATTAGATCTGCAACTAGCAAAGATGATTAGCATTAATTAGCATTTATTGATTAATTGTTTGGTTTATGACCGAAATTATAACTTCCTACAGCCCTAGGTGATGCCATCAAACGTCTTGCAACCAACAGAGGACCTAATACCTGCTAATTCTCACATTTGAGAACCTGGAATCATCAAAGCTTTGACCTCTTTGCTTGAAAGGACATAATTGATAATAGATTACAAAAAAAATTGCCAACTAACAACAACTAACTAATAAGTTGAATAACTAATTGATTAGTTGACTAATTGCGGCAGCTCTAATATTCATTAGACAAGTAATCACAGTCTGATATACTGTAGCTAACATAGCCATATAAGCTAGCAAGCTAATGTTTGTTTTGATACTACACTATCTTAAAGGCAGCGGCTCTACTCTTTGTGACTTTCAAGGTGTTTATGATTTCATACAGGGTTATAATACACAGATGAAACTTTTAATGTGAGGTGTGCTAAGTGTAGGATTTGCTGTTGGCATGATCTGAGTGGCACCATCTCACCTGAGTCAGCTTGCACTGGCTGGAGACTTACCAAGTGTGACATGTAGAAACTCAAAGTAAGGTATGAAATGCAATATTAGGTATGAAATATTGTTACCATAGCTATGATATGCACAAGTCACAAGTATTATCTTTGGAGAACTTTATCAGTTACACACTGTAACAGGTGAGACATGTAAAGGCTATGCACCAAATCCCAATAGAGAATATGCTGAAAAAGTTTGGCTATCATTGGATTTTGTTAATTTAACATTTGTTACCCTTCACACTCATACAGTTGAGGGGATACAACAACATAACTAGACACAAAGTTTTTAAAAGAGCAGTGTCAGCTCCTTCTAGTCGCAGTCAGTTTTGCGGCGCATTAAATGACAATAATGAACAGTTTGAGTATGTTCACCTGTGTTTTCACTTCCAAATATGTGGTTTAGATAATTGAGTTAAACCAGACTTTTTAATACCCGTTTGCATTAGTTGTGTTGCCGTGTGGACTCCCCTGTAGGATGTGTGTCACTACATGCCATGCATCTCCAAAATGAAGCTGTAACACTGTAAAGGTGTGTGCCCCATCACATACTCTTGGATGTGGCGTGGAAGTCTCTAAAAATAATGTGCCATATATGCACAAGTGCAACTATGGCCGTGGTGTGTATTTACAATTATCTGTATTTACTGAATGCTGAGCTTGCACTTTGGTGCTGTTGTCTAGCACGGATTCTGCTGCCCTCTTGTGGTGAACAGTGAAATGACAACTGGTGAGAAGATGCTCGCTCTCCTCCCTGTGAGAGTATGTCTTTTGAGAGTATGTCTGCTTATTTACCTTGTGCTCATTCTCTTACTCACCTTCTCCTTGTCATTGATCTTTGCTTTGCTTTTCCAGGTGACAGATTTTGGCTTTGCCAAACGTGTAAAGGGCCGGACCTGGACACTGTGTGGCACCCCAGAATATCTGGCCCCAGAGATTATTCTCAGCAAGGTGGGCCGCTGTTGTTCCCCTTCTACCCTTGTGTCAATGGTCAACTGTGTCCTTTCAAAACGAGGCATTTCGCATTTGAACAAAAAATGACATCAAGTTGCTGCACAAACTTTACTCATTTAAACTCTTTTTTTATGGTTGTTAATTGGACTTGGAAGAAATGTAACACATGGAAGCTGCTAATATGTCATAACTTTATTTAAAACTTCAAATTGGTGTTTTTTATCCTACTACTCTCAAACAACTCTGGGTTCAAGGAGCATTTGCTAAAGGATACACAACTCAGATGCTCCTCAATATAAGTAAACAGTAAAACTAGCATATCTCTATGTAAATTTCATTAACGTGGCCAATTACATGTTGTTGTCAACTTCTCAGAAAGTAATGTAAATTATTCACAAAGTTTGACCAGTAATATTACATAATATTATAAAAGCATTTCAACTAATGTATTACTGCCTGTGACGTGCCATATAATAGCAAACCAGATCTCTTAACAGCAGTATGAGATGAAAACAATATTTCCAAAACAACAAACAAGTCATACATGTTTTATAAAATCCTGTCTTGATTACCTGTCTATAACTCTGTCTTCTCTCCGCCCCTCTCCTGCGTCATCCATCAGGGATATAACAAAGCGGTCGACTGGTGGGCGCTGGGCGTACTCGTCTATGAGATGGCAGCAGGATACCCACCTTTCTTTGCTGACCAGCCCATTCAGATCTATGAAAAGATCGTATCAGGGAAGGTGAGTTTGACTCTGGTTACCACTCACTAATGTCATTCCTGCTGCCGCTCTCTGCTTGTACACTGACTGTTGAAACTTTTTTTTCATCATGTAACACTAAAAATAATTGGAACCAACAACCACATTTGAGTCAATATCAGTTGTATTTTCCTATTTCAGTTCAGCTTTAGTTTCGAAAAAGGGTTTGGCTATAGTTTAATTTTTCTCTTGAGTATCATCACTTCACATCTTACTGGTGTAGCCTCTGAATGAAAATTGCAGGTGGGGTACAGCTTTGAAAGTTTAATCAAAACAATCCATAAATGACTGTGTGGTAAGTGACTGTACTAAAGCAACCTGTTTTTTCATAGCCTGTCCATTTATAACCCACAAAATTCAAAAACACACAGTATCCTTGTATGCATCCTAGCCAGGTGCATCTCGTTCTCTTCTTTTTACTCACGCTTTTATTTAAGGACATGCTTTTTAATGATTTCATTGCATGTTGGGGTTACACACACGTATACATCCATGCACACACACTCAGGCACAAACATAATTGCACACACTGGCGCACAAAAAAACTACAAACCTTCCTTCTTTGGGTTAAAGGTAACCATTTGTGTTCTTTGCCATGGACTGTGATTGTTATAACAAAGTCTGCTTTTTTCCTGTTGAGTTTTTTCTTTTCATTGCTGTGCTCTTTTATAAGATTCATATGGTACATGTCACATTTCTTTTTCTAATATTTTTATATACATTTCTCATGACAGTGACATATTAGTCTATGGTAGAACATAACTCTCTCCCATACAGTATCTGTGCAGTGAGTAATAGTCAACACTTATAATAACCTGTAACCCACAAGTTCTTCCTTTTCGTGTTTTAGCCACAACTTAAGTAATAAACAATGATTGCTAGTTTGTTTTACTGCACTTTCTACAGATGATCATCATATGTCAGAACTGTAAAACACTTGAGTTGCAGTGTGCCAAAGGATTTTATCTGAGAAATACTCACTGCCGGCTGTTACGAAGGGAAAATATTCAAGGTCCCATATTTTACACTTTCCCAGTGTTTTATTTTACGTTTTGATGTCCATAAGAAGATTTAGTGGTTTAAGTTCCAAAACCCATCTCAGTGTACTTTTACATCTTCTCTCTCACTCTCCTCTCTGGAGCTCTAGCAAGAACAGGGTGGTCTTCTAATAGGCTGACTGTTTTGTAAGTGACGCACGGCCAGGCCAACCACAGGTAACAGATTGTAGCCTATTACTGTTGTTTGGTAAAAACCCATCGGTGTAAATGCAAATGGTGATGGTCAGTCAGCGCTGACATGGGCCGAACAGGCCGTCAAATTTAAATTGAAATGCTCTGGTAATTCAGAAAAAATAAACTTGAGCCACTAGCCTCTAATATTACTATCCCTGGGAAGGCTGTGCAATGATATATTGGCCTCCTGATATCCAATGATTGTGCAGCATTTCCTTGACATTTTCCACGTCTACAGTATCCGTGATCAGAGGCTTTATATTTTCGGGTTGTCCATCCGTCCCATTCTTCTGAACATGATATCTCTTGAACACCGCAAGGGAATCCCTTCAAATTTGGCCCTAATCTTCACTTGGACTCAAGGATGAAGTGATTACATTTTGGAGGGTAAAGTTCAAAGGTCAAGGTCACAGTGACCTCACAAAACATGTTTTTTTGCCTCTTGAACGTGATATCTCAGTAATGTCTAATGACAGGTCCGGATGGCTGTATAGTTATGACATCACAAAACTAAGGAAGTCCTGACGGCTCGTTTTAAGGCACGGTTTCTGAATGTGGGCTGTGTGCATTTCTCTGTGGATTTTGATACTTTCATTGTATTTCTATAGAACCTACACATGCTTTACTGTATAATCAAAAAATCTCACTTTCTACAATGGGACCATTAAAGGTTGTATGAAGCGGCTTTCAGTTAGATCATTGTCGTGTTGTATCAATTAGCAATAGAGAGTATCAAAATAGGTGTTTTTTTTATTTTTATGTTTGAAAAAGGTTTTTCAGCATGCATGCTTTTTTACCAACATTGTTAATCTAAAGCTGTTTCCCTTCTCTCCTTGTCTTCTGTCTCAGGTGCGATTCCCATCTCACTTCAGTTCCGACCTGAAGGACCTCCTGAGGAACCTGCTGCAGGTGACAACAAATATCTCGGCCATTTTGATGAAAAGGTTTTACATGTTTTTTTTTCTGTGTTCTGAATTCATTATAATGTAAAATGAAGGAAAATGTACTGGTATTACCCTCAGGTTGATCTCACAAAACGTTATGGGAACCTCAAGAATGGGGTCAACGACATCAAGGGACACAAGTGGTTTGCAACCACTGACTGGATTGCCATCTATCAGAAAAAAGTACGTGTGTATACTTATTGTGTAGTTTAGATGTGTGGGTACGCCTCTGTTACGTTCGCTTCTCAACTGGTGTTTTTAATTGTGTTTAGGTGGAAGCTCCTTTTGTCCCCAAGTTCAAAGGACCAGGCGACACCAGCAACTTCGACGACTACGAGGAGGAGGAGATTCGTGTCTCCTTCACTGAGAAATGTGCCAAGGAGTTTGCTGAGTTCTAGAGATAGAAAGCGACAGAGGAAGAAAGAAGGAAGTAGGGAGAGTCAGAGGTAGGCTGGTCAAGTGGGAGACGCAAGGAGAGAGTACTGTCTCCTGTCCAATCACAAGCACCAGCTACAAAAAGAGGAAAAATGGGATAGAGAAGGGAAAAAGAGCAAGGAGACTGATAACCAGCAGTGTTGCCTTTTCTGTTGCGTTTTTGTTGTATTTTATTTATTATTCTGTCTTATTTATGGATCCCTTTATAATGAAGGTGTGCTTCAGATTCATGGGTGTTGGGAAGCCCACTTATTTAGAGTTGCCTCTACACATTTTCACCCAAGATTTTCCCTTCTCTTTTTTTGTTTCTTTATTCACTTTTGCACCACGACTTAGAGAAATCAGTCAGTCTGTTCTAACCTACAGCAGTCTGGAAGTCATTACATGAAGCCCATTGAGTCTCGTACAAGTTGAGGTCTCGGTCTGCACAAAGGTTTCTTAAATTTAAACTGATATCTTGCAACTTGCTTTTTCCCTTTTGAGCAAGAGGAGCATTTCAGTGAAAATCTAAAGGAATCACACAGACGTATGCACTTTCAGCTTAAATGACTTTTATGTTTTGCAATTTTGTCTTAATTTTTCCTTAACTATTTAAACCTTGACCGTCTCATATCATAGACAACATACTTTTTAAGTCTCTGGCACGATGAGCCAAAAGAAAAACAAAAAACGATGGATTGTGTGCTCAAACTAATTTCATTCAGAGACAGATGACACTTAAGGGGAAGAAGTCAATTAAGTTTACTGTGTAACTCCATCTATTCTTCTTATCATTGTTAGCATAGCCAGGCTTTGTGCATATCTACAGCACTCAATTTTTAAATGTTATTAGATACTAGTGGCTCCAATGATGTCATGTCACGCTAACAAACAAGGAAATAATGATAAGGGAACAGAAATATCTCAGTTTTAATGGTGTTGTTAAGGAACACCATAACATAATGGTATCTCAGGTTTGAACATATCACTAAATAGGCATTTTATCGATGTAAAGCATTAGAATCAGCAGGTAAAGAAGGTGTGTGACACAGTTGCTTATGATATACAGTAGATTTGGGAATTTAAAGTTCTGGTTAATTAAGAGGAACATAAGATAGAGTTTTGGTTAGCGTCTTCCACAGGTTTCCCCTTCCAGAAGATTTGGTTTTGCTAACTTTGACAACTCTGTTTGGTCTTAAAAGCACTTGCTGTCTCTGCTCAGAGCTCACTCACTAGTCAAGTTGATTGTGCATGTCGAATCAACCAGTTGGCCCTTTTCAACTCCAAATGAAGGAGACCATCTGAGGCAGACTACCTCAAACTGCTTCTGGCTGGTGGTCACCAGAGCTCTTTGACCAGTCAGTGGTGGCGGTCTGAATAGTGTGCTTTGGCTTCATGGTCTTCTATAGAAACCTGTTTATGTTCATCTCCCCAGCACCCAGCCCTCTCCTCTTATCACATGCAAAGTTTGACCACACTCCATGTGACAGTCTTACATGTTACAGCAACTCTATTTCCATTTCTGTGTTTAAAACATCCACAGTTTGAGTTTTATTTAGTTTTTCATATGGTGGTGATGATGTAAAGATGATTGGTACTCCACTGAACAAGTTAGGAAAAGGCAGAGCACCTGGAGCTGAATAGAACTAGTGCTGAGAGGAGACAAAAATGTTCTTAGTGCACAGTATACATCTTGTCTATTTAAAGTACATGACACTTAGCACTTAAGGTGTTCAGTGTCTCCTTAGCTCCTGAGCTATGACGACAGAGTACTTAAGCAGTGCCCAAAATGGTGGTCATTGTGACACTAGTGTCTGTTTCAAACATTAAAATGCCTTCTTTATAGATGTATTTTAATGTGCCACCATAATGAAGATATTCTAATTTGGTTCATATAGGCACCTCTGATTTTCTCTCATCGTTTTAAACTCTGGATATTTTTGAATCACATGAGTCTTTCCTGTCCAAAATAGTTCAGATACAGGAAACTATGAGAAGCCTTTTCTCAGAATTACACATTTGTTATGTGTAGTTATATGTGTGTATCATTTGTCATATGAAACGAGATTTAAAATGACTTAACGTGAAGCAATTTGCAGGGTGAGCTAAATAATCTGTTCCAGATTTTTTTTTTGGTCAGTGTAGCTCAATGTCTATGGCCGGATTAATCTGCTATTTGGGCCCCAGGCCCATATTAAAACACCATCCCTCCCACTATCTGTATATTGTGTACAGTAATGCAGTGTTGGAATATTATATGGCCCCAGGTTTACTGTGTGGTGAGTGATTTAAACAGATACTAATTTAGGAATATGCACCATGGAAGGACAGTATCATCTGAATTGATGAAGATCTTAAAAGGCCACTCCAGTAATTTCAAATTGCACTTCCATAAACTGCATCATTTGCAGCTGAGGCCAAAATATCCTGACTTTTAGTCCTTTGTAAGGGCCAAGCTCTAAAAATTCTGGACCGTACGTCTCCCACAATGCAACTCCGTACCGTCTTTCACCCACTTTGTTTTGAACCCTGTGTTAATGCGGACTTTCTATTCAAAATGTATAGACTCCAAGCCCAGGCTGAGACACTTAGGTAATGACACTTTTTTATTTACAATTGTTTATTTGACAAGGACAGTGCTCATTGATCAATACAAACACAAATGTAAATGAGCCAAAGTTAGCCTAGAGGGCTAGTTGTCATCTGTTGTCCCTGGCCAGATGTTAAAAAGCCACACTAAAAATAGATCAAATGTTTTTCAAAATTGATACACACAACATAGTAAGTATGCTCAGAATAGTACAATACACACCCACCAACAAATAATGCCATAGTGTAACACAAAGCTTGAAAATCACATAATGAAGCAGGATCCACCTTATAATGTCAGTTGATTCTTAAATGTGGCATATTCCCAATCAAAGTTACAATTAAGCAAATTACCACACACCAGTTGCCACAGTGAACCTGGGGAAATTGAACAAGACATCTAATTTGTGACCAAAGGGTCCATCCACTTCCCAGTATTACCCTCCCTCCTTTTCATATTCATTGCTCAATGACTGAGCACTGATTCCACCTCTCTCCTCATACAGAGGTGAAGCAGGTGAAAGAACTCCTTTTACTAACCAATCTGAAGCTAAAACCATAAGCCACAGGGTGGCTACATGCCTATGTAGTCATTGGCAGGCTTGTTGGTTGTAATGGTCTAATTTAAAAACTGCTTTATTATTATTATTATTATTATTATTATTAATATTGATATTATTATTATGTCATTGTAAACCACTTGTTGAGACTTCACATTCGCTGTATTTCCTCCATGTCAAGTTTAATGTTGACTATATCATCATGGACAAAATGTTTGAAGTTATAATACAATATTATTATATATTATTATTGTTTTTGCAGTGACACAACTTCCTCTCGATGCAGGCACAATGCTGGTTCATACTGTCGCACTTTTTAGGGAAATGAGACCCCAATGTAAAACATGTTAAACCCCGCCACACACACACACACACACACACACATACACATACACACACACACACACACACACACACACACACACACACACACACACACACACACATATATATACACACACACGCACACACGCACGCACACACACACACACTGCAAAGGGAAGCGTCTAAAGTCACGGGAACAGTGACATAAAAACACGAAGTGTAATATTTTGCAACATGAGTATCATTCCAATAAAGTTTTACTGGTAAAATTCTACTGGACCTGTGTGTACTTCCTGGGTGTGTGGTTATTTGCTAGTTCGGCAGCTGCAAGTTTGAGAAAAGTGAATAGATGATGAGACATTTTAAAATGTTCTCGGTGGTCGAGTTTTGTACCGGAGGTCACATATCCATCACAGCCGCCTGATGCGTAGTGGAGCCGTAGGCTACATCCACCCATCTGTTGGGTTTGTGACTGATTCGCCATAACGCTTAAAAACACGACACTAACTGACAATACACACCGTCCGGACTGCGCACTCGTCTTAATCCCGGTTAAAATCGAGTATTTTAAAGTGTGGGGTGCTCAGGTCGAGACCGCGAACAAAGAACATCTGCGATGCGCTAGAACAGAGTCAATTCCACCTTAAATGCCATTACATTTGCGTCTGTGGCGGAGACCTAGGCGCCATCTTCGGTCTACCTTAAGCGCACAATGTGGCCAACGAACGCAAGCGTACCAGCCAGGCTTCCGTCCTCATTCTCCTGCCGGGGATCGCACTCTTGCTTCCCAGCTTTGACACAGCGTCACTTGTGAAACAACAGAGGAAAAGACGCACTCGGGCCAAACCCCATCCGCACCAGCAGGAGAAGATGTCCGAGCCCAATAAGTACCGAGAGTGGATCCTGGAAACAATCGACTCTCTCCGCTCGAGGAAAGCCCGTCCGGATCTGGAGAGGATTTGTCGAATGGTCCGGAGACGACACGGGTCAGACCCGGACCGAACCAGGACAGAACTGGAAAAACTGATTCAAGAGCAGACGGTGCTCAAAGTTAGCTACAAGGGGTCCATATCGTACCGAAACGCGGCCAAGGTGCAGAGGAAAAGCAGAAAGAAGAGTGAGTTTACGGCGGCTGGCAGCAGCAGCAGCAGCAGCGCGGAGGCAGCGAGGGAGCGGACCAAACACGACCATCTGAACAACAACGGCGACAGTGCGCACAGCTTCACCGACCAGGAGGAAGGAGAGGAGGACTCGGAGCCCAGCCCCGATCCCCACACTCAAACATCAGCCAGCACCACTGGCAAAAAGCTCAAGCCTGCCTCCAGCCGAAGTAGCGGAAACGGGTGCCTCAGTTGTGGCGCAACAACGGGCTGCGCTGTCGGGAGCGGCTGTAAAGAGGAGAAAGCAAGTGCACCGAGAGACAAGGGATTAGGACAGCAGGGAGTGGGGGGGTGCCCGTCGCCGGGTCTCGGCCACAGAACAAGCGCACACGACGCCGGTGATGGCAGCAGGACAACACCGAACAAAACCGATGCACTTCGCGGAGGAAAGGAGCCTGCTCTGTCCGGAGCTGACACCCAGAACAAAACTTGCTCTGGGAGCGTCAGCAGCCTCCCTCCACAGCAGAAGCCGACCGAGCCCCTCAAGCCCAAACTTCGAGTCGGGGGAGGGAGCACCAAAACAACAGGGAACCACGCCAACCCCGACCTGGGCGACAGATTGGTGGCTTCTGTTCGCAGCCTGTCCGAGAGGAGCCTCCGCGGGGGCTCCGCCGCCACGACCAGAGGCCACATGAAGCCGCTCGGGCTGAAGGAGATTTTGGGCTATCTGAGCAGCCAGGAGCGGCTGTCGGAGGAGAAGCTGACCCGAGGCAAAGTCAAAGTGGTCATGGAGAGAGAGGTGGCGAGAGGCAGGCTGCGCAGGACCCGCTGCGGGAACATTACTCTTCCTCTGAGGGGGATGGTGGTGGAGGAGCCGATGCCGAAGAATGCGTCCGCTGACAGACTTGTAAAGAGCGCACTGCAGGACAAGCAGACGGTGAAAAAGGTGGGCAATGCTAACTTAATATTTCTAACACGTCCAGGTTGTACAGAGCGCGCTGAACAGTGTTGGCTTGATGGCTTGCTGATAAATTAATGATCGCTGGTTAAAACCCATACATAGACTATACTGCACTAGGACGCGCTCGGCTTCCCTCACCAAATATTTTCTTGTCAAACATCGATCTTTTCAATGCAAAAGTGTGTGAGGTGATTTAGAAGATTAATTGTTCCGCTTTGTTGGTTAATTTACAGCGGGATGCGACCGTGCCTGTTTGGCGTTCCTTCCCTACAGCCACGGCAAATATATGTGTGTGTGTGTGTGTGTGTGTGTGTGTGTGTGTGTGTGTGTGTGTAGCTCGGCTTCCTGCACAAAAGGTGCGGGTTACACAGGCTAGAGGAGCAGACAGCTCCGGAGCGGCTTCCCCGGCTCTCAGGATGAGCGCGCGCACCGTAAAGAGCGTCTCTGCATGGCGCGAGCACGAGCAGCGTCTTGTTTCGTTGTCACATCACTATCTGGGGTCAATAACATTTGATTTCTTTTTCAGGAACTTTAGCTTCAGTGTGGAGCAGAGCGCGGGGTGTCTGGGCCTGCCGCGCAGTAGGCGGTGTCTGTCTAAACTTGAGACGTGCCGCTGCCGCTCTCCGTTCTGTCTCGGCGGACTCAACCCCAACAGCCGAGCATCATGTTTGTTCATGCGGATCACATTTAGTGTGTTTTGAGGCACGATTCTAACCCCGTAGTTTTGTTTCTTCTCCTCCTCGCCATCCCCGCATATCTCCCGTTTCATGCCTCATTAAATCCTTTGTATCATTTCTGACAGCGCGCTCTCCTCCCTCTCTTCTTCCCCCTGTGGGTGCAGACTTGAGTTGGCTACGGTGGGCGGCTATCGTTATTTCTGCTATCTGTGTGTCTGTCCAAGTGGGAGGTGTTTGTTTGTTTGTTTTTTGTTTTGTTTTTGATCTACTCTTTCCGCCCCGAAGAAGCGCAGCAGACCTAATGTGCTGCTCAAATCTGTCCCAAGAGCCACAATCCTGAACGGGAACTTGGATCAAACTCAGGTGCTGCACTCTCATCTCAGGATGAAGGCAGTGCTTGACCTCCACTTTGCTCCCCTTTTTTAAGGCGCGGACATTTTTTGTTTTGTTTTGTTGTTTGTTTGTTTGTTTTTGATAGAAGTTTATATGTCATTGCAGCCACCGCCCTCCCCCCCTGCCCAAGCGAATGAGCCAATGGAAGCACGCAGTGAAGAAGAGGAACGGGAAGAGAATGAGGAAGAGGAGGAGGAGGAGGAGGAGGATGATCCCCGGAGTTCTGATGAGGAGGGAGGACTATCCCCGGTAGCCATGACAACTGAACCAGAGCTCATTGAGAAAACCACAGAAGATGCCGAGATCCAGACAGCATCAAAGCAGGAGAGCCCCCATCAGCAGCAGCAGCAGCAGCAGCAGCAGCAGCAGCATGGTGGCAAAGGTGTGTGCATGTGCACGGTGTAGCCTACTACAGTATATTGTGAATATCAGTACTACTATAAGGTATTGTTTCAGCTATGAGTCATGCTGGTTGCTCTTCATTTAGTTTTACCCAATTAAAATTCAATTTTACCTTAAATATCTTCAATTTTAATTTAGACATTTAGGCGACAAGTTTAAAGTTCTGAACGGTTGTTCATCTTTTCTCTTGTTGTGCTTCACAAACGTATTCCGTCTGGCTGCTGATCTCTCAGGGATGGATTCACCGACCCGGACACAATCCACACCCGTTCAGGGAGTTCCACTGTCACAGTGTAACAGTGCGCACTTGGAGGAGAGAGCTGTCGTCCCAGATCAGCTACATAAGGCAGCACAAGTAAGTGCAAGTCCTGTTGGTTTTTATTCCCCATGCATTATCAAAACAAGTTATATTTACTCAAAGATGGGGTGCTGCCAGAGGGGTTAAGAAGCTGACAATGAAACATGACAACAATGAAGAGGCTCTCGTATGACCAGGGATCTTTGATTTCTCCCTCATTTCCTGTCACTACTAAATGCCCTAAAAATACTTTAAAAACATAAACTCCATCTCAATTCCTTTAGCAGTGATGAAATAAGTATTGAGATCCTTTATCTTATTGAAAGTATCAATACCATGAAGTAAAAATACCCCATCATAAGTAAAACTCCTCCATTCAATTTTTTATTTATTCTTTAAATTTTATTTATTCATTTTTGTATTATCTGCCAAGTGTACATGAGTATTAAATGTAAAATTATTCTTTATATATATATATATATATATACATACATGTATATATATATACTTGTTATTTAATCATATATATTATATTATTGGATTATTATTACTGATGCATTCAAATGTAAGCAGTAGACTATTTTAATACTGTAGCTGGTCAGGCAGTGCTAATTTTATGTACTCTATTGTTTGAAATTAATCTAATTTGGTCTAATATTTCCCCCTAAAATGTAGTAAAGCAGTAATGTAAAACTTGAGTGTCTGTCTGTGCCACCACTGTCCTTCAGAAACACTTAAAATTCTGATGAAAATGCGACTATAAAAGTGAGCCTGGGGAGATGTGTTTGTGCAAATGTCATGATTTTTCAAGTGCTTTTATTATGAAAGTACATCATTACATTCTCAGTCACTGTTGCAGTGGGACACTTGCATTAGCTATAACAGGGTCAGAGAGTTTACTGCACCCCTTGTGGTGAGAGCAAACAGGAGCACTATAAACCTCATTCATCTGCATACTTGACTGAATACTAATACCAAACACTACTAATACTGAATCAGTGAGCACAGAATGGGTTGTGAATGCTTGAAATGCATTTCAGTGACATAATCATGGAGGTCTTGACATAGCACCTTCTCTCACCAGTTTTCTGTCATATATTTACTTTTGCAGAAAAATTAGTTTGCGTGTATGTTGTTGACTCATTCATATTGATCATGCAGTGACATCACTTTTAATCAGTGACATTTTCATTCTCAAGTGTCCATTTTGCCGCCGTATTGCCAAATGTTAACACACAACCGTGATCCATCCTGCTTGCAGTTCATTAAAGATTTTTATGCTTTTCTGAACCCCGGATGACTTGTATGGTTCACACACTGATGCATTTTACATCTCTGGCAGAGGCAACAACAACAGTTGCCTTTTGGGATAAATTGAAGAAGAATCAGTAGTTAGAATGAGCAGGGATATGTAGGTGCAGCGGTTCAACAGACAGAGACTTACAATGTGGTATGTCCAAAATTCATAATGTATCCCAAGAAGAAAAAGAAATGACCTAAAAGACAAGTGTTGAAGTTGCTGTCAGAGTTCATGTAAATTTGTCATGACTGAAAACATTAGATAAATGTAACTGGATGCGGTGAAGCTCGTGCATTAACACTGTATTTTTAGATATTCTTCCAAGATGTGTGTGAGGCACGGCATGATACATGCTGCATTTTGTGCCATGTTTTGTGGTACAGAATATTTTACAGTATATGAGCAAAATGCATCTTGGGATGCCATAGAATAGATTTAGCCATGAAATGAAGAAATGAATGGGAAACGGAATGATTATAGTATAATTAACATGGAACTCACCTTGTCCATGTTTGCTTTCTTACGCACTTCACTGTGCTTACCTTACATTTCTTGGTGTGTCCCCACTACCAACTGTTGATCAGCTGAACGATGTACAACCAAACTCAGGACTGGGAATCGCTTCACACGTGCGTCTTGGTGTGAGTGCACACCTAATCCTAAAAACATACCTCCAAAAAGCTACTGGTCAAAAACTTGAGAGATGACCTTTAAATGAAAACAAAAGACCAACTGAATAAATGCATTGTTCTGTGAAACATGTGACAGCCTGATTTTCAAACATATATATATATCCCCAGCTCTTGACATTTGTCCATTGTATCACCTTAAGCAGGGAGTTTAGACGATTTAACATTACCATTGATATGAGTTCTTGTAAAACGTTGATTGGGGCTGAAGACTGCGAGTTTGAAAATAAATTTTAAGAAATCTGGGCGTGTGGAGTTAAAAAGAAGTGAGCTTACCAGACCTCTGTAGCCCCCTCTGTGTCTCTGATTGAGGTTGGCAGCAAAATACTGCACCTGAACTACATCTAGTAGTGACCATAAAATGTACACTACTTTTTATTAAAATGCCACCATACCATGCTTCACCTTTGATACATGTGAAAATTGCAGTCATGAGACACTACACCTGCCAGTGATCGGGAAAAATATGATCACGTCCAAAATGAGCGAGGGTGGGGGGGGGGGGGTTTTATCTTTTCAGGAAGGCAAGCAGAATTACAGATTTTAGTGCAGCAAAGGCTGGTTAGGACGGACCTCAGCTCTCTACTGGATACGACTCATCAGCTTTGTCAAACTTTGCTCCCCCACCAGTCCACTTCCTACCTCACACATCATCATTCGCACTTGGGCAGCAGATGGTTGTAATGTCTTGTTGTAGTTTTGTCACGAAGCCAGCTTCTCTCATCCTTCACTTTAGGTGGAGATGTTTTCAACATGATTTTACCTCCAGCTCTATCATGAGTAGTTTTAAGCTCCAACTTGTTCCAGGTGATAGAAACCATCTTTTTTGTCCTGCTCATTACATTTTCGGGTTGTCCGTCCGTCCGTCCGTCCGGCGTACGTATGTATGTCCTATTCTCGTGAACGCGATATCTCAGTAACGCCTTGACGGGAATTTTCATCAAATAAGGCACAAATGTCCACTTGAACTCAAGGATGAATTGATTACATTTGGGTGGTCAAAGGTCAAAGCTCCGCGTCACAGTTGATTTCACAAAACACTGCTTTGGCCTTTGAAAACGCCTCTTTGTTTGACCCCGTCTCTTCTCTCCACACACAGAATCAGCTGCAGCATGACGGAATCAACCACACCTCCTCGGGCTTTAACAGTGAGTTCTGCTCTATTTATCATCTCAAAATGTGTGTGTATTTGTGCATGTTTGTGTTTGGTAGTTAGCAGCAATAACAGGGACTCACACTGTGCTTAATTTTTCCCTCACAGACTTGGAGTGTAAGACAGAGGTTGGCGTGTCATCCTGCCTGCTCACACCCACTGCTTCCCCGAGAGACTCCGGCCTGCCTGAAGAGCGAGGGATAAATGGACTTAGCAGTGGAGGGTGAGTACAGCAGACATAATGGAGACAAACAGATTCATAGGGCTGATATAGTGTCTGCTCCTCCCTTGCTTGTTGTTTTTAAGTCAATTTTTTTTTACTGTAAACAAGTCCAATCTTTTAAGTGAACTAGAAAACCGATGAAAACATGACATGAAGTACGGAGGCAGCTTTAGATTGTTTTTAACGTGAAGCAGATGTTCAATGCCTGATAAGAAATCACAAACAAACAATATCTTTTGTGTTTTTTGGTTGGTGGATCACAGCAGGATATTATTAAATATATAATCAACATTTAGAATATTAGTTAAGTAAAGGTAAATATAAGTTGGATATTATTTACAGTTCATTTAAATTCTTAGTAATACTGCATTCAGCCTTGCAGCCCACTCACTGCGGTCCTGTGAGGTTTAGCATGTAACATTGTTACATCTGTCTCAAGTTATTTGACTGATTAAAATAGACATAAATATTTGGTTGTAAGTCTTTTGCAGTTAGTGACTGGCTGAAGTTTATGACCCACTGACATCAGTAGATGCCTGGTAGATTCCTTGGAGATGCTCTGCCTGGCCTGTAGTACAGACTTGTTTTGGCGGGATTTTCAGACCTTAGATCTTAGTCTTCAGCAAATAAAACATGTGTTCAGTTTAGCTCAGATCAGGTGACCGACCAGTTTGTATATTCACTCATTGTCCTGCTGTATTGTTGTACATTTTTTTAGGACTATGTGGCTAAGGGCTATGAGTGTAAATAATCAAAGTAAGGCTGAAAGTTGGTACTTAGCCTCATAGTCACTGTTTAATGTTAACGTCATTGTGCTGAAGTACCGAGCCGAGGACAGAAATACTGTGGTCTGGCCCTGTGAAGTTAATTTCCATCTCAACAGCCAGTAAATCGTCATCGGGCATTGCATGTTTTCTCCATATCATGTAGTCAAAGATAACCCTTGCCCTGATTGTATTACCACCTTAAAATAGAGTGAAACAACATCTGTTTCATTCAACATTAAATAGAATGCAATATTTGATACTCCTGTTTACACTAACAGTGAAACTGAGAAATCTCAAGATCAAGGTTCAATCTATTCAACCGCAAAAACATAGAAATCCCAGTGATCCCATCCCCATCAATCTACAGTACTGAGTACTGTGTTTCCCAAAACCTAGAAAATTCACATCATAATTCACATGAAATAAAATCATAAATAAAAATACAAACTACATAGCTGTCTGAGCTTACTATTTCAACATCTGCAGGTTTTGTAATGGCTCCATTGGCCAACTTTCCTCTTCCTCATATTTCTAGGTTTATGAAGTCTGAGGGGGCCAGTGGGAGCCCAGTGGACTGGACAGTGTCTGATGTGGTCAGTTATTTCACAGCAGCAGGTTTCCCTGAGCAGGCTGCTGCCTTCAGGACCCAGGTGAGACTGTAATCTACAATAATAACCACAAGAGGGCAGCACAGACAGGATTAAAAGCTGTACTTTAAACAGTTTAACCTTTAACCCACATCTACCTACCCACATTGCTTTGCTCTCTTCATTAGGAAATCGATGGCAAGTCTCTTCTCCTCATGCAGCGTAATGATGTTTTGACTGGCCTGTCAATCAGGCTCGGCCCCGCCCTCAAGATCTATGAGCGTCATGTAAAGGTTCTGCAGAAAACACACTTTGAGGATGACGACTGCTAACAACACACAAAGACACACAGAGACTGCTATGTTTGTAACTACATGTAACTCAAAGTAATCATATAAAAATGCATGCATGATATACAGGACACTTTACTTTTCATCTCATGTAAAACAACACAGACACACACACACACACACACACACACACACACACACACACACACACACACACACACACACACACACACACACACACACACACACCTGTGTTTCTGTCCCTCCTAGCCCTCTACAACTGCTCTGGTCCATAAATGACACACAGAAACAACGGATTTCCTGGACTCCAAGGATTTTCTGCCAAACAGAGCACAATTGTTGGAGGGAGAAAGCAGACTTAAAATTTTAAGATGCAGAGCTTTAAAATGCAATGCAATTTCTCTTTTTTTATTTACAATGATCAAGCACTTTGCAATTTCTTCATTAAACTGTGCAAGATGTCTTTAAACTGTTATTTCATGCTGACCTTTATGCACATTTTGAAATTGGTCGTGGTTATTTTGTGTGGAAGTAAATTTCGGTTTGTTTTTTTTTGGGACTGGGATGCAGAGGTTTCTTGCTGTGGGTGCGTGTTTCGATATATACATAGACAGAGCATGATGGATTGAACAGTAACACTTTAGAAGTTGACCGGATCTGATACATTCCCAGGAACTGGAGTGGATGGTTGGGATTCTGTTTAACTTCTGCTGACCCATCATAGTAGCCCTTTACTTGAAGATAAAATGCTCCAGGCTTCACGACCTTTCACAAACGGTGGTTGGTCAAAGCAATAAGCTGATAATTCCCCCTAGATGTTTGAGAGGTTGTCGGATCTTGTCAGCTCGTAGATCAGCAGGTGGTTGATTTTGTGTCGCTTAATTTAGGACATAGACATGCTCATAATATTTTCAAATATGAACTAGCCATGATCTGCTCCGACCTACGCCTCACCAGATCAGGGTCCGGTTTCACAAAGACAGACTTTGACTGTGGCTTAGACTTCATGTGCTCCTAAATTTATCTCTTGCACAAAGCTGTCCAGTTCTTGACTATCTTAAGTAGACCTAATTTGCTATGAACTGTGGGTAAATTACAACTTGTTTTTTTTTTTCAAACTAACACATGGCTGACTGAGCAACCACATCCAATCGCTCAGCTCCGTTCCCTTCAGCAGAAGGGAAGAATTCAATGATCACAAGAATATGGGAAAATACAGAGATCAGTGTAACAATACAAGAACCGCTGTTAGAATAAAATGTCAGTGCAGCGCAGACCTGTAGCAGAGCTGAGATGCTGTGTCTTCTTAACGCGGCAGGACTATGGACTTCTGCTAACTTGTCGGTCAGGATCAGGTTTGAGCACCAGCTCTTCATAAATCCATTGTTTTGAACTTGAAGTCTTTCCTAAGTTTCCCCTAATTTCTTACTACTTAGGTATTACTTAGGTAGTTTACTAAATCGAGTGGCACCATTAAAAGTTAAGAAAGGTCTTAGCTAGTTAAGACCTTAGTAATGTGTAAATTAGTTGCTAGGAGACTGAAACAGAAACTGTTGCTGTAGCACTGTCCAATCAAGAACAATGAACTATGTAAACAGGAAGTCACTGGAGGATTATATGATTGCACAATTGGTAAAAATTACAGTTTTAATTACTTGGAGAAATATGTATTTCAGAGTAAGTAGTCCTCATACAGTTTAGACTGAGGGGGAAATATCTGATTATGCTAAACTAACTGTTATTTACTCATATAATAGCATTTTCATAATTTGACATATGTTGTGTTATTTTTTGTGAAATGTTATTTAAATCTTGGCATTTACATTGTTATTGAAGAGCACTGATGATGTTTCAGGGCAGATTTGACGACCATATTTCATTTTATCTCTAATTTTTACACCAAATGGATCGTATTTAGCAAGCAAGCTTTGTCGCCGCAGTTAGCTACACAACAGTTTGTGATAATCTCTATGTAAGCAGTAGTTCAAGAGGTGCAACCCACATTAGACTCATCGAAGAGCAAAATTAAGACGGAATGACACCACAGACCAGTCTAAAATATCTTTGTGAAACCGGCTCCAGCTGCAGAAATGTTGATCAAACGCACCAGCTAACTCAAATGAAATCAGCAGAACAATCAAATCTAAACTATATATAGTAAAATTAATGTGTAAATATATTGAAACATATTCCATTAAATACATTAGCCATTTGTAAATTATTGGAATAACTTTATCTAACTGAAAGATGTTATTGCAGGGTAAAGCTGAGTCAGTCAATCAAACAAATCTCATACCACCAGCATTTTTGAAGTGTTTTTACTGGTCAAACCTTAAACCAAATGCTGTCAAACTGTCACACAACTCATTCCTACCTGCACTGTAACAGCATACATTCCTGGTTTTGCGTCACAAAATAACATTTTTTTTGTTATATTTTTTGTCTGTTTTCAGCATATTGGTTTCATTTTGTGAATGTTTTCGGTCCATTCTCCACACACCAACCTTTAAATCAGCATTTCTTTGTGCATTCAAACCTCCTCTACCCCCCACCCCCCTTTTACTTTCACTTTCTTTTTCGCAGAACACATTACAGTTGGTGAAAGGTGTATGTTACAGTGTTTGTTGCCACCGTTCACATCACGTCATTCTCATTTGTTAAAATCTGTAGGAGAGGACAGCTGTGTTCGAGTCTCACAAGGGGATGTACAGTACGCCCTTGTTGCTTGTCTCCTGTTATCTCCTGCTGTAAGGACAGTTTTAGTAATAAAAGTTTAAATGAAAACACCACAGTGTGTGAATGCTCAGTTGTTGCAGTTCTTCTTTGCATGTTGTGAAAGTGTATACTACGCCTGTGTGTGTTTGTGCTTATGTGAGGGCTGTGTGCATATGTGTGTTGCAGACATAAACCTGCATATGTATGTTTGTGTGTGTGTGTGTGTGTGTGTGTGTGTGTGTGTGTGTGTGTGTGTGTGTGTGTGAGGGAGGGAATCCACCAGCGGTTTAAAGCAGTTGGGTCGCAACAGCAGCTCCCTTCAGTCACAATGACAAGTGTCGAAGGGGGAAAGACCATGCAAGGACTTATCCAGAAAATGACTGTAAGACTGTATGACTGTAAGTCTGCTGTTTTGGAAAATAGGCTCCATGCAGCATTTATTTTGACCCATAAATATTTCACACCAAGTCGGGAAGTGTTTGCCAAGATCAGCTAGGTACTTGTGCTTGCATTTGCTGGTTAGGAGCAGAGGGAGGAGGGAATAACATGCTATATCTGTCCTGGGACGGTCTCCAAGGTAAGTGTTTGCCTGGGATCTCTGTGTGCGTGTGAGAATGAAAGTGTGTGTGTGCACATGATGGGGTTACAAATAAGACAGGGAAGCATATTAATATCTCCACTGATAAACAGACAGGCTGCAGCTCTCACAAACATGGTGGTTCAAGGCAACAAAGGGAAAAGAAAACACTGAGACTCTCTGCTGAGAACGTCTGGGCCTTCGGGAAGACCAAAACCACACCAGGGCAAATCAGATCAGGTTGAACCTGAAACCTTTGGCACTGATCAGAACAGAAATCAGTTCATACAAGATCAGCTCCCCGAATATACCACAGTAAACAACTAAAGAAAGCAGTGAGGGAGTGAACCTTGAGTGTGAAAAATTGAAGATTGAAATTTGACGAGACAAAGGACAGCAGTCATGCCAGGCTCAGGAGGAGCAGAGTGAGTGAGACAGCTGCATATGTACAGTATGTGTGGGCGACTGATGCATATTTGAACATGTTATACTTTATTACTGTAGTATTGACATATGTTATCCAGAGCATATTTGTGTCATGTAACTGGTGTTACTGCATGTGGAATTATTATATATTATTTAAAAAAAAAAAGATTGGAAACATATGTTGGCATGTATTTTACATTAAACTTAAAACTACTGATTAATTAATAAGGAATTTCCACATATCTGTACACTCATATAGTTGCTATGTGCAGAGCAAAAGAGAGTCTAAATACAGCTCAGTGTCACATGAGGAAACTAGAGCTACGAGTGCAGCGCTTGTATGTGAGAGAGTCTTAATGTGCCTCTTGTTTGGAAGCCCAAAGGGAGAAGATTTCTCCACTGCCATCCTGAAGCAGAAACACAGACCAAACAGACTCATTGTGGATGAAGTTCTCAGTGAGGACAGCAGCATTGTCAGCTTGTCACAGGTGTGTGTGAAGTGTAAATATACACCAAAGGCAAGCATGTATTTGGTCTTAGACTTGTGCATTTTCCCCACCAGAATAAGACAGAGGAGCTGCAGCTCTTCAGGGGGGACACAGTGGTGTTGAGAGGGCGGAAACAACGTCAGACGGTGTGTATCGTCCTGACTGATGACACCTGTGGAGATGAACGGATCCGGTTGAATCGTGTGACGCGCAGCAACCTGCGTGTCCGGCTTGGTGATGTCATCAGGTAGCTCTCGCACCTGATTAAGATGTGGGGTTTGAGAACACCATATGAAATGATCGGGAGTAATCCATGGTCACCTGCTGATGTGTGTGTGTGTGTGTGTGTGTGTTATCACAGTATCCATGCCTGCCCTGATATCAAGTATGGCAAAAAGATCCATGTTCTCCCAATAGATGATACCATTGAGGGCCTGACAGGGAGCCTCTTTGAGGTTTTCCTCAAACCGTACTTTCTGGAGGCTTACCGGCCCGTACACAAAGGTACCGCAACACCTCTGATTCTTCTTCTATTAAAGAGCTCTGTTCATAACATGGCAACCATGTCATCACAGCAACAGCAGCCTGAACTCATTCAAACGCTCCTGTATGTAGTTACTTGTCATCTGTGCTGTCAGGTGACATCTTCCTGGTGAGGGGGAGCATGCGGGCGGTGGAGTTCAAGGTGGTGGAGACAGACCCCAGCCCCCACTGCATCGTTGCCCCAGACACTGTCATATACTGTGAGGGAGAACCAATCAAAAGAGAGGTCTGTGAGAGATTTATGAGCCTGCGGTTTGCGATGTATCAGTGTGTATTAACATTCAGTGGCCACTTGGCAGAAGGACCAGGAAGAATTCTCTTTTACTGCCACATCATCTTCATTGAAGCATCAATACAAAACATTTTACACAATTTTGTGTAATACTAGCAGGAAAATGAAGTATGGTATCAGCAAGGCTGCAGCAAGGAAAACAATGCCATCAATTTGAACAAGGAGCTTTGTCCAAGGATTTGTTCGTTTATTGTTTGTTGTTTATCATCAGACAAAAAACTAATTTTTCACTTGAATTCAGGCACTTCTTCCTCATCCATAGTACAGTGTATAATGTAGGCTTTTCAGTATGCATCTCAATTTTACAGTACACTTATTTTTGTCATTTCTCTAGTGTAACTCTATATATTGAAAATGAAGTTGGAATGGTTTATAATAGAATAGTTTGTTTACAGCCTTGGTAGCATGACTCGGGTCATGTCCAACTATTTTTGTACGTTTTAGAAAGAAGCACACCCACTTCATGCAGCAATACTCCAGGTGTGTGGAGGGTAGATTGTAGGCTGATTTTGGACCCATGCTACTTTTTAACAAATCCTGTTTACAATCAAATTTCTCACTTTTTCAGCTTGTCAATGCCATCGAGGCAAGATTGTTAAGAAAAAATGACCACTGATATTCCCATTTTGAATGATGATCTCTCTCTATGGTTGGCTTTTCACTCTGCGCTTCGAGTGTGGCTGTTCAGAACAACTATGGACACTTTTCCCCTCAGCTGTGGCCAGACAACACGACATGTAAACTATGTTGTTTTCTTTTCAAGTGTATCCCGGCCTTTACTCTACAATAAGAATGCTGCAAAAACTTTATCAAAGTTTCATGTACCCTGATTAGCATAAGTAACCTGTCAAATCATATTAATGACAGAGAGTCCACCTCATCTGAGTCCTCCATTCTGCCCTGTGACAGGACGAGGAGGAGAGCCTCAATGACATCGGCTACGACGACATTGGAGGCTGTCGGAAGCAGCTGGCACAAATCAAAGAGATGGTGGAACTTCCTCTCAGGCACCCGGGTCTTTTCAAGGCTATAGGGGTTAAGGTGTCATACACACACACACACACACACACAAACCCCGACCCCATCCACCCATAAATCAGCTTCTTCCCTTTCTAACATTAGACATTTCTCTTTTCACGACTGAGTGTGTTTGTCACTCCCCTCTGTCAGCCTCCCAGAGGCATCCTGCTGTATGGTCCTGCAGGCACAGGGAAGACCCTGGTGGCCCGAGCTGTAGCCAACGAAACTGGTGCCTTCTTCTTCCTCATCAATGGTGAGGCTTTCTTCACAGTGACACAGTGAGACCATCTGTAGAAAGGGAAAGATGGAGAAATGAGCTGCTCTGGCGAAGTGAATTTTTTTCAAAATAAAGTATGCAGAATTACTAGTCTTATTGGAAATTGTAATTTACTTATTGTTTTTCCTATAAATGGCTCTGTGTTGGAGAAAATGTGTCTTACCTGTTGTGCATTGTTCTGTCACAAGGTCCTGAGATCATGAGTAAGCTGGCGGGAGAGTCAGAGAGTAACCTAAGAAAGGCGTTTGAGGAGGCAGAGAAAAATGCTCCAGCCATCATCTTTATTGATGAGCTGGATGCCATCGCTCCCAAGAGAGAGAAGGTAAACAACAAGGGATGAGTTAAGAAGAACTCTGTGTCACATCTGGACAATCAAGTGCTAGTTATGCTTGTTTCATTTCTCTGAAATCAGGCAAGTAAAGGAAAAAAAAGTGTTGAAATTTGTGTGCGCGCGCGCGTGTGTGTGTGTGTGTGTGTGTGTGTGTGTGTGTGTGTGTGTGTGTGTGTGTGTGCGTGTGTGTAGACCCACGGTGAAGTGGAGAGGCGTATAGTGTCCCAGCTCCTGACCCTGATGGATGGCCTAAAGCAAAGAGCTCATGTGGTTGTCATGGCAGCAACAAACCGACCTAACAGCGTGGACCCCGCTTTGAGACGTTTTGGTCAGGACAGACACAGCTCCACACACACACACACAGAGAGAGAGAGAGAGAGAGAAAGAGAGAGAGAGAGAGAACCAAACAAACATTTACTAATATGGTGATATCTCTCTCCAGGCAGGTTCGACCGAGAGATTGACATTGGAATCCCAGATTCGACTGGCAGACTGGAGATCCTGCAGATCCACACCAAAAACATGAAGCTGGCTGACGGCGTCGACCTGGAGAGGGTGAGAGAGCGCGGCAGCCCAGGCCAACACACACAAAAAACACTGATCAAATTGGAAATTAAAGCTTAAAGAAACATAGTTGATTGACAAACTCTTAATAATAATAATCAGCTAACTTTTTTAAGTCACCCTTTCAAGCAAAAATGCCAAACATTACATTGTTCCACCTTCTTAATTCTTTGCTTCTTTGCTGCTTTTGTTGGTGTCATGTCATGGATTTAAGACTGTTGTCAGTGAGGTGTTATCTAATATTCTCATGTTACAGAACATGAACATTTGGCATCAGACTCTTATTTAATGACAATTTTCCACTTCATCCATATGAGAAGATGATTTTACTTGCTGTGAGGAGAGTAAAGATTTATTTTGCATGAGATACTCACAACACCTTTAATTACATTGACAAAAGTCCTCTGGATTTCTGTAACCTTTACCTTGACAGTAAGCATTATAATGTAACTTAGAGAAAATAAAACTTGTTGAGAAAAGGAAAGATGGGGATTGAGACTTCTGTTTGGCATAAATATGAGAATCTGATCAATAAATATTCAAGTTCACATGAATGTCTACCAGTGACAGATTCAGTTGACCCATCTAAATGTGTCAGCGTCTAATTTCAGTGTTAGGGTTGAAAAAAAAAAAAGGAGCTTTAAACTAAGATGCTATACATTCAGCAAATACACCGCTGTCTGCTGGCATCAATCTTTATATGGATGTGTGCCCCTGAGCAATTCAACATATTTCAGATCGCCACAGAGACCCACGGCCATGTAGGCGCTGACCTGGCTGCTCTTTGCTCAGAAGCTGCTCTGCAAGCCATCCGCAAGAAGATGACCCTCATAGACCTGGAGGACGAAACTATTGATGCTGACCTGCTCAACTCATTGGCTGTCACCATGGATGACTTCCAAGTACACACACACACACACACACATACATACACAATCCTGTTTGTATATAGAAATTCCCTAAAAGAACAGATGTACAGCTTGTTATTTGTAACCTCACAATAAAAGCCAGACATGAATGCTTGTTAATGAATGAGTAAACAAAGTGAGATTCTTCTCCTTTCCTTCCATCAGTGGGCGCTGAGTCAGAGCAACCCATCAGCTCTGAGAGAGACCGTTGCAGAGGTGCCTCAGGTCAGCTGGGAGGACATCGGAGGACTGGACGAGGTCAAGAAAGAACTGCAAGAGCTTGTTCAGGTGGAAGAAACACACACACTCATGCCAGCAGACACAGTTTATACCAACAAACACAAGCCCATCAATAATCCATCGATCTTCATCTTGCTCTCCTCAGTACCCCGTCGAGTATCCGGAAAAGTTCCTGAAGTTTGGGATGACCCCGTCTCGTGGAGTGTTGTTCTACGGCCCTCCAGGCTGTGGGAAAACCCTTCTGGCTAAGGCCATTGCCAATGAGTGCCAGGCAAACTTTGTCTCCATCAAAGGACCTGAGATGCTCACCATGTGGTTTGGAGAATCAGAGGCCAATGTCAGAGATGTCTTTGATAAGGTGAGAGCAGGGTAAGGAGTGAAATAATAATAATAATAATATATCCTCTTAATAATATAATATATCCTAAAAATGTCAATTAAACTAATGTGCATGTCTTTGGACTGCAGGAGGTAGCCAGAGCAGAGTGAACCCATGTAGTCATAGAGAGAACATGCAAAGTCCACACAGAAAGGCCCCATGCCTGGGATTCAAACCCACAACCTTGTTAGCTTGAGGAAACGGTTCTAACCACTGTACAACCGTGTTACCCTATCACAAAGTCATACAAACATCATACTATAGTGAGGCATAAAAATAAAAAATAAAAACATCATAGGTATGGGGAGGAACGGACACTGATTTGGATTGGATCCTGATTGAACAGGAACACACCTCTCCTTTTAAAACCTATTGAGGCTCTTGCACAGTCGTTATTAAAGGAGAAAAATGATATTGTGAATCCCATTCTGTCGCATTCAAAGACAGTGTGGCAGGAAGTACTTAAAAAATGTGTGATTTCACATTATACTCAGAAATATGCATCTATATGGAAGAGGACAGTTTTGTTTCTTATAGCAGAATGAGGGGAAAATTCAATGTGGAAGGGCAGGGCCACTTTTGGAAATATTCACACATAGACACTGTATTAAAGGGAAGGTTGATTTCTATCAAGATAGAAATCCAATAGAGTGCTATGTACAGCTACCACCAACATAAAACATCTAAATGGTATGAGATATGTCCCTTGCTAAATAATAACTAGCATAATAATCTTAGGATGATATGGGAAAAAGACCTGGAAGGTACATTTGATGGAAATTGGGAGAGGATTCTTTCCAACACTGGGGAATATGTCTGCTTCAATATGAGAAGCAGGAGGCAAATTTATTCAATATAAAATACTTCACAGATATTATTAAACCCCAACAAGACTCAAGAGAATGGACCTTAAACATCATAGTATATCATAGTATGCATAAAAATCTCAAAAAAAGTCATAATATAGTAAGGCCTAAAAAACTGTCATAGTATAATATGTCAAAAAGCGTCATAGTATACTAACACATGAAAATATCCTAATGACTTTGGATTGCAGAACCCATGTAGGGAGAACAGGAAAACTCCACACAGAAAGGCCCCACACCCGAGATTCAAACCCATAACTTTGTAGGTTTGAGGAAACACTTTTAACCGCTGTACCACCATGTTACAACTCAACTTACTCTAGATATTGAAGTGTGACTCACCGCACACAACGAGTGCACTGGATACAGCGTACCCCCATAACAAAATCATTGTAAAGTAAGACATAAAAATGTTAAAAAAAAAAAGTCATAATATAGTAAGTCATAAAAACATAATATAGTAATCCATAGGCATAAAAACGTCAAAAATGCCATAGTATAGTAAGGCATGATAATGAATAATGAAAATGGTTTAGCCTTTGAAATAAATGAATAGCCTATTAAAACTACCAAACAGTTTCCAAGCCAAATGCAGTAGCATTATCAACACTACTACTAGCATCTATTTGTTGCTCTGCTTGAGCAGAACTGCTCGAGAGCCCAAACAATGTAATTATATTTGGTGCCTAAAGGTGCTAGAATGGAGGCAGTCCTAGTGCTAAAATATATCGTGGGGCATGTCAAGCGCTCTTGGGGGCCCCCTTGTGGCCATGGGAGCCCTAAGCAGCCGCTTAGTTTGCATATCCCTTGGGTCGGCCTTGACAGTAACCCTTCTGACCTCCTGGCCTCTTCTCTGCCCACAGGCCAGACAGGCAGCCCCCTGCATCTTGTTTTTCGATGAGTTAGACTCCATTGCCAAATCCAGAGGAGGCAGCGCTGGTGATGCAGGTGGTGCAGCCGACAGAGTCATCAACCAGATACTCACAGAGATGGATGGCATGTCCGACAAAAAGAACGTTTTCATCATTGGCGCCACAAACAGGTGCGTGCATGTGGATGCCCCCCCCCCCCCCCCCCAATGTCTGCATTTTTACCCGTTTACTTAATTCTCATTTTGGTCACACCAGACCTGACATCATAGACTCAGCCATCCTGCGGCCGGGCCGTTTGGACCAGCTCATCTACATCCCGCTCCCGGACAAACCATCTCGCACCTCCATCCTAAACGCCAACCTACGGAAATCTCCTGTTGCACGAGTTAGTTACACACTCATACAAAGACAAATTTTTTTGTACAGTAACTTCCTCATTTACATAAGAGTCGATAGAAGAAATAGTAACTTAAGCTGATAAATGTGGGAAAAAATATCATGTCTTACTTTAAGGAAATAATAAAACTACAAAGCATTTGGTTACTATAACCCAAGTTCTCTGAGAAAAGAACTTTGCATGAGTAAATAGATTCTTATTTTACCCTTTGGATAAAAAGTTTTGAAACTGGGGAGCAAACACATACACAAAGAATAGTATTTCTAGATTTAGTATTTTCACAACACATCAGTTTCTCTATCTCTCTTTCCTTCTGCACCTGCTTTCTCTCCCCCCTGTAGGATGTGGATCTGGAGTACCTGTCTGACATCACAGAGGGTTTCTCTGGAGCTGACCTGACAGAGATCTGCCAGCGGGCTTGTAAGCTCGCCATCCGTGAGGCCATCGAGGCTGAGATCAAGGCTGAGCGTCAGAGGCAGAACAGACCAGGCATCCCCATGGTCAGACTGTCAAGCTACTACTGCTGCTACACTGCATAATTACTTATTTACGCCATATTTACTGTATTAACCAAGGGATTGCTAATGCGCCCTCTCTGACATTAATAAACACACACACATGCTCCACTCGTCAAATCAGTGCCAGGCTATGTGTGCTCGGTACAGAAAGACTGTGGAAGATAAAAAGTTCCCTAAAGGGCGGCTGTGTGTTTTGTAACATTCAGCCTTTGGACTGGGAACACACATGAACACACACACACACAGTGCATATTGTTTCCTACTGTAGTCCTCATGATGTTTCTATCTGTGTTCAGGATGAGGACTTTGATCCAGTCCCTGAGATCAGAAAGGACCACTTTGAGGAGGCAATGCGATTTGCCCGTCGCTCTGTCAGTGACAATGACATCCGCAAATATGAGATGTTTGCTCAAACTCTGCAGCAGAGCCGAGGTTTCGGAAACTTCAGGTACACCCACACCCACACCCACACCCACACATAACAAACATATACATATACATATAAATGTACAGTACATTCATGTGTCACAACAGAAAATGTACTAATGGACCTTGTTTTAATTTACTCCTTATTCCTTTCTCCACCTATAGGTTCCCTTCTGCTACTGGGGCACGGTCTGGAGGTCAGGGGTCTGGCCCCGGGTCAGGAAGGCCAAATCTGTACAGAGAAGAAGGCAATGATGACCTCTATCAGTGAAGAAACTCATAGAGCGGCACAGTGTTTTCCTCTCTCACTACTCTGCTTGGCTTCCTTGAGTGGAGGGACACAGATAAATAAAAGAGGTGGAAATGGCAAGAAGAAAAAAAAAAGGAAACAGCAACACAAAAAGAAATATAATAATAATAATAAATAAATAAATAAATAAATGCATAATAACATGAATTGAATAATACAGCAAATAAATTCTGCTATAATTTTGAGTTTCAAAGTAAAAACCAATACACTTGGCACTGAGATAAAACAATAAATATGTCAACCATAATAACATAAATGCTTTGGGTTACCACACATTGTAATCTGTTAGCAAACTGAAAATTATGTAAGTTGTGTGTATGTGTGAGTTTGATATGCGATAAATAAATTTATTTGTATAGCTTTATGATCACTCCTACGGGGTTTGTTTTGAAATCATGGAATATATGTTGTTTTTGCACACGTATCATTTACGAGTGCAGTTTAAAGTACTGTGAAACGACACTGAGGGTGGATATGATAGTTTCCATTTAGCTGCTTCAGTTTCAGGATCCTGGTATTGCTGCCTCACTGTCACACTTTCATTGCATATTGGGACTCTTGAATAGAAACCATTGTTAATGTTTTTAGTAAAACCCTTTTCCTGCCATGACAAGTCAAAATGTCTGCTGTTAAAAAGGCCTGTTTGAGAAACACAAATGTATTTAGGGATATGCACCATGTACACATAATATTAACTGAAATGATTAAGTCAGATCCTCAACACTGATCCACATGAAACGGTTCATGGAAATTACACAAAAACTTTTTTCCCACATATCCCTTTTGGTTTTAGTAATGTAGATAGTCTCTGTTTTATTTGCCAATGGTAGGTTGTATATAATGCATCCCAATGCAATAAATTGAACTTTAAGGCTCAGATTATATTTGAACATTTTAAAAGCAATTTGTATTTCTGAAAAGTCTGGGGTTCTTTCAACATATAACTCTAGAAAATGTTCAAGTTTCTTTACCTCCCAATGACACAGACTGAATCTGAAGCCTCCCGTGTAGTTGTCCAACACAGCCTGTCTTGAAAAAATAATGAATAATGAATATAGCTGAATCGGAACTGTTGTCATTATCATTATTATTGAACACTAAATTGGTTGAAATGACACAGAAACCTGCCAGCGGAACCTTTGTTATTTGTCCAGAGGGAAGGTGTTCCCCTGAAGCACCGTTCGACTGTTTATTTCCGGCAAGAGGCGGAAGTAGAAGCAAGGGGCTTGTGGAGGTGACCGAATGGCAGATAGCAGAAAACCTTTGGAAACATTAGATTAGCACTCAAGGTGAACATATTATTTTCAGCTAACTGTGTATAAACGTCGTCGGTGCCAATGGGAGCTCACCTGGCCAGACGGTATATTACCGAGACGGACACCGAGCCGGACCCTTCGAAGAAGTATGAGTTCGACCCGCAGATGGGCTTCGCAGAGCGGAAAGAGAGAGGTCTGTCCGCAGTGTCCAGTTCACATCTACCTTGCATCTTACAATGTGTTTATTGCAAATTGGTTTGTAGTTAACGTCCGCATTAGCCATGCTAGATTAGCTCGTCAAACGTTAGCCGAGCTAGCTTTATGCTAATTAGCAGCTAACTGGGGTTAGAGGAGAGCCGCTGTCAACCTGTGGCCAACCCGCTCTGCATATTTACCTTTAACTGTTTATTTCAGCCATTGGATCCGACACAATCTTGTAAATGCAAAATATTCGTAGAGTAACATCTAAATGATATTGTTATTGGCTAGCTGAAGCTGCATTTTGACTGCCAGTTATCTATATTTTTACTGCAGCTCCCCAAGATATGCGAGAACGTGTTCCTGTAACAAGATATTTTCCTCAAGTCATAAGCTAATCATTGTATTTTAGTGTGACAACGTTCAACTGACATTCTCAGTTATTTCAGAGGACATTTAAGGTGAAATCTGACTAATAATTATGTAATGTTTCCCCAACACATTCTGTTGCAGTTTTCACACTAAAACATAAGTCCAACATTGCATTTATAGATACGTGCTAATGCAAAAGGTTACAGCCACTCTGCAATGTATTTTTTCATTCATTTTTTAATATTTAATTTCTTTCTTCAATTGTGTCAACCAGACATAATTCAAATCTGAACACCTAAGAGAAATTAAGACATTGTCTGGAGACAAATCCTGTAGCAGTACACTAACCAGTTAACTACTTACCTTAGACTTTTACAGAACCCGTAGTGATTTTATAGGAGTTTGCACATGTTCTGATTCTGATGTAAAGCCTCAAATAAATGATTTAATTTAATATCTCTGGGGAGTCACTTCAAAAATGTAGGGTTCAAACGAAATAATTGACCATTTACAATTCAGCTTCGTTATGTTGCTTATAAAGGGTTTTTATTGGGTCAGTAAAGCCAATCTCAGTGGCACTGTGCCTCTCTAAATTAGTATAGATCATGAAGACTATATCACTACCTGGACAGGATTTAAACAAACACACACAGTTTTCAGTGAATCCGTAAGACTCATAACCATCCAAATCATATCACGTACTTGTACATTGAAAGATGGCTGAAAATGTTTTTCTGTTTGCCAGAGATGATAGCGAGCCAGGAGCAGATGAACTTGGCCCAGCTGCCTGTGGAGCAGAGGGACTACTGTGCCCATCATCTCCTAAAACTCATGAAGTGTAAGAGGGACAACTGGCCCAACTTCCTGGCCTGCAAGCACGAGAGACATGACTGGGATTACTGTGAACACCAGGAGTAAGTGTTTACACCAGAGACATATTTTTAGGTTTAATAGGATTGACTCTCCTAGACATTTATTTGTCATTCTAACTAAATAAAAAAAAAAAAAAAAAAAAAAAAAAAAAAATTGAAATGAAATCTACTGGCCAAGCCAAAATATTCGTATAACTAAATCTAATATGTCTTCAAGACTGACAACACTCTTATCACTAGGTCCACTTAGTAGCTGTTCTGGAGCTTTTGATCATATCACATACTTTTCCTCAGCTGATGTAGGTTACGCAGTTGTCAGGGATTTGTAGAAATTGAGACTCTTTTTCTGAGCACTTGAAGGACTTCCAATCCAAACAGATCTTAAAGATCTCAGTCTCTTCAGGACTCTGAAAACTTGGTAACCAATGTTCCTTTGTGGAAATAAGACTCAACAAGAAAACTCAAAGAAACTTGAAACTTTTTTTTTTCTTTTTTTTGTCAGAACTGAGATTGTATCTCAAAAATTAAATAACCAGTAATTTATAGCAGTACTTAATATTCCAGATCGTTAACTTCCTATTTAATTATTTAAACTTAATCAAATATTATGAAAATTTGATCATATACACCCAACTTGTCATTAACTAGCCATTAACCCTGTTTTTCTGCCTCTAGCTATGTGATGCGCATGAAGGAGTACGAGAGGGAGAGGAGGCTCCAGCTGAGGAAGAAGAGAATCGAGGCCAAGGCTGAAGCTGCATAATCAGTACATCCTCTAATTCTTCTTCTTTGTATATATGAGCTGCTGTTCACAATAAACAATACTGTTTAATCTTCACCACCGTTGGTCTTAATACGATCAAATCATCAAGTAAGACTTTTGTTTATACAGTTTAAAAGTCTCTGCATGAGGAGTTACTCTGATCCTTGGTTGAACAAAGTGGGAGTGAGATTTTAGATTCATTATCTCTGCCCAGACGTCTAAAGCCAAGTGATAGGTTTTTGGTTAAGATAGAAACATAAAATACGAATAAAAACTCCTAAAAATTTTCTATATTGATTCACTGGTTCAAGATTCAATTCTGCCTGCACAGACTACAATTGTTTTCCCAGAATAGATTGTCCTCCATTTTGAGTGTTGATGAAGATTCATAAATTTTTTCCTATACGTCCTCATAACTCAGTGGTCGGAGTCTAATAACTCTTGGTACAAAACTCTGACCTCCATTTAATGGCTTTGACAAAAGCTTTGTGAAGAAGATCCTTTAACTTCAGGGGCAGGGAATCAAGTCTTTGAAACACTTGTAATATTGTACAGAACTGAGCAAAGCAACAACATTTTTTGTTTACCCTTTTTTTTAATAAATTACTTAATCACACCACACAAATATTGAATGCCGTCATGGTCTAAGAGTAATGGATATCAAAACTGAACAGTTTTAAGATTTGCTGAATTTCACCAGATGCAGAGTCAGCCCCCAAACAACAGTATTAGATGACATAAGAGTGGTTGGACATCTTGCAGGATACACTGTGTAGCTTGAAGGTGAAAACTGTTCTGGGAGCTCAAATGAACATAAGCCAGTTAATCAATCAGAATGTGTTTGTGGTCAAAAAAAAAAAAAAAAAATTAGCAAGTGAAGTGTTTTATATTTTCACTTAACAAGACAGGGGAGAGGAAGGGAGAGAGAACATTTGGTTGGGCAGAAAAGGAAAAAAATAGGACAGTGTTAGATTCTGTCAGTCAATCTAATGAATTCTGGTGTAGATTTTGGAGGAGGGAAAAGGGGAGGTGCACCGTCGTCTCAGTTAGGGTTGAGGATATTTGACTCTTACAACCAGGGGGAGCTGGATGGGTTAGAGAGCGGCCAAATAGTCCTCTACAGGATGAAAGGCAGGATTGGTGAGCGGAGGGGAGGGTAGTCGCGGAACTCCTTCAGGTAGCTGCGGTGCTTCCCCTTGGCCCAGACGGTCATCTGGATGAAACCCACCAAGGTGAAGAAAGCCACCGGCAGGCACTGCGTCATGACTGTGAAGCCAAGCCAGGAGCCCAGCTGCAACAGGAGGAGGGATGTTAGACACAGACTGATACCAGCAGAGGGCAGCAGTCCCAGGTAAAACATGAATTAATCTTTCAGTGTTTTGTCAAGGCAGACAAAAAAAAAAGACATTCAGTTCAAATAGCTACACACGAGACAATATAACCAGGTGGACTTATCTCCGAAGTCTTCCAGCCGTGCAGTTACTGTTATGTACGACAATTCCCTGTTCTGTTTTCAAGAAATGATTATTGTGTTCACACTGAAAACTTAAGTACTATCAGCTGCCGTCATGAATAAAGCATGTTACCTCATAGGTGTAGTTGGGGCAGGAGACCAGCAGGAAGATCCAGGTGAAGGGATTCTTGGTTGGATAGGGAATCTTCCTGGTCTTAGAGCCTGGACGAAGAAAGAAAAGGAAAGGGAATGTCATCTCTTTTTTCTTTTTTTCTTTTTTTTAAACGCATCCAGTTGTTTAAATGTTCACATTTTGGCCAAATATCAAAAGTAAAACATACTGACCACTGATGATATTCTAAATTAACCTTAATTTGACCTATATTTAATATTATAGAGAAACACTTCAAATGTGAAATCATGTTTTCAAGGGCTTTTGAAAAGCACTCAAATATAATTGGATACAAACTGATTTGCATTGAGTTGTTTTTTTATTTATGGATCATTAACTATGGCCTGTGAGTTTATCGCAGTGACTTCGAAAATAACTGGTCAAATATCCATTGGAATATAGGGGGAAGAAAAAGTCATGCCAGAAAATGAGCTTAACGTTCACTCTGACCAGAGCTATACAGTTGTGTGTCTGAGTGACAGTCAGATGTACAGGTGTGAGAGGTGTGACAGGTGTACAGGTGTGAGAGGTGTGACAGGTGTACAGGTGTACAGGTGTGACAGTTGTGAGAGGTGTACAGGTGTACAGGTGTGAGAGGTGTGACAGGTGTACAGGTGTGAGAGGTGTGAGAGGTGTGACAGGTGTGTGCGTACCTGGTGGACGGAGGTTCCGGAGAGCAATGTGAATGGAAAAGTTGCCGATCTGACAGAACTGAAAAGAAAACATTAATAATGTCATGCAAGTGATTTTATTAGAGTGTGTGTTAAAGTCAGGGCCTGTATCTGCAAAAACTCTTTTCGTACACAACATTGAGATCGACAAAGAGATGAAAACTAATGAGGTAGAGATACTTTGTAAATGGCGTAAAGGACGTTTGTTTATTTTTATCAGTCAACTTAAACGATGCAAGATACATAACGGAACAAAGTGTTGAGGACAGAAAGATTCTCACCAAGAATATGATGAGCGCCAGTCTTATCTGTTGCTCCCCATAGACTGCAACAAGACAAAATAACAGTTACAGTTACAATGGTATGACAACACGGTATATGAGTGTTGTGTGTATGCACATGTGGGTTCGGCGCATACTCACTTGGCGGTGTATACAACGGGTGGTTGATGTAATAAGCCATCCAGGCTGCGAAGCCCCAGTAGTACGTACAGTTCTGAAACAGAGTACGTGACAGGACCATTGTCACTGAGACTTACTTGTGGTGGCAGAGATACACTTTTTCAGATCATACACAATCAATTATTCACCTTTTACGCCGCACAACCTACAGCACATCTTTGGACACATTCATGCGTGGCAAGAGTTTGAGCAGGAGAATGTATCTCACCTTAAAGATGTTGCGTAACGGCATTGTTCCATGAGAGAAGCGATGGACAAACAGCGTCTCCAACAGTCTCTTAACGTAGTGGAAAGAGTGACACATACAGGCGAGACTGGAAAAGGCAGAAAACACTTGAATTAGCCCACCTACAGTAATTAAAAGGAGGATGCAAACACATGTCATCCTGCCAATGAGAACAAGGCGCTGACAATTTCATCATCTTGTCCGAGAGCGAGAGGATTTTTAGGGTGGCTGACATGAAAAAAAGCTCTATTAAAGCGATAGTTTGACATTTTGGGAAAAACAGGTATTTCCTAACTTTAACTAACTTTTGCCAAGAAAGCAAATAGCTTTTTTTCCTCCGACTTGTTGAGAAACATTCAACTTTATGCGGAGATGCTTGCCTGCTGTGACCAAACCACTGGTGGTAACAGATGTGGATAAAGTCCACAGCTCCATTACTGGAGTCAAAGTACAGATCCTGCTGGTCGAATATTTCTCCAATACAAATGACAGTTGTCAGTCAAGTTTTTACTTCAGTTAAAGTACTGGAGTACTTGCTTTTACTGTAAAGTACTTAAGTATTCAAGTATTTTTGTCAACACATTGTTGTATTGTTCCACAGTGTATTTACTGAACCTAATGACTCTGAATCAACCCACTGAATGAGCCGACTGACTGTAAGACCTGTGAAATAAAAAGCTTGTAGAAAATGCTACAAAGCCAATAGAAATAGCCATTAGCCAATAGTTTGCTGTGATTGGTTTTTTTCTCCTGTGATGAAAACAGCGTATGGTCTATCACATTTTCAAAACTAAAAGAAAATTCATTCCAGACAAAAAGCTCTGCTTCAAAGTAACTACTTCATAGAAATGCAGTGGAGTCAAAAGCACAATATTTGTGTAGTTAAAATAATACCCAAGTAAAGTACACATACTGGAAAAAATATTTAAGTACAATACTGAAGTCAATGTACTTTGTTACTTACTAACTAACCCCTGTTAACTAACTATATGAAATGTTAGTGAAGGTGTGTTGGAGACACTCACTGTACGACCCAGTGTTTACTGGTGGTAAAGTCATATTTGGGTGCGTAGATGAAGGGAACCCTAAAGTAGAACATCAGATAGATGACCAAAGGACCAGTGTACTCTGTCAGAAAGACCTGAAAAAAGAAGGTAGGACAGGGTAAGTCAGAGCCTTGGCTCAGTCAAGCATCTTGTGATTGATATCCTGCTGCTTTGATGTGTTAGAATTATACATTTATAAATCCCTCTGCTTATTTTGTCTCTACCTGGCTCACCTCCTTTTCCAAGCAGAGCTAATACAACTTTAACTTTAAGAGTGAACTTTACTACAGCAAATTAACTTCAGGGTCAGGAGGAAACTTCTGCCCCCTTCTCCCTTTTTACCCAGTGGGAAATCTCAATATAGATCTGCTTGATCCCACTCGCACTCTGATGTATGTGGGCTAGTCAGGACTGTGTCTGACTGTGACAGCACGACACGTTTTCCCGTATTTGGACGTCTCTGTGTTGCACTCACTGTGACCCAGCTGATCTGGGCTCCCAGGTCTCTGAAGTAGAAGGTTGCCGTGGTTCCCACAGGAAGATGCTGCAGAACATCCTCATCCTTCAGAGACTTCCCCTCTAAAAAAAACACACACATTCACTCTTACGCACTCTTGAGATTTATAACAAATTAGGAGCTGATTGTAGAGCGAACCACTACTCATTTACTTTATTTATACCGATAAACACTTTAGCTGACTTACTGGGGTCGAGGCGAATGGACTGTCTGGCTGGGTACCACTGAGGATCTGAAAAGGACAGATAAATACATCACAGACATCTTCAGACAGAAAATAAAGTCAGTGTTTCTATGTGCTCTTTGAAGAGTTCCTTCATCATAGATGGGATTTATGAGGCTTGAGTTGTTTGCAGAGAGATGGCACTCACGGCTCTTGTGGAACATCGACTTGATCTCCCCAATAGTGGCATTTGGCTCGACCTACAAATAACACCACAATAATAAGTGGAGGGACACACACGCATAGACAGACACACACAAACACAAAGGTACAGATGATAACCCCGTTCTCCATTTATGATGGTGATTAGGGGTAAATTTAGCTCTGGCTGTGCCCACACACCCCATGAATGTGGGCTGTTTAACAGCTGGTATTAGGGTTTCAGAGAACCTCGACAAATGCATACACACACACACACACACGCGCGCGCATACATAACAACAGCTAAAGTACACGACCTTCTGCCAGGCTGCCAACTACACCAAATATAAACACAGAGACAACAAAACAGAAACATGAAGAGCACAGCAAAGCAAATCTGGACACACACACAGCTGTTAAAGGTGGGATAATGGAGCAGTGAATCCCCCTGGACTGAGGGTGAGTCCAGTGATTTAAAGTCAAACGCCTTTATCTGTTTGAGTTGAGGCAGCTCACGCACTACACGCCTCCCTGACACTCTTCTGTTTTCAGGGGTGGACAGTAACCAAGTATTTGACTATTGTACTTAAGTATACTTTTTGAGTAACTGAACTTTACTTGAGTATTTTTTTTTTTGGAAACTCCAAAACTTTTACTCCACTACACTTAAAAGACAAATATTGTACTTTTGACTCCACTACATTTCTATGAAGTATTTGTTACTTTGAAGAAAAATATCTTAAGTCCATGTTTGAAACTTTAAAAATAAAGACAGATTCCTTTTCGTTTAAATGTTTGCTGTGTTTACCACGACCAAACTGCGACTTCAACATCCATCCATTATCTGTACCACTTATCCTTATAGGGTCGCAGGGGGTCTGGAGCCAATCCCAGCTGACATTGGGCGAGGGCGGGGTACACCCTGGACAGGTCGCCAGTCTATCGCAGGGCTGACATATAGAGACAAACTATGGGCACTTTAGAGTTCCCAATTAACATCTTGTGCATGTTTTTGGACTGGGGGAGGAAGCCGGAGAACCCGGAGAGAACCCACGCGGGCACAGGGAGAACATTCAAACTCCACACAGGAAGGGCCCAACGGGGGTTGTAAGTCGGTTCATTCAGTATGTTGATTCAGAGTCATTAGGTTCAGGAAATACACTGTGGAACAATACAACAATGCATTACCAACTTTTGAATACTTATAGTATTTTTAAAAGCAAATGACTTGATCAAGTAATGGAGCTGTGTACTTTATCCACCTCTGTTAGTAATGGACGAACAAAATCATAGTTTAAAAATAGTCGGCTATAAAACTTAAAAACATGCAAGAGGTGATCAACCCTTCCTTCGCTATTTTGTAAGTGATGGACCGTGCATCTTTTAAGGCACTGCAAGTTACTGAATTGAAATAAATGCAAATGGATAGTTGTCAACTCATTACTAAAACAATGCACCAGAAAATTCCTCATTACTATAAAAACAAACCCTGCAATATCAGCTGCACATTGACATCATTATAGCAGCTCAGGCATCAGCATCTGATTTCTCTCAAGCCTTTGACATTTATGACTCCAGTGACTGGTTTCTCAAAACATTTTAGCTGAAGGTCTATATTTACCTGCTGGCCTGGACGAGGAGAGCTAAGATGCTTGTGTGAAATTTATACCTAAAGCAATCATACTGTCCCAGCACAGGTGTGACATAAGAGCAAGAAATTATGAAAGCATATAATTCCATAAATGTGTCGTTATGAGGAGCTCATAAATCTACATGTTTGTGTATTAGGCTGCATGAATGTTTAACTCAAAACAGTCAATGGCAATTTACTGTTAAACCATTATACCACTGAACTCTACGGGAATTTGAGCCACAAGGACAAATTCAACTGTTACAAGTTTTTTTTTTTTTTATGTTTCATCTTTGTTAGATGGCACTAAGCTTTTGGACAGTATGTAATTGAATACCCAGCACTCTACTAAACAGCTGTATGGAAGTGTTCAATATGAAGACTGTAGTACTGATAAATGATCTCAGTGCTAATGTTAGCAAAAATTGCCCAAAACATTTTACTTTTCAAGGCATCTTTAAAAAGACTGGAAATTTAAGGAAACTAGTTGTTCTTTTTTTTTTTTATGACACAACAACAACAAATTATAAACCTGATCAACAGATTTACATTCTGTAATTGCTTTTTCAATTGAACTCCCAAAGAGTTTCTGTTGTTCTGTGGTTTTCCTCACAGACTATATGATCCATCTGCAGTAGACTGAAGAAATGTAGCACTGTACATGAACTGGCTCCTAGTCACGTCCCACTGAAGACCACGTGCCATTTTCAGCAGGATGACATCATTGAGGAACCACCTCTCTGTGACCCCTGACACCCTCCCCTCGTTCTACAGGCTTTATTCAGTATTGAGATGGCTGAGTCTGTCCTAAACACTGTACTGACCCAGCTCTGTTAGCCTACTTTAGGAAACCAGTCCCCCAAAGGGCCCTCTTTCCAGGTCCGGATCTATATCTGTCATATCTGTGAACGACCGCTCCAAAGGTGTTAATATTGTAGATGCTATCACCATGGAAACTCTGCTAAGCCGACAACAGGGTATAATCCAGTAAGGATAGCACCTTATGTGTTGGGGTCTTGAGGAGCAGCCTTGGTAACACCACTGTAAACTTGACTAATGCAACTCTATACACCAACAGCCCTCACACCAACAATGCACTAAACCCTTCTAATGCAACAGCACTGACTTACAGGCAGAGCACTAACAGATAAAAGCCGTCTAACGCTAAAATAACAAAGTGAAGGCCAAGTACTATTTACTCTAGATATACCTGATAAAACAATAGGCTTAAACATCCTATCAAATTACATGTGGCTAATACAACAGTGATATCCTTTAGTCCCGATAAACACAACTCCATCACTCAATATCCCACTGGCCTTGCAAATACCTATTAAAAAATAAATAAATAAAACTTTAAGTGAAGTGATGATGTCCAGTGATGTTAAATGTCCCGCATCAAGAAAATCTGTTACATGTAAGCTGCATATTGCATTCCTATTACATTCATATAGCCACTAAATTAAATAGAAAATAATGCAAAAAAAAAAAAAATGCAAATGCAAATGCAAAAAAACAAAAAACTAATCATTCAATTTTCCATTATCATAAACACGTAGTAAAAGATTTACACAATAACACCTGCACCAATTTTACACATCTTGCGCACCAATAAATATCATTACCTCTGAAAAGGAGCTTAAGTTTTCTCCTGTATCTCTTTATTTGTCAGCAGGATTATGTAAAAAGTACTGAACGGATTTGCAGTGAACTTGGGGAAGACAGGGAACAGGGTAGGGAAGCACCCATCTAATTTTGGGGCAGATCCAGATAATTTACTATGAATTTGAATTATTTTTCCCCTGAAGTATGGTGTGTGTTGTTTGACATACGCGTTTATGGAGGTCTGCACCCGTTGAGTAGCCTTCTAGGTTTTATCATGTTTTTATTTTACATTATTTATTCCATGTGCTCTGTACTTATACTTTGCATGCGTGTGTGTAAAAGATAAACATCCCTGATTCTGACTTAACTTTTTTTTTTCATAATATATAGCATTTGCATTTTAGCCTGTAAACACTGTTTTCCCATTCAGCTCTGCTCTCTTGCTGTGCTGCACCCATAGTAGTACAAAAATCTTCATCTATCACAACTGATAATGCAATATGGAAACAGATTTTTGTTTCTGTTTTCACAAAATATAAAAAGAACAACATGCTAATAAGTGCCAGAATATCAAACTGGCTAACAGCTAAGTCAATACTCAGGTCCTTGTCCTCTCAATGAATGACATATTGGAGCATATAAAATTCCTTCCAGACGCTTCAAGCTACATTTCAAAAGCAGAAATCTTTCCAGTTTCTAGGTCTGTGGTTGGTTTCTGCTAAACAATGTACAGAAGGAGATATCCTTCCAGATATCCAAAACCTGCTGCTGAAGGCCACAGCCAAAGATTTGGCATGACCGGCACCAAAATGAATGTAATATATGAGATAACACGAAGTGATGAGATAATATACTTTCCTAAAATTACTTCACATACAGAGATATAGTTTCTGGACATATTTTCCAAAGTGCTGTGGTAAAACAAAAACAGGTGTGCCACCTTCAATTTCACAAAAATATCTCACGCTGCTTGAACAAAAGGAAAATTATGAATATCAGGAATCACATATTAATACTGATATAGCATTGCAAATTGTATGCCATGATTATTATGTAAAAAATACATTTGATAGAGATGTTTTCTCTGCTGCTCATTCACAAACCTGCAGTTTTGAGGCCATAGTCTGAGGTGGTGTTGTAATGTCTTGTATTGTAAGGTGGGTTATGTCTAAGCACACAATGACTATGGAGTTGAATCTCGAACACAGTCGCAATGAAAGGTTAACTTTCACAGTTGCAGTATTTGTTGCAGGGCTGTCCCGTTGGTTTGGACAATTGTACAGTTGTTTACGACATTTTGTCTACCTCCTGGGCCTGTGCGTGCCAAAGACCCGCTACCTTACCCAGATAACTGAACCCAGCAGTGTTGTGTCATATGTGTGAAAGGGCTCTCATGAGCACAGAGAGTTACACTCGCAGTTACACACCCACTGACTGACAGCGAGGGCTACAGCTACAGCAGAAACCGCCTGACGCACATACACACACGTCTGTGTTTTACAGTAACACAGGACCAGACATATTGCACCTGTTGCATTTAGCAAAACATACAGACACAAGGACGATTAAATGTGCACATACAAAAGACTTCTGGCAGAGATGAGGTTAGTGCAGTATGACTTAACTTGCATCAAGGTACAATTTGTTATAAATAAATGAAAAAAAAAAAGAAATAAGTTCTCACCTTGTCCAGGAAGCAGAGCTTGTCCTTGGTCTTGGCATCCAGTATCTCCACCTCAAAGAAAACAACAGCCTTTTTAGCTTTTTTAGCAGGTTTGCGTTTGACCGGGGCTTGCACTGGCAGCGGGGCAGCCACTGCCGCGCCATTAGCCGCCTTTTTGCCACTGGTGGCCTCTAGTGCTAGGGCATCCATGTCCACAGTCCTCCTCCTGCACTCAGTTTATTCCCTTGTTCCCCTCGCTCTTCCCCTTGCTTCTCTTGTCACTCTCCACCTCTTGACTGTCTCAGATGCTCACCAAGAGGAGAGGGGCAGTACTCAGCTGTGGAAATAAATCTGCCCCCCCCTGCTCCTCTGCCCCTCCCTCTTCTTCCTCCTCTCTGCCATTCTCTCACTCTCCCTCCCTTTTTGCCCCTCTCTCATTCCTTCACTTCTGGCACGCTGCTTTATTTAACTGCCAGCCGACCCCTGGCGCGCAGACATATACCACATGTGTGTGTGCACAGTTGCATACACAGGAATGCCCAGTATCCCCCTGGCAAACTGTCCACGATAGATCATCTGTGTGTACCTCATGAGGGAAACTTCTAGAGCGGAGAGTGGCAGCTTCATTTGAGGGCATCAATGACATGGTTTTGAAATATAACCCCTCCCTAAAAAAAGACACCTGATGACCTGTGCCACCTCTCGACCCCTGGCTAAGTGGGAGGTTGGAGGAGAGGTATTATGACAAACAGCAGCCTTCTTTTCCTAGTTTGACCCCTTCTCTTCCTCTACCAGCTAAATATAAATGTCTACTGCCAACTCTGCATAAACAGCCCTCTCCCTACAGACCCCCATCCATCTACACCTATGTAGTGATGTCACGGCTTTGCTGTCAATCACAATATGCTGCCATTCACAATCAGTGACTGTGTGTGTATGTAAACCAACTGTAGTCCACTCTAACTACAGCTCCTATGTCCATCACTATCCATTTCACCTGCTGGGAGACACCTGCCAGACCCAGTTCAGGGTCTCACATGTTCTCCCTTGAAACCAAACACATGGGGAGTCACCCATTCCTGCCACCAAGGGATGATAATACTCCAGACTCTGAGGGCTTAACTCAGGGCATTCCCCTTGGTGAAGCCAGCCCCCCCCCCCCCCCCAACTCTCGGGATACAGTTTCCATAATGAATGAAAGACATATAGTCACAAGTGGCATCGTTTTTTTCTATTTATGGACTTATATATATATACAGAAAATACAGAATGAAAATCTGTGGGTACCAATGAAATATGTTCTGTTATGTGAAAGATCACCATCTCTTCAACTCCATCAACTTCACCCAAACACTGAATTTGGACACACGTTTGGATGTCTTCCGGTAGACACCAGTGACTAATGCATTTTCACCTCACTTTGATTTACTGTGTCACATGACAATGTAGAAAAACAAGCATGATTCAGTTTTCTGGCTTGAAATACGCATTTTGCGAGTATATAAGGCTACTTGCCTGTTTAAAATTTTAAGTGTTGTTTTATAAAATAATAAATTGAGCTGCTTTTTTACTGCGCAAATGACACATTCATGTGTGCTTAAAACAAGCAGGACACATGACACTGCAGTCGAGACTTCAGGGAAATAAACCCACTCAGTCCTCTCGGTGCCAGGCATACCCACTGCCACTGTACCTCCCCCTTCTCATCTATATAAAGCCTCTGTCTGGCAGTGACAGTCTGTCACAGAAATGGACACTGGGGTGAGAATGAAGCGGGGAAAAATAAGCTTTAGTTGCGACAGTGGACTTCTACTTTGTCACTAGTTTTGACTGTACCTCATATCCGAAGGTAAGGGCTTTTTTTTTTGTTAATCTAGAAGGACTGTATTTAGAAAGATTAACAGACAATCTGGAAATGGAAGTGTTTGTACACACTGCCAGAGAGTGATGGACAGTCAGCGTGACAGTAAGGCAGATCAGTGTGGAAGTGATGCAGCTCTCTGGTGCTATCTGCTGTAAATGTGATGGAACTATGAATAAACTGGTCCGAGGGGAAAACACTTAGAGCTTAATCTTTGTTCCAGGACAGTATTGTAACTTAAAAACATCACTGTTGAGTACTTTTAGTTTGATCATGTATTTTTGTTTAACTTTATCTGTTGTGCTCTGTAATGCGTTCAATACAGAGAAAGTAAAGAATAAAAGCTATTCTTAAAAGAATGCATTAAAATGAACTCAAACAGCATCTGTTTGCAGCAGTGTGAGTATTTACCTTTAACATACTCTGCACAGGTTATGGTGTCAGTCATAGTCCACACCCAGCTTCGATCACATTTTTGTGCCTTAGCATACCTGTTGTGGCTAATAGTGTAACAATGTCCAAGCATTTGCACCCTGTGACCTGGTTAACCAAGCTGTACTGCAAATGCAAAAACCTCTACCATGGTTACATGCTGTATTTTGAAGTGTTACCTACACTTGTGACTTCATAGTATTTTGTAACGGTCACATATATTGATGTTTGATGATCTGTGGTTTTTCTTCACAGAAGCTGAAGAGTCACACGTTTCAGTGGGTCCAATAGTTGCATCATTGGCCTAATAACAACACCGTAGCTTCATACAAACGTCAAAACCGTGCAGGCTAGTAGTTTTCAAATGCCTCTATGATTGTCGCCACACATACTGGAGAGTAAGAGGCGATAACTGAGGATGGCTGTGCAGAGGTGAGTTAAGCAGATTGCAAGGGTCACAGGAGTGGTCTAAGGTTGATAACAGCGCTGAAACACTGAACACTGTGTGAATAACAATAAAGATTTGATTATACCAAGCTTTATTTATTGATTTATTCATGTATTATGAAACAAAGTTCAAATATAAGAGCATGTTTATCATTTCAATTACATTTTCATTAACTTTATTCCTAAATCTATGAGAAATTTGATCAGTTCATGTCATCATTTTAATGTCATAGGTTACAAAAGCCACATCTGTCGACAGAAAGACGGGGAACTTGAGCAGCCACCGGTTGGCTCAGTTTCTGTCAGACTGCTTCAGATCCTGTCTGATGGGTTTTAGGTGCTCAAGAAACTCTTTTGGTGGTAGAAGTAGTAGGCTACAATGGGTAAGTAGCATGGGAGTCATGGGTGTTTGCCAACAGGTAGTCACAATACTGTCCCTTTTTTTCCTTTGAGGAGTGACCGATTTTAAAATCACACACAAGCCATGAGGGTTGATTTAACTGGGCTGAATTTGCGCAATTGACTGTTCGCCTGCATTATTGGGTAATAACAAGATAAGAAGCGCCATGAGTCATTCCAGCCAGAGATGGCGATGATGCCGAGCATTGTCCTACACAGAGAAGATTTGTCACATACAGCTCTAATGGGCAGCTTCACAAATATACGACGCAGATGTAATTCCTCGTACATGTAGGTGCAGCTTGACTTTCAGGATTACACTGGCAAATGCAAAACAATTAATTGCCCTGTACGAGAGGCCACAATACCCTGGTCACAGCCCCCAGCCCGTGACAGGCGGTGTAGCTTGCAGCATGCGATCCTGAATGCCCATGTTTAAAGCTCTACATTTGACTGTTCTGCTGGAGTTTACACTTGGAGAATTCACAGGAAAATTCCCAGTTGGTCTGACTAATTACATTTTGGCTCCATGAAGCCCCCCCCATTCAAGGTTTAGAGTTTCATGGACACTACTCACCTCGTAGTGCTTCATCTTGGCAGTTTGCAGCCCCTTCCTTAATATCCCAGATGAGTGACAGGACCGCGTCCAATCAGAGGAGTAATGTACCACTGCTGAGGCCACACCAGGCGTGCACTACGTTGTTGCTGCAGCCAATCAAAACCGGCAAAAAAATCAGACGAATACACCCCCACGCTCGACGCCGTAGCCAATGAGATTTTAGGAAAGGGAGAAGTCGTGGCTAATAGGATTTTTTGTGCTTACTTATCCGACCATAGACTGTAAATAAAAATCCCACGGTCACAATTGCACTTATTACGTTATTTCATCTTTAAAAGTTTAAGCTTTCTCTTGCTTAGATGCATTCCTGTGTCCATTGTGGTCTCCTTGTGTATAAGAAATAAAGTTTTTACATTTGCCCACGTAGACTGTTGTTGTCACCTTGTTATAGGCTTTGAATCGCTAACATTAGTCAAGCACATTTACCCCAATATAATATTGTCTTATACAGTAAGACAGCACACGGTAAACACAAAATGAGGACATCCAGGCCAAATATATAATAATGTATTCCTATATTTTCAATAGTTATATTCTATAATGAGCCTGGCCACAGGTCACGCATTGCCAAAGGCAGCATAATTGTCAAAATATACATATACAGGACTACATTTGTCCATAGTTTTAACTGATATCAAAAGTTAGGGACATAGGCCTAACAGAGAATGCTGACTTACAAAAAACAGTACTGTTCTGAGCTCCACCTTAAAAAAAACAAAAGAAGAAATCATACTGTGATTTGGGTGGGTCTGAAGAGCTACTCACATCTGCAGTGATATTTAAATTTTTAACTGGCAACACCACTTATCACTGAAAAACAAGTTTTGCTTCACTTGATACAGACAAATTTCCCATAGAAGTGGCGTAATCACTTTTCTTCAAACTTTCTACAAAAACATTTTCTGGTATAATTAACCAATCATCAAGTGTCTACAGGTGTGTGACTTATTCAGGGTTCCCTTTGGTCTCAGTAACTTGGCACTATATTCAATGTGAACACTGACACTGTAATACTGCATGCTTTACCTGTCACAACACATCTCTGGTAGGGTTTTGCTTGATAGACAGGTAGCATGGATCTTGTACAGTGCAGCTACAATGCTGCTTTGAAGGACTGCACATACACCTTTTTTGTTGCAGTGTTCAGTTATGTCTCAAATTTTAATTTTGGTGATGTTTGTTGGTGTCTGGTTACATAAATTAGTTCAGTTCATACAATACAAATTATAAAACTGTGATGTGTGCTAATGTCAGTAGACAACATGTTCCATAACCAGTTTCTTGTCTGCCTACCCACCATTTATACTTTTACATCTTCCATAAAGACTGGAAAAACAACAATAACAACAAAAACAAACATTATAATTTACTATAATTACTTTCAAATAGTATGTGTTACATAAGTAAGTGTCCAAGAAAGGGTGAGCAGATTGGAAATATTTGGGATTATTTTGAATGACCTTGCCCTTCTAAAAGTGCCACAGTGTTCTGCCCTACATGTCCCTGTTGTGCACCACACTAGCAGCAGTATGCGGGGGATTTAGTAGTCTCAAATCTGGGCCATGCCCAAGCATAACAGAAGCTGCTGCCAGCAGTCAATCCACAGTTCCACTTCGGTACGGCAGGGTTTTGTGAGTTTTATTAGGGTTTTTATTATTATTATTTCTCACAAAGCTTGCACAATATACTTTTGTAGGTTTTTTCATATTGTGGTTTTCTTCGTTGTTTGTGACATTCACTGTGATCGCTTATGTTCTAATCCGATAGAGTCTGGTATGTCAGTAATGTCCGTAGGGACAGTACATTTTTTTCTTTACGTTAAAACTTGAATAGAAGTCATCTCCACTATTATCAGCAAAAAAGTTTAAAATACTACATGCTTCCTCACAAAGACAAGAACATATAGGCTACACGTCCATGTTGTGATGTTTGCTGTTTTGGGAGAAGATAAAGATATGTATGTTAGTGTCCGCAGTTATTTCCGACAGAGCTTGAAGGCAGCATGAGGTGCCGTGCCTCTGGGCGTGTCTCTGTTGAACCGTCACAGTTGAGACAGTTCAGGCTCTTTATGGAAAACTCTGGAAGTTTCTACAGGGTTTAAAAGAAAATAGCCGGGGCGCAACCGTCTGAGGCGAGACAGAGGCAGGACCGACGAACAGTGCTACTCCTGTACTTCACTGACAGCTGTTTCTGAACAGCTTTAAGTCTTACAAGACAAGCCGCTGGATGGTCAAAATGGGTAAAGACTACTACCACATTTTGGGAATCAAGAAAGGAGCATCTGAGGACGATATAAAGAAAGCTTATCGTAAGCAGGCTCTACGCTTTCACCCCGACAAAAACAAGTCACCAGGAGCCGAGGAGAAATTCAAAGAAATTGCTGAAGCTTACGACGTTTTGAGTGACCCGAAGAAAAAGGATGTCTACGATCGTTTTGGTGAAGAAGGTAAGATTCATAACTCCTTCAACTGTGCAATTACTTTTGTGGTCCTTAAAGTGAAACCAGCTGACGTAAGAATAACTTTAACACTACGTTAATACATGGACGTCAGCTACAGGCATGGCTGAAACATGTCAGTATCAACTCTGCATGGGACTAAGACGACATTAATGTTATCTTGCGTGTAATGGCGCTCCCAGCTCCCCTCTGCTGTCCTTCAGCCCAGGCATGTAGTTGAGCCAGGAAAGGCGAGGCTTCACAAACAGGAAAACTCGCATTACATGTTTCTACAAGAAGTCAGTGACAGTCTGAAACAGCTTTTGTTCAAACCTGAGTTCAGGAGAGGAGCTTGGACGAGCGGGGATTAACGTGCAGGTTGATGTCAGTGGTTGTGACACACGCAAACTTAAAACGTGCGGCACACACTGTATCCTTATATTCTTACCTTTTTATGAACTATGGAAAGTTAAAGAAGGACATTGACCCTATTTTTTGAATCGTCGAATAGACATGTAGATGAATGTAAGAAATCTTAATTTGTAAAAGTTTTAGACATATACTTGAGATGTTAATTTATGACGGGAAAGGGAAGTGTCAACAGTATGGCACCGGATGTGTTACCATGGCAACAATACCATGCGTATCAACATTGCACGTGTTTGCATGGTTCTCATGTTTTGTTTCCATTTGACAACTATCAAAGCAGCATTAGACAGTAAAAGCAATTGTAATAATTTTCATGGCAACACTATACAACATTTAGTTTGTAATAATGTATATCCAATCAAATCACAGCCGGTCACGAGGACGTATCTATTTTTTATACATCCATTCTGGTTATATAGATAGGAACATTTCTAAACAAGCAGGCTGATGAGTAATGCTTTGGCAGACAGCTTAACAACTGTCACAGCAGCTGCAGAGTTTTGTGGGTTTGTGTCACATTTGGTATGGTGGCGTCTGCACACAGTGAAGTGTGTTGTGCGAAGTTAATCGGACTTTTTAAGGAGGGGTTTGCTGCAGTTCATTTTGCACTTTGTCAAAAACAAGTTCTACAGATTTGAAAACTATCTGAGATAAATCAATAAGCTAACAGCAGCCCAAAATGAATTCCTGTCAGTGTCTCAGTCGCCATTATTTTGTTGTACCTGAAAGGGAGATTTTGATATCAGTTTGTGCACATCCGCTTGTTCTTCTTTTGGGCAGCAATCAGTATGAATGCACATGAATAACTACAGACATACATCATGTTTTTGTCTGGAATGACCCCAGGCTAATAGGGAATAGTAACAGTATAATAGTAACACAGAGGGATTTTGTTCATGTTGAATTTACAGAACACCTGGCAGTAAACTCTACTGCTTGTGTTGTTATTAGTTGTAACATAATGAATGTTTTGCTGTCGCCTTTACTTCTTGGAAACTCTCATTTCAATATCAAAACATAAAAATAACACGGATCGTTATGTATGCCTGACAGGATTCATTTGAAAACCTTTATGTGGGTACGATAACTTACATGAAAGATGCCATAATCGTACTAGCATTAATAATAGCATTTGTGTGTATGAATTTGCATTGTGCATCAGCAATAAATTCTAACATAACACTGTATGTGATAAACTGTTACATATAGCAACAAATGTTTGAATTTTAAATCTAATACTATACGTATGTAGTGCATTATGAGTTGTGTAAAAGTAAAGGGACGTCTCCCTCATGAATGACACTCATCTATCTGTAGGAATAGAACAACACACTAAAGGAACGTACCACACAAAGATTCACTCCTTTTTAGTGATAAACGCTGACTGATTGTTTCTCTCACTCAGGTCTGAAAGGAGGAGGCCCCTCAGGTGGTGGTGGTCCTGGCACTTTCAGCTACACCTTCCAGGGCGACCCTCATGCTATTTTTGCTGAGT